TAAAGAGAGAGTAAAAAACGATAAGTGCAATTTTAATTGATACCTAATTTTAAAATGTTATATAACATTAGGGTATATAGACTATCGTAGATATATATTGTATTATATATATATATATCAATTAAGATATATATTAATACCAATAACTCTGTGACATAATCAAAAACAAAATTACGAATATATGGCACGCATAGTATAATAACTGACGACAATTCTGATTGTTCGCTCCCGTCGACGGTTTCTCTCGTTTTAAACAACTACCACCTACCTATACCAACAGTATATTCAAACAGTTTGAAACAAACGTGTTCCTAAAATTTTAACCCCTCGTTTCAAGGCCACTCTGTCGTACTTACTATTTATACGAGCCCCACCAACGAATTATGTGTATGGGAATATAGGTAGATTATTGTGTAGCTACCAATATAGGTAGGTCTCTTTTGCATATTAATTATAGTAATAATAACAACGACGACGTGAAATTAAGGTTCCTACGAAAGACTTGATAAAAAAGCCGATTTAATCTAAATCATTGGTGGGTCACAGTGACAAAAAATACGTGATTTTTAAAAGGATTAAAGAGATGCTGCACCAAAAGGAAAATGGTGCTCCCCCAAGAAAAAATTCTCACCGTTCTTTCATCACTCTCAGATATTTTGGCAGTTTTTACTTTTTTTGCAATAATATCCAAAATTTGAATTGTAAAATGAAACCTATCTGATCATCGGACATCAATGGCCCATGTAAATGCTGTATTTTATCGAGAGTTGGTTATAGATCGTTTATGTTTTGTATATACAACTGTAACGAACTTAAAATAATCCAGAAACAACCTATAGGCTGTAATAGAATAATCTACCTATTACCTCCCTCCCATCAATATTTACCATGTATTCTCAACATATCACAATATGTTCACCTATTTTTATTAAACATGTTGTGAATAATATGTACCAAGGTAATAATTAATTATTTTCAAATTGAGCATCCCCACCCATTTTTATATCTAATAATATATAATCGAAAACCAACTGCTTCGTTTCGTCACTGAATTACAATATTGGTATGTTACTATTAAGAATTATTATACTATATATACAATTATAATTTCTGAGCGAAGCCAGAAATATATTGGTTTTACAATGGTATTTATTATTATTTTTTTTTTATCTATGAACAACTTTTCTACCAGAAATCTTGTTCTCATTTTCAAGTGCAATACTTTTTCTGAAAGGAAATTTTATTTAGGTAGTATTTTAGGAAAGTCATTTTTTAGGTGGTTTTTCATAATAATTGAAAAAACCGGGAAAAAAATTTAGGAAAAACGGGAAAATGTACAAAATGTATTATTTTAAATTTTGTTTTTTGTTAATTCAGTATAAAATATTTATGGAGACTTAAAATGTGGACAGAAAACTTTTATTTATCTTTCAAGACGTGATAAAATTGTCAGAACATTTGAGTTTTTTACGTAATTTTGATTCGATATGCACTCTTTGGATAATTTTATTAGACTAAACAAAAATACTTGACAATTTTACAGGAGTTTCATTAGAAGTCATATTTTGTGGTAAAAAAAAAAAATTTATTATAGAATTTTATTATTTTATAAGAATTTTAATATCAAATTTTGACGAAAATATACATATAACAGCCTTTTAAAACATGTATAAATATTCTCCTTTTTAAATTTTGCTAGTTGTGATTAAACTCCGATTTTAACCTTAACGCAACAATTTATCTGTTACGTAATTTTGGTGTATTAAGTCGCCGGTTTGTTACATTGAGACAGTAGATGCGCGTGTGACGTCCCGTTTAATGTTATGATTTGTTTATTTTAATATTAGATTTAAGATTATTTTAATTATTGATACCCAAAATGAAATGGATTTTAAAACAATTTTGATTGAAAAAAAAAAAAATTGAAAATAATTATATTATATATCTAGGAGCAAAAAATTGGTTCATTACGAATTGTTTCTCGACATATAATATAAATGTATAATAAAATGCTAAAAGTGAGAGAAGTTATTTTATAGAAAAAATGAGCAATGTTGTTACGGAGTAATGGAGTTGCAGCCCTGAATAACATTATGATATTCATCAACATTTAATAGGTATCAAATTCATAATTCATACAATAACAAAAATGTATTTAATAGAAGTGTTCGTATACATTTTAATCGTTTTAGTGATATTATTATAACGTTGCTATAATAAAATTATTATAACGACGTACTCGCGGCATGGATTTCCACTTAGCGTTTGTTTTTATCCGTTCGAATATTAGTCCTTTGGATTTTTCCGTTTTCGATTTTTTGATCGTAATTATTTCGTTAGCCTCATAAAAAAACAGCGTGCAGTACAAAAACTGTTAATTTTTGGCCCTGTGGGGTATACCCGGTCAGTCGAGTGCATAACACAAACAAATTATTGTGCACATCTGAATATTCATTTATGCGCGCGAGTATGACGATAAAAGTATTACGCGCGTTCGTTGTTACGATGATACACGGGCGATTGTTCTTTTTTTTTCTGGTCGTTCCTACCGGATACGTCCACGTGTATAAAAACAGAAGACGACTTTTTCTATATAGAAAAAAAAATAACCGTCATCGAAAAAAATATCGCGTGTAAAATATTATAATACAGTCGTACACCGATTGAACATAAGCCGACCGTGGCGCTACAATAATTGTAATTTTTTTTTTTACATAATCATTAGAGCATCCGCGTCGTGATCGCGGGTTCTTCTTCGGACGATATTTTCACGACGCGTCTAGTTTACAAACTCTTTGGAAAATCAATGTTCACGCGCAGGCAACTACACTACAACACGGTCGCGGTGGCGGCGGTGACCGGCCCCGGGAACCGTTAGGTATTCGATGCGCCCGACACGTTGTTCAGCTGTTATTTTCACAACACAGCCTACCTGTAATTAATAACGATAATAATTATAATAGTTTTAATTGTTGTAGGCGCCTAATCTTGGACGAGGGTGCCGAAAAAACGAGCTGCCATAATATTATTTCACGCTCAACACGGTATAAGATTCCAGGTACCCACCTTCGCGGTAGGCGCTTATAAAATGACGGGTGTAAAATCAATGACCCGAGTGCACACCAACCGTCATTGTAGCGACAGTGACGCGCATACCAACGCGGCAGTCACGGTTTTAAAAACAATACGAAATCGAGTTTTGTGCGGTAACCTCTAACCGTGGTAACCGCGATCGATCGGTTGGCGAACCGCGGAGAAACGTGTGAGCTGCGCGCGTCTCCGTCGTAATATTTACGCGCGAATCGTTATCGCCGCCGCCGTAGATTCGAATTATTATGATCCGGGTAAACGGACATTTGGTCCCTGAGACAATTGGTCCCCGTACCACCGTACCTAACCGGACAGGCGCAAAACATCGGTCCCTGCAATAATTTCATACTCAGACAAATTAGTCAATAATTTTTTTTTTTTAATTGTGTTAACTCTATTTATACACTACTACACGGTTTTTCGTATTCTCCGTTTTTTCTCTCGAATTCGTCCCAACTATTTTGAAGGTCATCCTTTTATTATATGGTTTTTCATATTATAATTAAATTGATTAAATTTTATTGGCTCATTATTTTTTTCTTATTTATTTATGCATTTATTAAGACTACATCTTGAATTTTTATTTTCACGATAAAAAAAAATAATATAAATAGATATTCGCATCATTTTTAATAATATATAAATAAAAAATCGGGACTAATATGAAATTACCCCGGTGACCGTTCGTCCGCGTTTATTAGGTTTTTTCACGGAAATCAAATTAATGTCCTGGACTGCTCGGATTAGTGGCGGCGCGACGATAGTTCTGCGAATCTGAAGGCCGGTGGGTGTAAAACAAATAGTTAGGAATTTAAAACGCAAAAGACGTTAAGGCGTTAAAAAGCGAGTGAAATTGGCTCAAATTATTTTTGCAGTTTTTATCAATAAACGGGTGGGCGGGTGGATGGAAAAATAATTGTCGTGTGAGACGACACATAAAATTCGACGCCGCCACTGTTGTGAAGTGCATTTACGACGTACGAATGTTTTTTTCACGACGTCCTCGGACACTGTTTTCGGGCAGACGGCGCCCACGTAGGCTCGTTCAGTTTTTTGAGTGTAGGTACCAGCGTGTAATCGATAATTAATATAAGCACGTACATAATGATCGTCGTTATATTATGACGTGTATGAAATATATGTGTGTGTTTTGAGTGCCAGCCATTGACAGAGATTTGATAATTTTTTCGGGGCAGAGGGAGGGGTTGTGCGCCGCTACAATAATCTTCATGTAATACATTAATATAATTTATAGTAAGACTGGCTTGTTACAAAATATAACCATTTTAGGGGGTTTTGGATGATATTTCGGGGTTCAAGCCTCTTAGCTCCGCCTATGGCGCCAACACACCGATAATACACGAGAGTAACGTAACGCTGACCCATACAATTTATTAATAAAATTACGTACTGCAATATCAAAATTGTGTATTATGTAATATGTAATATTTAATGTATTAAAGACAAATGTATATTTGTCGGATAAAAACCAAAAAAAATGACTACGTTATTAATAACTAATAAGTAATCTGATTTCAGAAATTGTTCTGAAATTGCTTTTGAATATTATACGTATACGCGGTATACGAAAACAAACACGGTAGGCGGGCAGTGTGCGTGTGTACGTTACGTTTTTTTTTCATGTTCGATACTAACGCTATATGCATCCGCATGGTAGCGCTGTCGATTGCTTTAATCTCAACACCATTGCTGTAGGCCGCCGGTTTTAATCTCAAACCCCTCTCGATTTAATTCGAATTTCGTCAATGGGTGGTTTAAAAAGAAACAAATAATACCTATCGATTCAGAAAAATCTGCTGAAAATTTAGCCATCATCACCGCGGTTTTAAACTATCCAGAAGTATCCGAAAACCGTCAATAAAAAACCGGCGACAGCCCGGCCCACCAGCACGCGCCATCTTCACAAACAAAGAACACGGCTGGCTCAGACCGTATTCGCTGTGCGTTTGTCTGCCTGTCCGTATGCTCTGTTTGCTTCCCGAGCCGACCCGCGTGCGTGTTCTTCTCAGTTTTTATTTGTTTTCAGCGTTTTCTCACAAATAACATTATTTTCGTCCGCCACTCGCGTGTCCTGTCCTACCACATAGGCTTTCTCGTCTCCGTCTAGCTGTTTTTACGGTACGCGATTTCCGCACGTTGAAACGAAAATTGTTCAACTTGAAATTCTTTTCATTTTTTTTGTAATTTCTACCTATTTACCTCCAAAACCAAAATGAGTACGAAAGAAGCTAAGAACGACGTAGCGGTTGACAAGATCGCAGAAAACGATGTCGCAGATGCCAAAGCCGACCTTAAAGGAACCAAAAGAACGGCAGACGTACGTATTTTTTTTTGTAAATGGTTTAAAAAATATTTTATTAGTAAACCTACCGTAGATACACGTATATTTACATAACTACGATACGACAGGTTATCGTTAATAATTATTTTACATCTATCCATTCCCCGTTAATAATCTTTTTTTTGTAATTTTTTTTTCTAATTACTTTAATAACGATAGTTGGGTAAAATAACAAACAACAGTAATACTAATAATATTAATGAATGTTGATGGTAATAATGGTATTAGTAACTATTGTTATTGTTTGTGTTGCATTACAGACGCGCCGTGCGCGGCGTCCGTTACGCGCGTTTTCGTAATTTTCGAAATACCGCGTTGCCGGTTACCGGTTGCCGGCCCGCCATTTTTTAACCCCCGGCGTACGAACATGTCCTCATCACACCGGCCGGTCGCGCCGGCTGCCTCGTTCATGGCAACCGTAGCCGTGGTCACTCGAAATAGTTTTATTTCTATATACCTAATATTTCGATCTACAATTACGGAGGGGAGAAAAAACACATTTTTGACATTGTAATTTTTGTCGTATATCACGCTTTAAATTTTTTTCTATACTTTTTATTGATGGCCACAATGTCTTCGACAAGATACCTTCACCATCATCATCATTATGATTATTATTATTATCGTCCCCCGATAATTTTTAACGACGCGCGCCGTTTTTGTTTCCGGCGGTGTTGTTTACCCGGTCTCTTTTCCAACCCCCTACTTCTCGACGGCGCGCACACCGTGTCAGCGTCGGTGTACAACTGTGGCACCCCCGCCATGACCGTTGCCACCACCACTGCTCTCGGTAACCGTTTGTTTTCTCGTCTGCGGTTTTCCATTTATTTATTATTTCACGTTGACCACCAAATATCGTGTAATTATTTACTGCACACTGGCGGCGCTGATATTGTTATTTATAATAATGTTAATTATTACTATCGCGCACGATTATTATAACTATTTGTAGTCGCGCATCGCGGTTATTATTTTCGTAGCTTATGCCTTGGCCGATATCGCGTACACGCCATATACTTGAAACGCGCCGCCGCCACCGCCGGTTTTCCGTAGCGGTCGGCGACTTACCGGCATGAGGTGGCTGTCGTCGTCCTCTTCCTTCTCCTCCTTTCGTCCCGGTCGGCAAACGCGTGTTTTCCGCGAGTTACGCGGGACAAGACGCTCGTCAGCGGGCGCGATAATGTCGTATCTTCTCTGTGTTATTTGGTGGGAAGGGGAGATTCATTATTATCTATAAATATTACGTGTGTGCCGTAGCGTATGCGTGTGTGTAGTTGCCGCTCGCTTCGGTAACGATCATGGTTACAGATATATAACCGCGGTAACGACTAACGACGCGTCGGTTCCATGTAATATTTGAAAATACCGACCGCCATAACATTACGTCCGTTTCCACATTGGTGTGCATCGTATCTTTTGGATACGGCCTAATAAATATTCATTTTTTTTTTTATTGCACTTCGCCATCTTGTTCACACGGAATGCGGTTTTTTGTGTTATTCATAACTTGAATATTCTACACGTCTCGAAATAATCTATAAGTTATCAAATATATATTTTCAAAACGCTTTCGAGAACCCCAAGAATATACCCAAAAAAGGCACCGTGCATAATTTTGTTCTTCGATTTATAATATTATAAAATAGATTGTTTTTTTATTATTATTTAATAATCTTTATTCACTCGAATACAGTTAATAAATAGGTTAGGTATGACAAAACAAAATATTAATATTTTTATCTTGTGTAAACTAGTTCAAATTAATAGTACTTTGGAAAATATTAAAAACTAAAAAGTTTTTCTTATGCAAAGTTAAAATATCATAAAAAAAAAAAAAAAAAACCATTTCACATTAAGTTATGCATATGCGTATATATTACCAATGTTACAATAACATAATAACTCTTTCAATAACTGATTATATTATTGTTATGAAATATATGGATAAATTTAAAAAAAAAATGTTGATTAGATTGAACTTATAAACAGGGTCTGATCGTTAATCCATTTTTCTCAGTCTGCAGAAAAAATAAAGATAATATAAAGTAATAATTATTCATTAACCATTCGTCATGGATAACATAACTATCAGTTATTTTGTTTGTAAATGTAGCTTGTACTGTATTTTACATTTTGTGATTGTTATGAATTTATAAAAATAATTAATAGAAAACTATTATTCTATAATATAGGACAAATCAGAAGAAGTAAAAAAATTGAAAAAAGAAGAGAATGGTGAGGAAGACCTGGATGAGGAAGATGAACCTGAAGGTGACGAGGAAGAAGAAGAAGAGTTTGCTGAAGGCGAAGAAGATCTAGAAGAAACTGTCGGTATGTGTTAATAAATTAGTTCACTTTGAATATCTAGATTTTTTTTTGTAAACAAATTTTTTTTCAGGTTGTTCAGATGAAGAAGATGATGAAGCCGACGGTGTAGAAGAAGAGGACGATTAAAGAAGATGTAAACACTGACATAATGTACAATTTGAACAAGTCCCTTAATTTTATATAATTTATACATAGTGCCGCATATTCTCGGTAACTCCGTTTGATAGAAATTTATTTCAAAATGTAATTTTTTTTATTCATGGTATATGTTAAAATCAAAGCTTTTTTGCTACTGAGTGACTAAGGCGAAATTAGCTTTTTTTTTTAAATTTTAAAACACGATATTCCTACTAATTTGTCTTGTGTACATGTTCTAAGTCTCTAGTCACTCACTATCAGTCAAGTTTTAAGCATGTACTTGTGAATAAAAAGTTTCTAAACTTTAGGTAACATTTCATTGGAATACTTAAAACTAACTCGACCTCTGATTTATTTACATTATGGTTTTTTTTTATACATATATATATATATATATATGTATATATATATATATATACATGCAATAATTTTTTTTTCCTGTTTTTGAATAAAAATGAATACAATTTAAGTCTTAAGTAAATAATATATGTAATACTTACAAAATACAAATGTGAAATTTGAATTGTAATTTAGTTCATAGGTGTGTCTTCTAAATAAACAAATAAATTAATAAATATATATATATATATAATACACATTAATATACATATATATATATAATTATTATCGTTTACAATTTAAGCTACTTTTGTATAAAATTTTGATTAAATAATAAGATAATCAAATAAGTGTCTCGTGTTGGTTTTTTATTTTGTATTCTCCGCGTGTTTCAAAGTTTAGGAAAAAATAATAATTTTTTTGTTTCTCATTCCAACTAAATAATTTTTTTTAAGAACTTTTAGCCACTGAAAATATGTTTTAAGTTAACATTTAATAAATAATTAAAACAAATTGTAATGTCAATTTATTTTACCTCATTTAAGTAAAATAAGTATCTATATATACGTATGTGTCTATTTTTTTTGTTAGACTGTATTATTTGTAGTCTACAATCATTTTTCGTTGTAAATATTTCTAGTACAATAATGTATAGATTGTTATTAATAATCTTAATACATATTGTCAGTTGCTGCTATGGCTCAGCATTTAGTCTTTACTCATTTAACAGTGTTCTATTGCCATTACTGTGACCAGTTATTTAATACCTTAATTCAGTGCTCAAATTGGGGGTTTCATTTTAGCGCGATAATTCATTTAATTAAGGAACCTTTTCATAGGAATCATCCATATTTGTTCAGAACTATGGGTTTTAAATTCTAATCTGAAATTAAAATTTGATTAATCGTATCTCTTTTGGATATAGGAAAAAAAAAAGTAAAAGTATAAAAAATTGTTTCATATACTCTTGGTTTACTGTTTATCTGCTAAAGAAGATGGTTTCTAAACTAAAACCAGCTACTATCCTTATTTTTCTCCCAATTTGAGCATTAATTGATTAATCTTAGATTATTTGTTATAATATATTAACAAAAACTTAATGTCTAAGAAAAACCATATGAGTGGGTGTATTTGTCATTCAATTCCAATATTATTACTTATCCATTTCCTGAATAAACTCAATAAAATTCTAATTAATTTTGTTTACAGAGATTTTGGATTTGTAATAAATGAGTTTGTACTAAAATATTCATAACTAAGATATATTTTGTTATTTATAAATCGTAATAATACAAAATTGTAAAGTAAGAATATGTTAGGTATAGAATTCAATATTGAACTGTTTATGATTGAAATTAAAATTAAAATAACAATAAATTATAATTTTTTTTTTTTTTTTGTTTAAAACAAAGTAAACAACAGTAAATTATATACACATAATTTAAGGAATAATTATTATTAAAAATTAATAATTTTAATATAAATATCTTATACAAATGATTGCACAGTTAAATTAAATTAGGAACTTTTGTATAGTAAATAATTAAATAAACTAAATAAATTTAGTTAAATACATACATAAATATAACTAGCCTAATTAGTATAGGATATATATTATATAACAAAATTAAATATTCTTATACAGGAAAAGCCTACTCATAGAAACTTCACAATATTTTAGTTTGCTAATTTTCTCAACCTCTTATTTTCATATCTAAGTTTTTTCACCAAATAGATCAAACCCTTCATTTGTTGCTAAAAATGTTTATAATATTAAATACACATTCAATTTGTTTATTATTGTGATAGAAACCAACTTATAAACTTGTTTATATTTACCTGTATTTTTTTATCAATAATAATAACTGTTGATGGTTGTGCCACATTATGTGCTTTGAGGATTATATTGTTTAATTTTAGTTCCTGCAATTAAAAAATCAGTAAAATATTAATAATGTAAAATTAATTATTAAAATTCATAATACTGTAGAACTTAAGTTAATGGTCATTTTTTTTTTTTGGTTCGATCATCAAGTGCTATAGGAGAAATACATTAATACCTTTATACAGCGGACAATCACAATTTTTAAATTATTAAAAACAGCAGAAATTAGTTTTTAAAAAATTTGTTCGAAAAATAATAACAATTTAAAATAAACTAATATTGTTTAATTTTTTTAAATTTAAATACATATTTATAATATACATTACACATTATTTTAAACTCAAATATGCAACAACTTTTTAATTTTAAATTGTACATAGTAACACTTCAATGTTAGGTAATATGAATAAAATCTATAATATACAATATTATTTCAAATATTACCTAGGTATTTTATAAAATACCAAATTTATTTTATGCAAAGTAAAAACATGTATGTAGTTCCACTTAGAATCTTTTTGACTTTTCTCTGTTACCTACTCGATGTGGTTCTACACAACAAATCAAGAATTTATTCACGATTATGATAAAACATCAAATCATAATCAAAATTTACATTATGTATATTATGTCATGTTTTTATATTAATTATGAATAGGTCAATACTTGTCATTATATTAATAGTGTTTATTTGCTGGTGTTTTTTTGGAATTATAAATAACGCCGGAATATCAATATTGCTGGTAACATATACACTATATAGCGGTCATCTGGAAGTATTGCACTTGTAAATAGGATCTCTGCACCTCTATAGGATACAACAGTCATTATTTTTAGTCCTTTCGGTGATAATTTTAAGGAAGTTTTTTTGTTAGCTAAAATCATTATGAATGCCTATATACATGAAAATCATGAATACATTTTTTTCGAAAGTCAGTTGATGGTTCTTATTTCTTCGGATAATAAAATATAATGTGCATCATGAGTTCTGTTTATAAAATATTATTTTATCTATTAATTGTTCATAACTTACTAACGTTTCGTATTGTTCAAGAATGGATAACATAGGTATTAAGTAATTAATATATTATTCTCTATCAATTTTTTTTGTTTTAAACACTAAATGAATAGAGAATAGTTGATTTAAAGATTATAGAAGTATGAAATTGTAACAATACAAACTAAAAATAAAATTGAACACAACTTACTGGGTAACAATAGTAAATTTTATATAATATATTTTGTTACTAGTCATTGTATAAATGTTATGTTCAAAATTATTATTTTTTACTCAAATGTTCAAAACATTATTTAAATATATTTTGATATACAATATATTTATATATTCAAAGTTTATTTTTCTTGATTCAAAATGTAGGTACCAATCTATGTGTGTAATATTATGATTTATGATCATGAAGTTTTAGATGCCTAGGGGTGGGGTTAATGACTTATAGGAGTTTCCCTATTTTAATTTGCAGTTTCACAACACATAGAAAAACAGATCCTAATTCTGTTTAAAATTATTTATATACCTATCAAAAATAAATGTATTATATATGCCATACAAATAATAATTGGAAATGTTGAATTGATTGATGATTACATACTTTACTTTCCTCTCTTAAGTTTTCTATCATGGTAAAAGCTTCACTTAGTTGTAAATGTGCTATTTTTTCGACTAAGACTATTTGCGAACTCTTCAGTTTTAAATTTTTCTCTAAACTTAGAATTTCATTTTTTAAACGAACCTCTGTGTCTGAAAAATAAAAACTTCTATAATATATTAACCACTTAGAAACAAACAGATATTAACAATCTTACTGCATACCAGTTAGATTTTTTATTTTTAAATTATGTTTTATCTTTAAACAATCAATTTCCCTCTGCAAGTTTTTCAATAAAATTATGTTCTCTCGATTGATATTTTCTGTTAATTTATTATTTTCGTTTTCAGCTGTCCTCGCTGTACATTGTTGTTCTATCAAAATTTGCATGCTGTTCATCAAACCATTGTTATTTAATAATTTTTCCTTACAGACGAACAAGTCGTTTCGTATAATGTTCATTTGTTCTACTAATTTCCTCAAAATCTGCATATCTTTGAAGTGCACCAAAGACTTTTTAGTGTTTTGCTCTTCGCTCGTTTTTTTTAATAAGTGTTGAATAGTTGTATTTTTCTCGTTTAACACATATTCAAGTGTGATAATATTATGTTTCAGATTTTCGATTTCTGCTTCAGCAGAACCGATTTGGCCTTTCAGCGTAGAACACTCGTCCTGTATTGAAGTAATGATGATTTTTTTCTCGTGGATCCGAGTGGTAAATTCGTCAATCATTTGTTGCATGTGATATTGGATTTCTTGACATTTTTCTTTTTCATTATTATGCATAGTAATCGCTTGTTTGTAGTTATTCGTCTGTTCTGTTAAATTTAATTGAAGTGTCTTTATCAGAGCATCACCGTCAACACATTTCATTTCTTTTTTTGTCAATTGGTGTTTATAACTGTTTACCAACATTTTTAAATGTGCATTTTCCTCACGCAGGTCATCGTACATACATTGTATTTTCAAATAATTTTCTTTGATGTTGTTGTTCTCGTTTTCTTTGCTCATCAAAACCGTTTGCACACGTTGAAATTTTTCAATTTTGGAATTCAGTTTTTCGTTTTCATTTTCCAAGTGTTTTTGCCATTCTTTTTGATCATCAATTTCTTTAATTAGCTGTCGATTTTCATCTTTGATGTTTTGAGTTAAACTCTTATTAAACACTTCTAATTGTTCTTCTTTATTTATAACTGATCTTGCAAACATATTGATTAAATCGGTCAATAGATAGTCTTTGATTTCGAAATTACTGGATCCTTCATCGAGTTGATTGATTAGTACGGAAATTAATAATTTGCCATTGTATAATTCTTCGTTTTTTCGCGAATCACCAAACTCTTCGTGGTCATCACTGAAATTTGTTGTATTAACTAATTCGGTAGAGAACTGTTCTTGGACTAAATGTATAATACGATTTTTTTCTTCTTGAATCGAACGAAGATTTTCGTTTAAATCAGATATTTTAATGTCTTTTACGATAATGTCTTCTTTTAGTTTGTCAACGCTGTTTATAATTTCATCATAATTACGTAAAGTTTGCACGCGTAAATTCATCAACTTTTCGTCCAATGTAACATCTTGCTTATCATTGATTTTACGATCTAATGCCCAACAAATAGATAGGTTTATTATTAATAAATATTAATTATTATTTTATATGATTAAGAAATACGATTGAAGCCTAACACCGTTACCTTGTTTATTGTATTATGTAACTACATAAATTACTCAGGGACGGATTAGAACTTTAGACCGGTCCGGGAAAATTAATATGTAGCGGCCCATATTTGGGAGGAGAGCGTGGGGACAACCTGCAAGTGTATCTTGTTGCTCAAATCAATTTTTTTAATCAATTACAATTTTACATTCTTAGGAATGTTTTTGTTTTATAATGATGTTTATTTTTTTTTTTGTGAACACTTTCTATTAGAAGGCTTACTCCGATTATCAAGTATAGCATCTTTTTTGAAAGGAAATTTTATCTGGATCGTACTGGAAGTAATTGAAATTCTCATTAATATTCAAGACAATGTGGAAAACCTAGTTCTTTAGGTTAAAGAAGATTGAAAAATTAAAAAACGGTTTTTATTTAGTTTTTGTTAATAAGTTTTTATTATTTTAATATTTTTTAAACAATCATTGTTGTCATGGAAACACACATTGTAATCATATAATTTTAACATAATGACATATGACATAATATTGCTAACAAAGCAACACTATCTATTGAACTCCGCTCATAATTGTTTTTTCGTTAGCAACGGTTTGACGTAGCTACTTCCTTACAGATATACATTAAATTCCCGACTGTATTTTACCTTCCCAACCTCACATCTACAACAGTGGCTGCATTCACGTACGAAATATGTCCGTCCTTTTTTATTGATATATATATATATATATATATATATATATATATATATATTACATTATGGTATATTAATTGAATACACAATATAATATAATACATAAACCTTTTTAACATATTTAAATAATGGTGTTAGTAATTTATAATGATAATTTTTTTTTCTTTCTTTTTGAACTTCTTCAATAATTTTATAAGAATCTAATAATGTTAATTTCTGTTTTTCTATAGCCATTAACATAAATGCTTCTAACTTAGTAGGTATTTGATAGTTGACTGCGAAGCCTTGTCTTTAAATTTTTCAAAAACGAAAAAAGCCTTTCACAAGACACTTGTGTAGTAAGTAAGTAAACACTTAGATGCCAAAAATAAATTAGAATATGCATCACAATACAAATTTAATTTTCGTAAAATATTTTAAAAACAAACATAGTTTCTGCAAATCACAATTTACATTTTGGGGTTCAAGACTAATTTTAGATTCAATGTCATCTTCTTCCATTAGTTCCAAACTATATGAAGTTGATCTTACATGAGCCTTCAGTAGACCCAAATATTTTAATAAGTTCTACTTCTTTACTTCATCACCTTGTAAATAAAATAATTAAATAGGTATTATATATTTTCTTTAATATTTGTTTATTATTGTACCGATTTTCGTACTTTTTCCTGATTTTCTCATGTTTTTCCCGGTTTTTTCATATTTCTTGAGAAAAAAATTACTGTGAAATTACTTCTGCATTACTTTCTTTTTTTTTTTATTAAAATAAAAAATATTACAATCTGTAATCCATCAGCCCATTCTAATTCGTTATCAAGCATCCCATTGGGAATTCTCGATTGCCCGATAGTCTAATCCATCCCTAAAAGTACCTATAATGTATAAATCTTTATCTTTATATATATTAATCGTAATAATTGTGAAAAATGCTGAACAGCCAGAACTTACTTCGTACCATGTTGTAGGTAAGAAGTTTGGAAAGTATAGGATATAAATACATAATATAGTGTGATTTGGTAATGTTATATAGTAATTGGCAACTGATATTGATTTAGTATTGGTCGTTATTGTGACCAAGGTAATATAGAAATCAACAAAAATAAAACCAATGCATCGTCATTTGTTGTCTTGTTATTCCCTTATATTCCCGTTGTAGTTATCAGTACATTACAAAGCGTTCCTTACATATGATTTGTAACTTTATTATTATTATTTTTAATTTAAATACAAATTCGTCATATTATTATTATCATTATTTGTTGAAATATGAGTACTTATTAATATTTGTAATATGGTAATCAAAAAAAAAAAAAACCCAAGTAAAAAAAGCCATGGAATAAAAAAATCTGTATACTTTGTATTTTTATTTTTTTTTGTTTTCCCCAACCAACTATTAATTTTCTCACTAGAAAAGTTACTGAAGTTAAAAATAAGTTAAATAAAGTTTTTAGTAAAAATAAAAACAAAAAAAATACACATTAAACAATCAATATTAATCAATATTAAAAAATTGTTCTATAAGGCATCAGTAAACAGTAATAATAATACATTTATTTCTATTATAAAAGTACGAAATGCTATTACTATTATTATAGAATTAATAACACTTAATGTAGCTAATTATAATGAAATAAATAAATTGGCTTTTTTTTCATAAATTCTTGTAATATAGATATTTACGTTTCTACACATACGTTTCTGTACATAAGGTACTTTTTAGATATATTAACAAGGTGAAATTAAAATAAGGTAACTTAAGATATACTAGGTTACTATCTATTCTATTAAAATTGTACATGCAACTATAATTTATTGTTTAAAATACATTTAAAACTGGGAACTTAGTTTGCTCGTAAAATGAACTTTACTTACTTATTTTATACAGCTGCAACTATTTCATGTGGATCTAATTTTAACCTAAATGCCGAAATATATATGTTCTAAGTAATGCAATTTAGCCCGTAAATCACCGAATAAAAATCCCTAACGCTATTATCAAACTTATAGTTCAAAATATTATGTATTCAATAATAATATTATAAAATAATAAGAATTATTATTAATATGATGTACTTTTGTTGCGGAAACCGTGTTGTTATCCGATTTCAGTGGATAGCGAAATATTTCAAGCTGTATTTACTAAATATAAGAACCATATATTATTACTTGGTTTTACTACCTATTAACTATTATTAAAAATTAATTTATAGAATTCGACGAAATACCAAACCAATTTTATTTTATATGATAGGTCTTAAACAAATTTAACGTTTACTATCTATTGATAATTTAATAATAATAATAATAATATGTAGTATATTATATTATATGCCTGGAGTCAACTTTTCTTTTTAAACACATTAAAAAATTATATAGTTTATATATTTTCAAATACTGATGTACTGCGGTGGTGGCTCGAAGGAGGTATATTTGAATTACGTGATTTACAAAAGACCGGGTTGGTGGATCGTGGGTACCCACCAGAGTGTTCAGAAAAATAACAAAAATTATTATGCTTAAACGAAACAAGTTATTTAAAGAATTTTAGACTACGGAAATTTGATGAATTTTATTGAAATCAACAAATTTCAATGCATTTCTAGTAGGATGGGGTATTTTTTAGGTCAGAGTGAGTGGGTAGAAAATTATATCGGTGATTTGAGTTAAAGATTCTTCAAGCCACTATTGCTGATGTATGCATGACATTCATTTGTATTTATATTTTATACTCGAAAGAAGACGGTTATAAAATATTCAAAAAAAGAACGAACATACTTCGCACGTGGGTGCAGCCATTGTAGGTGGGAAGTTGGGAAGGTAGGATACAGACGGAAATTTAATGTATCTATAAGCAACGATAAACCATTGCTAACGAACAAATGATTCTGGGCTGAGTTCAGTTGATAGTGTTGCTTTGTCAACAACTATTGTACTGTTGTATGGTATATACCATATTTAGATAAAAAAAATTACAAAAATGTGCGTTTCCATGACAACCTTGTTTTTAATCTTTCAATATTTTTTAAACTAAAGAACCAGGTTTTTCTCATTATCTCAAATATTAATGAAATCTTCAAAAAATGACCTCTCTAAAGTACCACCCAGAGAACATTTCTTTTCAAAAAAGATGCTATACTTGATAATCGGAGTATCCTTTCTGGTAGAAAAAGTGTTAACATAAAAAAAAATCATTGTAAAACCAATATATTCCTCGCTTCACTCAGAATCTAAAAAAAATGTTTCTATTTTGAGATCACTGATTAACTATAACTTATCGATATATTTATACATTTAGAAGATTAGACAAACCAAAGACGCGCATTGTGCCGATTTATGGACCCTCCTGTACTTTGAAAATTCCCAAGTATTTACTTATGCTGACCATCTGGATTTCAGGTGGGTATTATTTAAAAATCTCAGATTTTCTTAAAAAAAATTAACAACGGATTCTATGAATGTACGATTGTATTTGCCTACCTGCTGTAATCTGGTCCAAAACAATCATCTTATTTTCTGGTATATCTGCTGATACCATTTCGGTAACCTGTAGGAAATTATAGATTTTTATTATTTATTTAAAAAAAAAAATAAAAAAAAAAAATAGATAGGTTGATAATAAATTAATAACTAATCATATATTTTATAAATATTGGTTACTAAATAATTTGCTACCGACGTTACCGTCGATGTTCGAAGTTGATGTAGCCGTAGATATTCGTAAAAATTATCAATGAAAATTCAAAACAAATTTTACCAATAGAATATTAAAATCGGCCGTCAATTGCCGCGGTTCGAATATCCACGGACTAGCGGTATCTATAACCGATCAAATTAATTTATTAATTATGCATAATAGTAAGAAGCATAATTCAAGATAAGAAATCATAAGGGTTTATTCGCTATTTTCTGGTAACTGAGTTTTTAAACAAATAGTTACTTACAAGGTAGTTTTTTTTTTTTTTTATTAATATAAAAATGTAAAAAAAAAGGGTATTTTTTTTTAATAGAGTAAAAAGGCAGCCGTCCAATGGCGACACCTTTAAAAGGAAATTACTAAAGAGAAAGCAAGTCTCTATACTATTGCCCTTTCAACCGTCTAAGTGGGTTTCCTGGAATTTGATTAGAAGCAAGGGCCAAAGATACACTGCAGTTTTACCTACTATATAAATATAGAATAATATAGACATTAATTATGTCGGAAAACCACCAGGATTGTCACCGGTTTTTGACTTGGTGTACCGGTATCCCGAAAATAAATGACGGCACGCCAATATGTTCCGGTTTTGAGAAAAAATTATAATATTTAATTTCGACATTTTTTCGAATAATACGCAACTGTAATCGAGTGTTAACGATACGATTTTTATCGAATACGGGATAAAACAATTATAAAGTATCTAAATAATACGTACCTGTAATAACTATTTATTACTTGTATGTTTTATAACAATTTTTTTGACGATTAAAAAAAAAAATGAATATGTATTCTTTTTATAGTAAATTTATAATCTACACAAAAATAAATACAATTTTTGATGTATTGTTTTTGTTGATAAAATTATAAGTCGGTTTTTTTGAATATAAATAGATTTCAGGTATACGGATATAGGTTTTTACTCGTAATATGATTCAATCGTAATTTTAGCCTAATATTATTTGCTATTTTTTCTATTCGTCCCGGATTCGCGTTATGAAATTATGGTTATCTTAACTATTTATAAGTACTAACCGTTTGGTCCATTTGGTGCTCATCGTAATAATTCGCATTTTGATTGCTTTTTGCTGCAGTGTTTGATGTGATGTGATCGTCGGACATTTTTTTTTTTTTTAATTCACAAAAACAATACGCTGGTAGAATCGAAAAAATTAGATCTTATATTTACATAGTAAAACATAAGAAAGTATTGGACGGTAAAGTAAAATTTAATTATGATTCGTTTTATTATTACAACTAGGAACAACTTTGATCGAACATTACAATTTACAGTAGGCAATCGTTCGTATAGATTAACAATGATTTGCTGAAAGTACAGAAAAAAAAAAAATCCAAATGCCAATAAATGTCTTAGATATTATCTAAAATGGGAATGTGTCACCGTGTTTTTTTTTCATCCATGAACGAATTCAGAAAGTTTGCGCGTATTGCGAGAATATTGAGAATTTCAGTAGGTACTAAGCGTCGAATTATCAAACAAAAACCAATATAATAATTATAATGAATTATTATGATAACTGACGAGGGAAAACATGATGTGATTTTTTACATAGATTGTTGATGATCGATCTTCCATAAGCATGTCCGCGAGACACTATCATTTTCTTGGAAAGTATAATTTTTTTTTTGTACTTTTCTTTGGAAAACTTTAGAAAGGTTGTTAAACATATAGGAGGTACTTACGTGCGCAATTTTGCCACTTTTTTCTTATTATTATTTTCGTCCAATGTTTGGCAGTTAAATCATTATAGGTATTGCTGTATATATAGACACCAACTACTTAATGATTATATTGAAATTTCTATAAATAAAGGAAGTGATCGCTGATTTGAACACATTTTAGATGAAGGTTTTGAATTCACCCATAACGAAACGTTTGGCTTCCCACAAACGGACCAAATCACTTATTGAATATCGACAACAAATTAATAAAATTTAAAAACACCAGGCGAATAACAGTGAATACACATCGTGAATGATCCGCGTTCTTGATTTTTATTGTTTTTATTTACACCCAAGTCTCAAATCACAGAATTTGATCAAACAGTATCGCTGTATGTAACATGAGTGTAAACACAATATTGTTTTGCTATAGCATTAAACATTTATCGTTTTTCATGGTTTTTATGTTTTTATAGTTGTGAACCGTGGTTTTTTCAAAATATATAAGTACGTATATTTTTATCTATGGATTCTTTTTGTGTCAGTCTTGGGGACCTTTTTGACCGGGGATCTAGATGATCGTCACCCCGGTCGACGGATGGCTTTTTTAACGAAGCCGCAGGTATAAATAATTTTTATGTGTGATCGAAACACGACTAAACGCGTGGTAGTTATTCGAAAATGATAAAAACCGTTTTCGGACTTTCGGTAACGCGATCGCATACCTATTAACCATAGTATATAGATTATATATTATCTATGCTATTAACATACAAAATAAAAGCCTATCTGATGTGGTTTTGCTTGACATTAGTATTTATTTTCGATTGATTTCTTCCATTTGCTGGTTTCTTCGTATTATCGGGGGCCCATTTGAATATGGTAGTATTTAGTGTTAAAATATTACAAATTTAAATATTGGTACAGAAATTACCATAGACTTATAAGCTAGCGGACCGCGCACATCGGTATATACTGTATAGTATATAGGTAGTATATAATATATTCTGTGACCGCGCTTTCCATACCCCCTGTCAATGGATGCTTCGCTCATCATGGAATAATATATCGCAAAAATGTATACTCCATAATAAACGTTATTATTATGATTACGGTATCATTCATAGATAATACATTTTACTTGATTAATATCGGCTAGAAAACATTTTATTATTTTGTTCAAATGTTTAATTTGATGTATATTTCAGCATAAAAATTTATTCTATTTCAAAGTAAATGTTGCCACTCAAATAACTCTACTGGACTTTTATAGTCTTCATATTTCCAATAGCACCTAATATGATAAAAGAAACAACGGACAATAAAGGTAAAATAAACTATACAGGTTGCGTACAACTTTTAATTTTTTTTTGTAGGTACAATATTCACAACAGTTTAATATGTAACCTGTAATTATTTATTATTATTATTAAGAAAAAAATTACAGTTATAGGTAATAATAATATGACATAAGTTGTGTTGTCATTATGTTTGGTATCGTTACATTTTTGATTACCTATGGTGGTAGCATGTTAACTGGCGACTGGCATGTTTTATTGTTTAAAGCTATTAAGTCTAATTAGTATTAATATTATTTATGAATATTAGTGTATTTAAAATTATGTATTGTTTCAGAATGTTGTCAAGTGATAAAAAACTAAAACCATTACAAAAAGCTGTACTCGCAAAACTAATGGCAGCAAAAAATTGAATTTTCAGTGTGTTTGAATTAAAGCAGAAAAAGGACCAACTTACTTCTATTGTCAAATTTGTAAAAACTAATATTTTAGGGTATTGATTGCTATACATAGGCATTATATTTGGATAAAATACATGAAAAATATGAAATTACTCGAAAATACTTTACAAATTGATAAAATGCCTTAACTTGTATCTTAGAAAAATACAGATAGACTTAAAAAAAGAAGCTGTCTATGCTCATCACCAAATATAATATTTAATTTAAAACATCAGATCGTTTAGTTGTTATCATTTAGTAGTTAAAAGTATTTGTCATGAATTTAAAGTCAAAGAATAATTAATGTGCAATCGAACAAAAGCTACTGTGATTGTAAATAACACTATTAAACTTGAATCAATGGATGACTCTTCAGTGAAACACTTGTAATTAGTGTTAACTTAATTGTTATTGACTTTACATTAAGAGTTTTACTGTAAGAGACAAATTTGTTTAGTTCATCTAAAATAAGTTCTGCAAAAGTACAATATGCACTATATGGTATAATTATACATTTTTTTTTTTAAATATAATTTTATATAAAGAAAACTTGGGTTTTTTTTTGATGGAGTGAGAGAGCAAGTATTGTAAGGACAACATCATTCAGTTAAAACTTTACTTGAAAAGAATGTCAAAAATTTATTTGTAGTAAAATGTGTTTGCCATTTTATTGGCACTTTGCGCCTCATAATATGCTTGTAATAAATTACCAAATGATGTAGAGTAATTAGTTAGAGAAGTCTATATTTATTTTCTGTAGTTTACAGTTACAAAAAACAGAAATAGTTCAGTGAATTTCAAATTCAGATTGATACTTAATCCCATATATTGTTATAGGGCCCCATTTAGGGTGCTATTGTAATTATTTATTTATTTATTTGTTTGTTTATCTTCATTGTCATTATTATTATTTTTAGACGAATGTCATGCGTTAATAAATAAATTGGCAGCTCAATACTCCAATGATCAATGATAATAATGCTATTTTAAAAGAATTTATATAAAATGCTATGATGAAGTGCAAGTTTAATTTTTCAAACTGCTTTCAGTATATTTATAGGTAAGTAATAATATTTATCACTTTATAATGTTCAAACTTGGTACCTTGCTATTTCAAATTGATAACACCAACCGTTTTGTGTCAACATTTTTGATTTCTGTCTACCCGTTAACGAGATATTCCACTTTTAAGTTTAGGTAGTGGGAGAGTAGTGGAGTATCATTTGTGTGATGGCATGGCTAGGTTTTATTAGTGCTCCATTACTCTCCCCCTACCTAAACTTAATAGTTGAATATCTTGTTAACGGGTAGACAGAAATCAAAAATGTTGACACCATAATTAATTTAAAGTAATACTCTATCTATTTATGGAATTTTTAATATAGGTTCTCATTTAAAAAACTAAAGTGATATTGCCACATGATACTCCTTAAATGTTGTGAAAAATCTATGTTCGAAAACATTGGCTTTAACTACTCTAGCAGTCAGCTAGAATTTGTTTTCTAGGTAAGTCTTACATCTTCAAAAAACATACATGAGTTTAAGGATTTCACATGCTGTTTTTTTTTGCATTATGTTTGTACAATAGTTTATCTACAATTCTATATGAATATTGGACAAAAATATTTCAATGATTTAAAATAATTTTGTTTAAGGGGCTTAACTTGGTATACTTATAACATTTTAATGACTGTCTTAAATATAAGACTTTTCTAATAATCTATTGTTCGATACCCATTTAGAGAAGGGGTGTGGTATTATTTGAAAATTACTTTGTTGGATTAGGGACACCTAACTCGTTACTTACTTATTATATTGATAACTATTATCGTTATGTAATGAGATTAATTATTTGTTCATTTTGTTTCTGCAGATAGCACTTTAATTAGAATTGTATTAGAAGGTTAGAATCAATTTTATCAGTTTTATTTGTGCAAATTACAGAAGAAGCCAATACACAATCACAATTACATAAAGTACTATTGGTTATCTCATTGTTATAGTTTTTTTTTAACAAATTATGTTTTTTTAATACATTTTTAAATATATTTGTTATACTTCAATCTAATAAAAAATGTGATAATATTTTATTTGATTTTAGAATTTTGGTGTTGTATTCAGGGGTACTACCAAATGTAAAAACATTGATTCATTGTCTGTAGACAATCAAGCTGATGTTTGTGAATTTATCCGCTGCGAAGATGATTTATAATATAATACTACTTATATTTGTTTGGTTTTAGTAAGCTCATTTTTGAAAATTATAATTTTTTAAGAACAACTTGTAAATGTGATCCTTATGAATAATGATAATCAATTAAAAATATTACAGTAAGTACATTTGTCTTAAGTGCATAGACGAAAATCAATTTAACTAATATCTTATAGACTTATAAGAACTTCCTGTTTAGATTTTCATAAGTTGTTCTTTTGACAAATTATTTTCAAATCTACTTCAGACAACTGTTTACTTTTATTCAACATGCATTTTGTAAGTCAGACATACTTATTTATAATCTTAAAAATCTTTTAGCGTTTATTAAATTAAAAATCTCTTGGTCATTATGATCTTTAATAATCATAATTCAATGATTAAGAATGGAATAATCATGATCTACATAACCCGTTCACATGCTTATATACCCAGTGATGTAGTTCTGAACGAATTCATAGGTATACACTTAAATCATTGAGAAAATATAACGTGAGGGGCTTTGTTCCCCCACTAATTAGTCTATTTTCCTACATATAATACTTTTTGAATTTTTTTTCAGCTGTTAGACTTGTATATATTACCTAAATAATAATTGGTACTTATTGAAACTTATAAATTATAAGTAATATAAAAAAAGGATTAACCTAAAAAAAGACTGTATATTGTACATAAAATATAAATTAACAGATAAAACCAAATTTTACCAAATTTTACATAGTTTAACTATTTGATTATAAAATGGTCCGAGTTATCCAGAGAAGGTTGTAAAGCTATTGAAATTCTCAATCTGATCAGTAGAAGTTGTAAACCAAACCTGCAGTAATTTGGACTGGATACAAAATGATCTCCCTAAAGTACCACCTAAATAAAATTTCCTTTCAGAAAAGGTGCTACGTTTGAAAATTTGAGTAAAATTTCTGGTAGAAAAGTTGTTCACAGATAAAAAAAATTAATACATTTCTCACTCCGCTCAGAAACTATAATACATTTTTAAAAATAACTGATACTAGAGACGAGTGCGGCCACAGTTGTGAGTGGTTAGTTGGGATGGTAGGATACATAAAGTTATTTAATTTATACCTGTTGTTACCTAGGATAAACCATTTCTATTACTTTATTAAAAATGAATATGTGTAAAGCTAGGTTATACATGTTTTGAAAGGCTGTAATATTTGCGATTTTTGTTAACATTTAATTTAAAACTTTTAAAAATAAAAAATACTACATTGCACTCAATTTTTTTTTTGAACACTAAGTAGGACTTATTAAACTTGTTAAATTTTCAGTCATTTTTGTTTAGTCTAACAATTTTAGCTACAGGAGTATGTACCTACTAAATAAAAATAATGTAAAAAAAATTGAAGAATTAAAATGTCTATAAATACCTAAAAAAGGAGTTATGAAAATTTCACCATGTCTAGAAAAAACAAATATAATTTTTTTATCAAAATTTCAAGTCCACGAATATTTTATCTAAAAAACAAAAAACAAAGTTTAATATAATTAAATCATTTTTATACATTTTCCCATATTGTTTACTTATTTTTTGGTTTTTCCTAATTATTTAAAAAAAATACTTTAGATATCAAAAATCCATTTTATCTGTTAGTAGATATGTATTAAATGGAACAAAATTTTAATTATGAGCAAGATTTCTATTAGAAAATTTTGTTTGCAAAATATTAAAGCAGAACGCTATGTTGCCATAAATATTAAATTCATTTAAATTTTTTAGTTTTTCCCAATTATTTTATAAACTACTTTGGATATCAAAAAATAACTTCCTCTGACAACGACTATATGTTAAAAGTAACGAAATCAATCTCCTGTTATTTTTTGATTGAAGCAATATTTTTGTTATAGAAAACATAAGCTGCCAAATTAAAAACAATGAAATTGGTAAAACCTTGACGCTTTGTAAATATTTTCTGTTTTGCTAACAATTTTCTTTCGTGTTTTTTCCAATTATTTCAAAAAACCCTTGGAAAATAAAAAAATAATGATCTCATAAATGCAATAATTAGATAAAATTTTCTTTCAGAAAAGGTGTTTTAACTATACTCTGTACATTGGAACAAGATTTTTTTTTGTAAAGTTGTTTACAAACAGAGAAAAAAAATAAAAGCACACATCATAGTAAAATTAATAGATTCCTTATTATGCTTTGAAACTTCAGGGTAAGTTAACTGTAGTGATAATAGCGGGAATTGAAACGGAAATCAGGGGGAAAATGTTTTTATTACACGTTTGTTTGGCACGGATGAAGCCACGTGCTGGGTGGAACAGCTAGTATATAAAATTAAATGTACTAATATTTACTTAATATTAAATATAATTTGTTCAATTAAAACTATAGGTTAGGTATTAATGATTCAAATATTTAAATGTTATAGTATTAACTTGAAATTATAATAAACACATACATTTTTAACTGCTGAATATTATATAAATGTTTCCTAAATTTTCCTCTAAAATATATATTTTTTCATAATAATAATGTTTAAGTATTCTTACACTTTTTACTTTATTACAATTGTTCGCGTGTTAAATACGTTTCGTAAATACATTTTTTTTTCATTAAATGGATGAAGTAATAACTGATGACGATGAATTTTCAGAACTTATTAATTTAGTCATTCACCCTCGATTATCAAGGGTATTTCGGCAGTGTCTTAATTATTTTGAAGATATTCGGGATTTTGAGTTCACGGTTTCGACTATCAAAACTTGCTGTGTTACATGTACATAATTTAATACAACACGATATAGAACATTGAACTGACAAGTAAATTTTTAATTTTAGCTTCTTACCATAATATTTAAATAATCGTATTACCAGGTACGTACCCCAGATTTTTTTTTTTACGTGGTTGGGGGTACATTTTACTAAATTTACCAATTATATTATAATTAGTATACAAAAAGGGGTAGGTGACGTCTTGATAGGCGGGTGACCAGTCGTACAAGTTTCTTCTCTTATCAATAACACTGTAGACCAACCATAGAGCTATTTCTATGAGATCAACGGGTTTTAGCGTTATCGGTGGTTTTATGTGGAATCATATTTGTATTAATTATATTGCTTACCGCCCAAAAAAAATTAATATTTTTACTATTTCATATGTAAATCTTATTAATAAATACACATAAATGTAGTGTGAAATAATGCACTAATGTAAAATGTTTTTATTTAAGCATTGATTATAAATACAATAGATTGCTCACTGGCCCGATTTATGATAGCGTAAAATAAAACGCCCGATAGATGGTGATATGATTATTATTACAACATAAAATTAAATAAATTCATAAATTTTAATTTTGTTGTCACAAAGGTTTGTACACGTTTTCCCCTAGTAAATTAGCTCCAATCTTTACGTATAACAAGTTTTTTGAAAAGCCTAGTTAGTGATAGTATTTTATAGAAGACATTTTTTTGATTTTCGACACAGTTTTCTAAATAGCGCTTAACCGGGAAAAAACACAGTTTTTTACGTTTTACGATTTCATTCATTTAAATAAATATGGAAGACGTTTTCTACCAGAAATAGTGTTCTAATGGAAAAATGACAAGAATCTGAAGAAACATTTTTTGTTGCATTTTGATTCTTGTTTCTTATGACGCAAGTTGATTTTTGATTTTTCAAGTAGTTTTTATAAGGAATGGGAAAAGCCGGGAAAAAATTATGGCGCCTCAAAATGTATTTAACAGAATATTATGCTCCGAATCGTTTTTTGTCAGCAATGATTTACCGTTGCTTACAGATATAAATTAAATAACCTTATTTATCCTACCTTTCAAACTTCCCATCTATAAAAGTGGCAGCACCAGTGTTGGCTCTTTTTTTTAATAAAGAAAATGTTATTATTTATCATGTTGAAGAGACGACCAAATTTATTATTGGATTTAGGAATTTTATTATTGCTTAATATTTACTAAATTTATACGACTGAAACTACCGACTCGTTTATAATATTTTCTGTGATTAAATATTCACAACCAATTGTATCCACGAGCTTCACTTCCGGTCCTGTTGCAGACGCGGGGATACGTCGTGTTAAATAAATAAAGCGTTTTGTAGTGAGAGATAACTATAAATGCTATACAATTATTTTTATTAATATTGTTTTCCAACATTCAGTCCATTAGGAATAAAAGGATGCTAGACCAATATTGAACAACTGCGTAATTCAATAATAGTTGTGTAGGTATTGTTTTAGTTAGTATTTATTGAAGAACTACATAATTCTATTAAAAACGAATAAAAATAGATATATTTATAAATATCTATAAATTATTTTCGTTACTATTCTATTGGGTAGTTTATTTTTTCAAATTTGCATATCTAATGCATACATTTAGTACTTATATTATAAATGCTTATGGTGAAAAATTGTGTACGGATTGAAGATCGCAAATAAAAGTTGAAATTATTGTTATTACTATATTAATACTATATTGTTACTATATTGAATATATTTTAGTCTAGCTTATTTGCTTCACTAACCTAGGTACCTATAAACATAATTATGCATTCATGCTAACTTTAGACATTTATACAAATTTTACAATATACGTCATAATAATATAATGATTTAGATTTGGTGCTGGTTGTCGTCGGGAGCCCGGAACGGCGTTTTGTGAATTACTAGTGATTATGATGGCACCCGCCATAACTAGAAACAGCGCAGAGCTCCTTGTAGCGGCACCCGCCATTTACCATGCACCGTATTTTATATTGCAGTGAGCAATCTATAGTATTTATAATCAATGATTTATGCTACTAAATGCTGATTATTTAGCTTGAAAATTAACAGTTGTTAATACTAATTGACTTGCATTGCAACCATAGATCTTATAAGGTTTATGATTGCGACACCCCCGCACTTGTCTCTTCACTAAATTGTGAATAACATAAAAGGTAGAACACAAGGTGAAGGAAATACGTAAAGCGCATACTGAAAGGTTTGGCGTTTGTTATAGCTAATATTATGGTAAAATATGTATATTCATCTACATTACTTCATAATTATACAAAAATAGGTAGTAGATGGTACCAGTTTACTTAACATCTATTATAAAATATCTATTTCGTCGAATAAAATTTTTTTATTCAATGAAATATAGTTTTAATGAGTTTAAATGCAATATCCAATTAAATTCTTAGGCTTACACCTGTTGATATTTTAGTAAAATATTGAAAAATAATTTTAGAAATTAGAAGTTAATATAGAATTAATTAGTGCTGGCCACTGTATTCACATAAATTGGCCGAATAGAGATGTTAGATATGTATAATAACAAGTAGGAACTTTAATAATTAAAAAGTACCTACCTAATACACAATTATTTTAAAAATATAAATATTTTAAACATTATATTCTATATAGTTTTACTTTAAGTTCATAATTTTAAGCAATATTTAATAGTACAATTGTTCTGAATTAAGTGTAGTATAAGATTATTGAGTGGGTGCTATTCTATAGTCAAGATCTTGGTCAAGCAATACCTTCAAAGGAGGGGTTCCTCTTCATAACTTCTACACAAATGTATAGTTAAATTTGTGTAACTTTACCGAATTAAATAAAAACAAATTAACAATTATAATAATAAATAAAATAATTTTTATAATGACTAGTTGTGTTGCGATTTCCCAATATTAAATACGAGTTTACTGATTGCATTATTAGCTTAAATTGTGACAAGCGATTATACAGATAGATGGTATTAGCATTTTCAAAATGAAAAAACTTATTAAAACAAGGCTCAGAATAACAATAATGTTTGAAGAAAGATTAGAGAATTGTATGATCTTCTGCAAACGTGACATTGAAATTTAACATTACAATAATATGATGTACCTAAATATTTTCTAAAAAAAGTAGGTATTACATTAACAAAATATTTGGAAAAATGGTATTTTAACTTTTTTTTAAATTAAATGTAGGTATTACTATTACATACCTATTTTCTGTGTGGAAGGGGGTTTAAGCTATACGTTCTTAGTGGGTGGTTTGGTAGTTTTTATGTTTCGCTAGACCTTTATTTTTAAGTATACCCACCACTGAAGTTATATTTATGAGTATTGGTAAATAATATATGTATATATATATATATATGTTACAGTTAAAACCCGAAATCCGTCAAAACTAGTTTCCAAAAATCCCTTTAGTCAATTCTAGTTTTGACTAATTATAACTAGAATTAACTAAGGCCTTCGTCGGTAAAACTAGATTTAACTTATATTTGCTCAGTTAGAACTAGTTGTATCTGAAATATATTGGTGAAAACTAGAATTATCTAGTGAAAATCGGTAGTTTTTATTTTGATAGTCAAAACTAGTGCGAGACAAACACACAAGTAGGTATAACGTCTATAACGAAGACAAACGAACTGATAACACGGGAACAAAAACTACAGCAGCCGAATTATTAACTATAAGTTATAATCGGTGGAAGTTATCATATCTAAAAGTGATTAGACATCTATCTAATCACTGGTTAAAGTTATCTTAATTGATTTGATAGTCGGCCAGTCGAATTTACGGAGTAATATTTATAGATCTCATACAATTGCGTGCGTTTTAGGTAGTGCCGGTTAGAATACGTGCGTTTCAGTAAAAACTAGTTTTGACTGACTTATTTAAATCTGTAGTTAATTCTAGTTTTAATTAGTCAAAACTAGAATTGATTTGTAGAATTTTTGGAAACTAGTTTTGACGGATTTCGGGTTTTAACTGTAACATATATACATATTATGTATACGTGTATTCATATTGACTAGTATCTGGATAACAAGTTCGACATAAAGTATAAGTCATAATCCTTAACAATTTCACACAGCTTGTACTTGCAGTTGTTGATTTGGATCAAATGTAAAATCTTTCATCATTACATATGTCGTTCCCAATTCGTTAAATGATTTCGGAATTTCGTATGTTACTTGTTCCTCTGTAGCAGTACCTTTGGCTTTAGTTTGATTTTGATCTAGTACTTCATAATCTAAAAAAACAATATTAATAGGTATCAATATTAATATATTGGTGGCGTGCACTTTACGCCCTGCGTTTTGCGCCCGTTGTCGAAATTATATTAGACGGACTATTAATCGCTCAAAATTTAAAATTTTGTAATGTAAAATTAATATAATATAATAATATAATAGTACACATCTGTCAAATTATTATTGTCTACCGTTTCCTTGTATATTTGAAAATCCGAACGTAACACAATAAAAGTCAAAAACTACTAAAGGTCCTATGTGTGACTGGCCGCAAGGACTGAACGCAACTAGTTGCAAATTACTGATCCATGTTTAATCTACAAACGTAGTTTCCAATGTGCGATCGACGTGTGCGCGTCGAAAACTGATCCGATAGCAGTGTTGTTTATGAGTTGTATGTGTCTATTCGTATTTTCAATCAAAGTAGCATGACAAATTTGATTTGTAGGTTATTTTTTTATTTTTTTTGGTGATTTATGACAAAATTAATGAATTTATATATTAAATAATTATAATTATTAAATAATAAACAATACTAATCATGTCGAAAACTATTCAATCAATATTTTTGCCAAATGAGGGAGAAATTTTAGTCGAGGGAGTCTTCTTCTTTTTCTTTCTCTATTAGAAGTCTAATTACTTTATTATTATTAATAATAATTTTAATAATTACGTTACAGTAATATTATTAAAATAAAATAATCATAATCATGTTTGCACGCTACTAAATCTTAAGTTAAATTGGCGTATAATATACGCCAATCGCAAAGTGTAGTCGCATATTGGTAACCAACCGGTACGCAGCTTCTGGACATTACGACTAGTCGTTGAATTCAGCCGTTGCGGCCAATCGCATATAAAAACCGTACCTTAACAGTGAACATTTGATCGATAATAATAATGTAGCTATTGGTTATCCGAAGGCTATATCGATTTGTAGTTTATATTATATAATTATGGTGGAAAATTCATACGTATATAATTACGTGAAATATAATTGTAAAACTATTATACTTATCAGTTACCTATCATTTGTTCAGAAATCTGAACCAAAACTATAATTTGACAATTTTATACGATTATATTATATAATATTAATTTTATATAATTTTAAATTTTGAGTGAATAGTCCGCTTTATATAATTTCAGCAGGTAAATATTTCGATAATGGGCGGAAATAGCATAAAAAAGGTAATGGGCGCAAAACGCACGGGCGCAAAGTGCATGGCGCCTATATATTTGTTTAGGTAGGTATAAATTATAGATATTAAATAATTGTATACTAATATGATTATATACCATCCATTAAGTAACACATATTGTTAACAAACTGTTTGAAATCCAATTGTAAGTAATCGTTTCCTTTTTCCAACATTTTTTCCAGAGATGTCGTTAGCGATTTAAAATTGGGTCTTCTGTGTTGATCGTCTGCCCAACAGGCTACCATGATATCGTATCTGCAAAAATGATCCACAAAATCAATACGCGATTAGGTATTAGATTTTTTTTACTTACAACTAATAAAAAATAAATATTTAAACTTGTTGTAATATTAAAATGTTTATGTTACTGTTCTGTGATTACTTAGCTACTTATTGACTTAAGTATGCATAATTCCGAAAATAAATTACAAAATATATAAAGGTACAGGGGTGGCTACAGAGAAGTGGTTGGGGGGGGGCTAAGTCATATTTTATATTTAATAGTTTTCTCCTACTGTTTAAAATACACATTTTTAAAGCAAACTGTATGGCCATGAATCATGGGAGGCGATGAATTTCTCCATTAACCTTCTAGAAATACGTCCTTAGAAGGATGGAAGATTTAATTTGCAACGGTCACAAAATTCTTAAATGCAGTCCTGTGTACCTGATAACCATAATTAATATAATAATATACTTGAATATAACCTCAGAAATACAAAATGGGTTTCTCACTCCCTCAGAAATTTAGTGTATGTGCAATATTATAATTTTACAAACTGTAAATTCCTTGATTTTAGAATTTAATATTGAATATCGAATATATTTCGCACGTAGGTGGGGCACTGTTGTAGGTGAAAAGTTGTAAAGGTAGAGGGAAAATTTAATCTATCTGTAGTCTGTACGCAAAGATTAATCATTATTAAGGAAAAACGATTCTGTTCGGTTAATAGTGTTGCTTTGTCAATAATATACGAGTTAGGTTAGGTTAGGTTAGGTTAGGTTAGTTACCTACTTACTACGAGGTTAGTAACAATAATATATGGTAAAATAATTATATATGCCTTAAAGATTTTCTTTAATAATATTTATTTAATATAATTGTACCCGGTTTTCCCATTTATTGGGAAACTCCTGGGAAAATCAAAAAAACAACCGGCTTAAAGTACCTCCCCAGTCAGATTTCTTTGTAGAAATAGTGCTATCATTGTAAATCCGAGCAAAATTGCTGGTAGAAAAGTTGTTCACAGAAAAAAAAAAAATAAACACCATTGTAAAACCAATACATTCTTTGCTCCACTTAGAATCTAATAGTGTAAATTATCGAAAATATTAAAATTTGTATATATATGAAAATAATACTAAATGATTTTCTGTTTTTTTTTTTTTTCACTAGGTAGGTAATTTCCTTACATATTATAGTTTAAACTTCTATACTTTATATCATTCTTTATAACCCACATAGTTAATTGTTTTATATTGTCAATATTTTATTATTTAATTAATAAGTAATTCACGTGTCGATTTATTAGCTAGGTGCTCGGATATTTTACCTAGTTACCTATCATAATATTTGCTGTTTGTTGTAAAACAGAGGTTCCCAAACTTTTTATTGTACGACCCATTTTGGGAAATTTTTAAAATTTGGCGACCCACAATATCAATGAATGACCTTTTTTTTGCTGACATTTATTACCTCGATTCATCTATATGTACCGTACAAAAACAATTATCTGAGATAAGCCTTGTATATCTGTGGACTCGTCTAGTTGTAATGAGAACCATGTACTCAAATTAACTCTTTCGATCAGTTTATATTCTACCCATTCAGAAATTTCGTCGATTCTACGTGGAACTGTATTATTTGAAAGCGATAATTTTTCAACTTCTTTTAAACTTTTTTGATCAAACATGATCCCGACTGCGTCTTTTATTGGTGGTAAAATTAAAGACTCACCAATTGTGTGAGGCTTACCAGTTTGAGCAATTTATAAGTAAACTTATTTTATATGAGGCGTACGTAGCTTTTTGGTTAATTGCAGTAAAAGTAAAAATATTTTTTGGTGTTTTTAGAGATTCTAGTTTTCTTCAATAAAAATCGAGTGGTTTATTCTTCATTTCTGGATGGTTCGTATCTATATGTCGATGTAGTCCAATTCGCAAATATTCAGAACAATATTTTCTTAAAGAATTTTTTTGTTTCGACTCAGAAGAACTTGTTGAAGGCTCATCGTAATTAAATTTTCTTTTTTTAACTATTGACGCAGATATTGTTTCTGTTTTTTCTTAACTTTGAGTCATTGACTATTTGTTTAACCATTTGTCCATAGTTGTACAAAATTATAAAGAAAACGAATTTATTTGAGAAAAAATAATATTAAATATACAACTGCGTACATGTATCGTATTCAATGTACCGCGTGTAACTGAAAAATAATCAAAAGTTTTGAACGTCGTGCAGATACCTACTAATTTGTGTGTTCTGATAAATCATTATCTTTTCAATAACTATTAATCTAATTGCGTCGTTTTGACTCGGTCGCTGTAAACTCGTAATCGTCACACTCACAGATAACGATTGACGATAAAACTGAATTTGAACAATAACGTAATATAAAGTAATAGATGTTTAAAAAATGTAATATTTAAAAATATAACGCGACACACCAAAAATATAATCGCGACCCACAGTTTGGGAACCTCTGTTGTAAAACATTTTTATAAAATAATAGTAGATAGTTTTTTTTTTAAATAATACAGTTAATTAAAAATCAAAAAATCAACTACATACTTGACGATTGTTATTTAAATTCTCTTGAATTTATTGTAATAAAATATTAATTTAATATATAATATTATACATTATAGAATGTCAATACAAGTTTATGAAATTATGTTTTTTTTTTGCTTGTATTTTACAAAATTATATCGATATACGAGTATAAGGATATTTTCATGAATTTTATACTTACAATTCATGCGAACAATGTTCTGGTTTAGCCATTCGGTATCCTTCCTTTAACAATTTAAACAAATCTTGTACAGCTATCCCAGGATACGGAACTGCTCCTAAAGTGACTAACTCCCATAGTAAAATTCCAAAACTCCAAACATCCGATCTGCTTGTGTATATGTGATCTGCTAATGATTCGGGTGCCATCCATTTGACCGGAACTATAATACATATTGTAGTTGATAATGATTTATACATTTTAAATTTGATAATTGTATTATTAGAAGAAACAAAGTCCAAACCTCTTCCTTTAGTTTTCTTTAAATAAGTATTGTCTTCGTAGACATCTCGGGTCAAGCCAAAATCGGATATTTTACACATTTTATCTTCGGTCAATAATACATTTCTTGCCGCTAGATCTCTATGCACTAACTAAATATTGCCGGTATTAATAAATATTAGTAATCTTTTTTTTTTTTTTTTTTTATATTAGTGACTACTATTTACTTTCAGTTCTGCGAGATAAGACATTCCCTTAGATATTTGCCAAGCGAATTTCAAAATATCTTTTGGACTGATAGGGTAAAGTGGAAGCATTATAGGCGTTCTAGTCTCGATTCTATTGAAATTTCCCGTGACTAAACCATTTGAATTGACATCTTGAATTCGACTCTTGCGGAGGTAAGATCTATAATAATAATAATAATAATAATTAAAATTTTTCATAGTGAATTTAAATACACAATATTATTTTATTCTTCAACAGTCATACCTAAGTGAACCATATTTGGCATATTCGATAATAAGGTAAAACGGACCGTCTTGAGTGGTACAAGCTCCAAGTAGCTTAACTACATTAGGATGATTGACGTCTTTTAACAAGTTATATTCTGATAATAAATCATTCTTTTCAGTTGTACCCGCATTGTTTTTTACGGTTTTGACTGCGACTATCGATTCGCCTGTAACATATATAAAAAGGAAATAATATTATAATATGTGGGTAGAATACATTTCAAATATTTTTAATAAACACACAAAGTCGTAAAATCATTTTGGAATGTGACCCATTCTATTGAATCGTCCCATTAAAAGGAGAGAAGAAAATTTGAGTATGCAATATTATAATATAGCAGGATGGTATAATATAGTCCGATGGCGGCATGTAATAGACACCGTCGTAGCTTTCTTTTATTATTAAATACAACGATTGTGTTCATACATCAAATATATTATCATGTTCAAAAGCCATCTCAAATACCACATTGCTCCAACAAGAACGTGACTTTCGACTAGTAATGTTCTGTCGTAATGTGTTTAATTATTGTTTTTTTATTCATTCATATATTTACATAATATACTACATGCGTACATATTAAATAAAAAATATATTAAGTAAATTTAATTTATTAAATAAAGTAGAAATAGTAGTTTATATTTGTACGCACTGATAAATCATTGCAAACGAAGAACGATTCTGAACTAAGTTGATGAAATAGTTTTGATAAATTTAAATTTAAATTTTTACCTATTTATTTGAAACTAAAAAATGAATAACAACTGTCTGTGTTTTCTGCCTCAAATTGTTCACTATTTTTATTGAGCCAAAAAAGTTTTATCCATATAAATCAGAAAATAGCAGGTACACGAAATGCAGTGATTTTTAAGATTTTCATTAAAATGTATACGTATACTAAATTTCAGATTCTGAGTAGACCGAAGAAGCTTATATTTTTAAAGATATTTTTTTTTTCTATGGACAACTTTTTTACTAGAGATCTTGCTCCGATTTTTAAGTGTAGCACCTTTTCTGAAAGGAAATCAGATCAGGGAGGTACTTAAAAGAGGTCATTTTTCGGTTTTCCCAAGAGTTTTCCCAGAAAATGTGAAAAACCAGGGGAAAATGAGGGAAAACCAGGAAAATGGAAAATCGGTAAAATATTAAACAAATATTATTAAAGAAAATATATAATACCTATTTAATTATATTACCATAATATGACGCATTTATTGTTGATAAAGCATTACTGAATTTCGCTCAGAATCGTTTTTTCGTTACCAATGGTTTATCGTTGTTTACATATTATGTACATTAAATTCCCTTCTGTATCCTAAATTCCCAACTTTCCACCTATAACAGTGGCTGCACTCGCCCTCGTCGACAGCTTTTTTTTTTTAAAAATTTGGTTAGGGAACTGCTCCATTTGTTTCACTGAGTACCTCATAAAATGCAGAATTTTTGGCCGATGGTACTATTTATTTGAAAAAAAATTTCTAGATTCTAAACAGTTTTTCTAAACAATTAAAAAAATAACTAACAACAAATGTCGATATATATTTTTTGTTTTGTTGAGTTTTAAGTTACCTTAGCTTTTTATTTCTTATTTAGCTATACTATTTATATACCTATCTACGTTATATTTATTATTATTATTTATTTTTTTAATATACCTTTTATATTGTGAATGTCCGTAGCGTGAGCTTTTAGAACTTTACCGAATTCTCCTTCGCCAATTTCTTGTTTCAGAACAAGATTTTCCCTCGGAAATTCCCATTTTTGGTCAAAGTCCTGTGGAATAATTTATCATAATAGCAGTGTAACGATTATTATGATTATTTTATAAATTACAGTAATAAAAGTATTTGAGTTAGATACTGGGTTTGGATGATGTCCATGTTGATCACGCATAGGTAACAATTCCTCGGGTTTTCTGACGTTTTTGTTTTTTTTGCTACTCTTTAAAATCCTGAAATAAATATACATATTTGTTTAAATACAATTCGTATATTTATAATCAAATTCTAATTCACTTATTTCTGCAATAAATCATAAGGATTCCAATTTTCACGAATAAAATAACAATTGCTATACTCATATTAACATTGTGGTCACACCAGTATCCATCACATACCGATGTATCTTCTTGTTTGCCTTGTCACCAAATAAAAAATTATAATGATATTATTATGTTATCATTATAGTTTTGTTCAGTATATCATACCTAATGTCGGGGTTGTGGATTTGATTATTTTATTTGGTAGATTTGTGGTTTTTGGCCTTATGACTTTTTTTTCACATGTACACTTTCCAAATTCGTCACATGTACATACACCTGTAGCTCTCAAAATTCCAGCTTTTTTACCGCCTGTACCAGTTCCGAATATTTCATCTTTATCTGTAATAATAAAAATTAAGTTTAGACAAATAAAAACACAGGCAATTGGTAGTTTTATTAAATTATGTTATGTTGGGCGTAGTTATTTAATTACCGGCACAGTCTTGCGGACAAATTAAATAATTCATCTTTTCTAGACTGTCACAATATCCGTTTGGGCAGGAATTGATGTCGGGAGTACAAGTAGAATAATTTGTAGTGAACATTTCTGGTGATGGTGATTCTCGCCATTGACATTTATAATTGGATCTATACAAAAGTTTTACTATAAAAATAACCGTTTTTGTATTTAAGGTAGGTACCTATTTATGAATCAAAAGAATAGTGTTGTGTTGGTCAAGGTTGAGCAAAATAATATTATGATGTGTTAAGTATGTGTTAAGTATAATAATATAATTTAAACAATAAAAACGATTAAATTAATGGGTGACTGGTGACTGGTGGTTCGTAAAAAAACTTCATTATTTATGTTTGTAACGAAACATAAAGAAACCAGTTTAGATTCACAATCGATGAATGTATAATTATTATTAATTAGTTAAAAAATATTAAACTATACCTAACCTAGCTGCTAATAGGTATAACATCAGAAATATCGTATCTTAGATTGTGTGTATTAGAGACTTGGTTGATTATAAAAACGGCTGTTGATTATTGTGTTATACTCACTAGGTAGGGACTTACCCAATTCCACATGACGATATACATTCAAATTTAGTGTCTAGTTGTAAATTAGAACAATGTGATACTTCATTACAATCTAGCTGCATTTTATCCGACATCATTTCAATATTTAATATTACTGATTTCTTGATTAAGACTCCATTTTTTTGATTCGCATCTATGTACCATATGTACTGTCTATAAAAAATGTAGTCAGGTAGGTATTTAGTTTTAAAAGAAAATAATAATAATACAAATAAACATTAGAAGTGAAATACCCTTTCAGTGGCTTATTTATGGGGAAGAAGGGTGCTAGGGGCCCGTGTCCTCTCCATTACCAACCTGTGTATGTTTTTACCGAATACTATACTCAATAGTATTTGCATTTATTAACTTTAACTGATAACATAATAATCTGTGACGGGTTACATATAAATGCGCTTCTAACGTTTGTGTTATTTTAGATTTTTTTTTTTTTTCGTAATTCAGTTTAAAATAATTGCAGATATTTAAAATCGTTATAAAATACTCAATTAGCCCTTTCTGATTATGGTACAATTCTGAAAACAATCTGGAGACTTTTAAGATAGGTATTTATGGTTACATGAAATTGTCGAGTTTCTTTAGTTTTTATTTGATCTTATGTCAATACAATTATATGCTAAGCTTTTTAAAAATGTTCGGAAATTTAATACAAGGTTCATCATAAGTTCTTCTTGTGTCATCATATAAGTTTCGAAAATCTGTATTCATGATTTATTATTTAAAAACGTTAAAGTTCAAATTTTTATAAAAATAGGTACCTATCTATTATGTTACTGCCAACAACGTGTATATTGCTGAATAAAGTGTACATTTTTAAATATTGAAATTAATTATATAAATATTATTTAATTTCCCACTTTTATTTCTTATTAAGCCAATAGGGGCGCGAATGGTTTTAATTTATGGGAACTTAAAAACTTACTTTAATTTCATAATGAGCAAATAATTTTTTTTTTATTAATATTTAGAAACTTACTGGAAATTTGTTTGAGTAGACTTTTTCAATTCTTTACAATTTTTGACGTATACTATGCCACCATCCTTTGTTATGCCGAATATTTTCGAAGTTGGTTTAAATTCAAATTCTGATAAGTTCATAACTCCCGTTATAGGTTCTGCAATTCGAGCGTAATGTTGAGAACCTCTATACACTTTGTACGTTGTGTTTGAATAAATCTAGTATAGAAATAGTTAAAAATAAATAAGCAATAATAAAATAATAATTCTACTAAACAATCGTTATCAAAAGTGGAAATATTCAATTTTTATTCCATCATTTAGGGTATACAATTTAATTAATGTTTCATTTTTTAAATAGGAAAATAGTTAATTCATTTTGGTTTAATAATAATTTAAATATATTAATTTAATAGGTAGGTATACAATTTATTTCGTACGGCAATCTAACCATTTTATTTCCGTCATAATAATTAATTAAATTTGTTAGGTGTAGCAACGTAACAATATATTATTTAAAAAGTTTTAACAAAAAAATAGGTTAATAAAAAAAAAAATCGTTCTACCTACGCGTAATAATATTTCTCGTTATTAGCGAAATTAAACCATTGTTTACCTGGCCGTAGCCAATTTCCACTAAAAATAAAATACCCATTTTTTCCGTCCATTTTCCTAAACTGATGTTCGAATCGCATTGTGTATTACAGCAATGTGTAATCAGTTTAAATTGACTTTGATATTCGGATGAAAATATACATGATTTTAGGCTTAAGAAATTTTCGGGGCGAAAGTCCTTTTTTTGGTGGAAAATGGTCTCACCTGTTTATCACCATTAGTTTGTAATTCCATAAAGAGTCTGATTTCTGAAAAACCTTACTTATTAGTGACCGCGTATAATTTATTTTTATTATATTAGAAACACCCTTGTACGACTCATTTATGGGTTATTTATAGATTTCAGAATTAATTAAAATACTGTCCCCTCTGAATTCACAATAAGAACCGTTTGATTAAAACCTAGTTTTATAATTAATATGATATATTTATATATTTATCATTATTCTCGGACTCACGACTCCGTAGTCCTCCGAACAGCAAGAGGATGGTAGTGATTCAAATACCAGAATTAATATAGGTATCAAAGTAAAACATCCCGTTTGTTTTATTATTGCTATTTATATCATAATATTATTTCTCCCTTCATCCCTTCTCTTTTTTTTTTTTTACTTCAATTTATTAAGAGTAGGATATTTTAAGTATTATTGTAATCTGCAAGGGAAAAGTTAAACATGTATGTTATATTACTATACATCTATTATTAAAATTAATTAATTATCCTATTAAAAAATTCATAATGCTCTTATAAAAATAATGTTTAACAATAGAAATAATTCAAATTTTTAATAATAAAATAATTGTACATAAAGTTATTATGTCTACACACTATACTAATTCGATTAAAATTAATATGAATACTGTTTGTTCGTACTGACCTGTGATGACATAGAATCCGAGTCAATAGCCATTACTAGGAAACTACCGTGAATTATTACACCTGGACATGTCAAAAACACATAAAATTATTAACAGCACCTAATTATAAACGTGCTGAAAAAATATTCAACATATAATATTTTACAGAAGGGAAAGGTCAGAATAACAGGTACCTTTGGTTATTCAAAGGAATTTCGATTTTGTATATTTTTATATTATGTATAAATATTACGAGTAAGTTTTTTTATCTTTATACATTTTATCTATTTCTTTTTGAACCTTGAAAATATCAAACCAATGAAGTTTATACTATAAAAGGTTTTCTTTGCACGGAACTAACACTGAATTCTCATTTTCTTAATGCGACCCAGCTCATATCTGTTCGTAAAATAAAAAAAAATAATCTAAAAACTATATAAATCGATCGGTATAATTTATATTTAAAAGGAAGTATTTGTTCGTCTTTCAGTTAACGATCTATAGCCTAATCTATCGCATGCAGGGATCTGTAAATACAGAAGTGGATGAACAGGTTTGTGTGCACCTCGAAGCAGGGTTTTCAAAATTCAACCCTTTAAAGGATGGCTTATACAAGATTTTGGTATTTTTGGCACAGAATTGAATTTTGTTTTTTTTTTTTTGGTTACCTAAGTGACACAGATGAAATTAAAAAAAAAAAAACAAGTAATGTGTTTTTATTTATTTTGTTTGACACTATGCATGGGCAAAGTAGTGTGGGATAGTTATAATAGCTAATCAAATTGACTGTTTATGTATAATGATCGGGGTCTAATTACCTAATTTAGTTTTTTTTACAATATTTTATTATTTGTAATATTATTTATCTATTATTTATAAGTTACGGCTATTGTTGAAAATTGGATAGTGTTAATATTAGCTGTGCATTTTGGAAAATTTTTAATTTTTATTTTATAACTGCATTATTCGGCTAATGTTAACATTAGCAAGTCGATTGTGGATAATTTTGAACTTAACAATTATAAAAGTTTTTTTAAACATTCTGTGTATATGTACTTTTGTTATTTGCCTAGATATTATAAGAATATTAGATCGTTTTATAATTTGATATAATAATACAATTAGATAATTTAATCGTATATTATGCCGTGTCAATTCAAAGTTCTAAAGAAGTATGCCCTGTAAAAATACATAATTATAATAATACAAATTTGAAAATATAAAAAATAAAAATAAAATTATATTTTTTATTTATATTTATTAATAATTATCAAATATTATTCATATTATTAAAAGTTGTGCAAATAGCCACTAATACAATAGTTTTATGGAATTATCTAGAACGCATTGGCTAATGTTATAACTTTAATATGAAGACTTTATAATATTTTAATATTATTTAAGATATTGACAGAATGTATAACGACATTTGCCAAATGGCAAAATATCCAGATAATATTGACATTATTCAATTTTCAATATTAGCCCTATAATATATATATCATATGAATTTCTTATAAAAATGTATAAACTTTGATTATAATACAGTTTAAAATATTTTATTTTTATCTTTTCGTGTACGAAAAAAAAAACAGTCATAAAAATGATTACCAAGATGTTCTACATCACCGTGTGAGTTTATTACTCATAGTTGTGCTTTGGTAAAAAAAAATCAATATAGGCAACTTAATTTTTTAATTAAAACTTTGTATATAAGAGACCTTTTTCAAATTTTGTATTATATTTATATCAATTACGCATTAATATAACCATGGGCGTCCAGGAGTATTCGTTTTTAGCAAATACTCCTTTAGTTTTTCGGGAATACGTTAAAAATTGAAAGTAATCGTACGAAAAAAGGTTACCATTATATAAACTGTACCATTTAAATTTGATTAGGTAGGTACTCTGAACTTCAAACATATTATACCACCTACGTATTTACGTAGATATAATTATTGGTTGGCAAAATATTAATTAAAATTAAAATTATAATTTATAATAAAACTAAAAAACCTTTTAAACATTTCACAGTAGAATATATACTGTATTATATTTTATACAATAATAATTTACTACCTACTATAAATTATAGCACACTGAAAAAAAAAAAAAAATTATAATCAATAAATGTAATACGTCTAATGTATGGAAGTGTACAATGGTGGTGGATATCCGATTTTTAAAAATATTTTTTCGTTCGTTGGTTTTATGCATAAACAACAGTCAATAAACAATAAAAGATAACGCAAGTTTGAATTGGGTGTATAGGTAAACATCAGACGTTTGATATAATATAATCTTTTACTTATGTATATATCATTTCGAACTATTTTGTTGTATATAGGTAGGTAGGTAATATTATAAAAATTGTGTAGGTAACAAATTTTCATAATAATATTATTATTTATGTATTATACGAATACGATATTATATATGTATGCAATAAAACGAATTCAGTATATAAAATAAAAACAAATAAGCGAAATAAAAATGTTTGTAAAAAATAATAACTATAAAATATGAATATAATCAAGTAGTATTAATTAAAAATAATTTTGTATTGAAATAATAATATTTCCATGCTTCGTTTGCTTATACTAGTATGGTGTTGTGACTTTATCTTGAACAATATTGCTTACTAGGTATTATAGTACCTATTTACTAAATAGGATGCTTACTAGGAGATAATTGAATTTATGTGTAATATTTCGGGAATCATACTTATACAGTTATATGTATAACTATACATATAAGTAATATATATATATATTATAAGAAAAAAATTATTTAAAAAAAATGTGCGTACTAAACGAGTAATAGCTAGGTACTTTTTTTTATCCTAGCTACAGGATTAGATATTATATAAATTATCAAATTTGACTACATAATATTATGTGTTATAATATTTAATAGGTAGGTAATTATTATTAAAAAAATAATTCGTATAATAAAAAAGGCAAATAATTTTACCCTATTTACCTATTATAATAAATATATTATATTTTGTACTTTCAATGAATATTTCTATCAATCTATCATTTAAATAAAATGTTCAATACGTACCGTACGTTATGATCCAAATAAACATATTATTATGCAAATTGCAACTGGAAACCATGACAATTAAAACTGAAATATTCCTGTTGTGTACGTAGGTACTTATATATTCTGGTGGGTAAGCCGCAGCCGAACGAACAAAACGTCAACAGGTCTACCGCACGACTACGCCAAAACAGCGTCATACGCTTCACGTGTCGACCGATTTTTCACAACATATAGCAGACATGCTCAGTTTTTTGATTTCTTCCCGCTGCAACCCCACTGCAGTCCACCGTATACTTATCAATTTGTCTTATTTACATTTACACGCAAAATTATTACATGTTGTTTTAATTGATTTTTTTTGTAAAATATGTATCACGTTTAGTAATATTTTAAAACATTAAATTTCGGGTTATTAATCCAAAAAAAAAAAAAAATTGTAAAACCACTCTTAAAATAGATTTTAATCGTCAGATTTAAAACTCTAATATTTCTTGTACCTTATTTTAAAACATTATTCTATTAATATTATAAATTCTGTGTATTCATTCGATTGCAAATCGAAATCGAGTAAATTATACATATATTCCTATAATGGAAAAAGTACGAAATATATTAGTAAAATATTACCATTTTTTTTTCTGTGGACAACTTTTCTACCAACATACTTTACTCCGATCTACAATGATAGTACTTTTTCTGAAAGGAAATCTGACTGGAGAGATACTTTAAGAAAGTCATTTTTCGATTTTCCAAGAGTTTTCCTAGAAAATGAGAAGAACCGGGAAAAATGTAGAAAAAAAGGAAAAATCAATACAATATTAAACAAATATTATTAAAGAAAATATATATATAATGCCTATTTAATTAATTCCCGATAATATGGCATATATTTATTGTTGACGAAACATCATTATCAACTTAACTTCGCTCAGAATCGTTTTTCGTAACACTGGTTTATCGTTGCATACAGATATACATTAAATTCCATTCTGTATCCTATCTTCCCAACTGGCAACTTCTTACCAATAACTGTCGCTACAACTATCGTACGAAGTATGTCAGTCTCTTTTTTTTATTATTATTATAGGGTAATATTCACAAAAAAAAAAACGAGTGGGTACCTAGGTGTTCAGAAACATGACATAAAATGTTAAGATTTTTCAAAATAAAATTCATTAAAAGAATTTAACTGCGGAAATTTAATGAATTTGACAAATTTTATTGGAATTTATTAAATTAAAATTAAATCGGTGATTCAAGATAAAAATACTTTGATTCAACACTGATGGGGAGAGACAAAGAAGTATGCAAAACGGTATACAAGAAGTTATTTTTTTATGATTTTCGACAGTTTAATTTTTTATATTTTGAGGAAAATTAGTTGTTTTTAATATTTGTTAAAATTGTTATCATATAAAAAATTATAAAAGTTAGTTTATTATGTATATAATATGTCATATTATGGTGAAATAATAACATACCTAGACATTAAATATGTTCTTTAATAATATTTGTTGAATATTGTAACTATTTTCCCGGTTTTTCCCATTTATTGGGAAAACTCCTAAGAAAACCAAAAAGTGATCTTAAAGTACCTCCCAAGTCAGATTTATTTTTAAAAATTGCTAACATTGTAAATCGGAGCAAAATTGCTGGTAAAAAAGTTGTTCACAGGAAAAAAAAGCCGAAATATTTTCAACTAATTTCTATATTTGGTAAATTTTCCCGTTTTTTCCCAGTTTCACATTTATCAGAAAAACTCCTGAGAAAATTTAAAAATTATTTCCCCAAAGTCAACGTCTAAAACAAAATTTCTAGTAGAGAAGTGTCCATAAAAAAAAAAAATAAACATTTTTGTAAAACCATGAGCTTCTTCGTTCCACTTAGAATCTGAAAAACTCAAATGTAGTCGTGATTTATACTATTGCATAAAATATATTAAGTAAGTACCAGATATTCGGCTTATATAATATTACTTGTATATAGAAAGTGTAGTTGTAACAACTGTCTGTTTGCACAGTCTTAGTGGCGATTTACGGGGCATATTGGGGACATATCCCATACATTAAATTTTTTTTTTTTTCATGTAATTTTCATTTTATATTATAGTACTACTCTCGACAGTCTTGTCGACTCTTCATCGGAATATTTAAATTACATACATATAGGCTAAATCAGATGAGGTCATAATTAATAAATAAAGATTGAAAAAGCTGTCCTAGGATAATGGGGATGGATGCAGCCACTGTTATAGGTAATTTAATGTTTATCTGTAAGCAACAATTAATAATTTCCAACGAAAAACGATTCTGAGCGGAGTTCAGTTGATAGTGATACTTTGTTAACAATATATGTCATATTATGGTAAAATAATTAAATAAGCATAATAATATGTGACCTTTAATAATATTTGTTAAATGTACCGATTTTCCCGTTTTTCCTACGTTTTTCACGATTTTTCTATGTTTTTTCCTGGTTTTTTAATATGACCTGAGCAATTAAGTATTATTACCAAGTTTCAACTCTCTACGTGTATTTATATCCGAATTACTGCAAAAAACTTCCAAAAATTAAAATTCCTTTAAAGCTCAAGAGTGGCTCAAAAGTTTTGGAAATGATACCGTAAGAACGTAAATCAAAAAGACAACAAAAAATGTATGTAGTAATTTTTCGATTAAATCATTATTTTTGGTAGAAAACGACGTCTATGTTTTTAGAAAATAATGAAATCGCGAAATTGTACGTTTTCCTACGGTTTTTCCCCACTTAAATGTTTTTATTTAAAAAATGGCGTCAAAAACAAAATTGACCTTCTTAAAGTACAATCAAAACTATTTGAGCTTTCAGAAAAGTTGCTACATGTACAATTCGGAGCAAGTACCGATAGTGCCTATAGTGCCTATGCGCTAATACGGCCCTGCATAGTGCTTACACTTGTCCGTTGGTCGTGTTGGTTTGGTTCAACTAACAAACAACTCAATTACTCGCATATGAAACATATACGTAGTCCTGTATTCGGTTTTTAATCCAAATTAGTCTGTTATATTCTATAGTAAATTAACATAGTCGTTTTTTATTTGCTGGAGACTATTGAACTTTTTAAACAGGTAAGTATTGTTACTATATAACTCGATACGATGTAATAATATTATAGGTCGGTATACGTTTTTCGCAACGATACGAATTCAATTATTGGACACTTGGCAGACGTACAATATTGTATTTCATAAATATAAATAATCCTGTTAATAAGCAAATAAAATGAACAATAATATTCTGAATCATTTTGTTTTCCAAAAGATACCAGCATTATTAGAATTTAAAATGAATTGTGACGGCCACGAATTTGAATAGGTCGCCTACGCAGTTCCGGGTAATTCATTTAAGTGGTTATACTCATTATTTCGGAAAGTATTAACATTTAAGAAACAAGCAGCTTTGCAATTTTATATTTATGCTATTTTTTGGGGTAAAATCACTACCTACTTTTGATTTTCAAATGGCAATGTATATTAAAAATGCCATAAATAGATGGAGTATTATTTAAAATAAATTTGAGGGGAGTAGTGGTATATTAATAAGACGTCATGCGCCGTACCACCACATAAATGACACTCTACTACTTTCCCCCAACCCAAATTTAAAAGTGGAATATCTCGTCAACGGATCAACGGAAATCAAAAATTGCGACACTTGACAATTGATTTTAACTAATACTTCATCTATTTATGGACTTTTTAATATAGGTTGCCATTTGAAAATTAAAAGTAGATAGTAATTTTATCCCCAAACATAAGGGTGACAAAAAATAACATAAATATAAAATTGTAGAACAGCTTGTTTCTTAAATGTTCTAGAAAACAAATTCTGGAAAAAATGAATACTTTCCGAGATATTGAGTGTACCTACTTAAATGAATCACTTAGTATATTAGTATATACTTACAAAGTTTATTTTATTTTTATCGTTTCGTGTGCCAAAATTGTTTTTTATTAAACGTTGAAATCCGGTATAAAATTATAGCCATCCCGAATTATTCCAGAGTTAATATTTACTGCGTGATTTTATTAAAACTGGTATTAACTCCCCCGGAAAAGTGTCGCAAAAAGGACACTGGTCCTTCTTAGTTCCTACAGGAAGTGGAACTGACCTCAGTCGAATTCTTAAAATATTGAAGGTTATCAATATTGTGCGTCATTGTATAAAATACATAAAAAAAAAAAAAAAACAAGAAAATTGACGCCATTATATTATATAGTGTTGGATTAGACGTGTTGGTCATCGTGTTGGCCGTTGGGTCAGTGTATATAATGTAGAATCTGTTGTCTGTGTGTTTTGTACTTTATTATAATAATTAAGTGATAATAGTTTTTGTTTAAAGCTTGCGACACATTTTATGTTTTTTCTGCATAGTAATAAAACGACATAATGTGTTCAACCGATATACGGAATAGATTTTGTTTTAATTATATATCCCGTATTTGGATTAGGTTTCAAGTTATTTATTTATTTTTATTTTAATAATATACTACGGGCCAGACCCAGGAATAACATAAGAAATACATCAATTATGATAGTTAAGATAATTAATATATAACAATGTATAACAACAATAGAAAAATAATATGATAATGATAATGTTTTAATACCAAACGGAACAAACCCGATAGGTATTATACAAAATTCAAATGCTTGGAAAACTAGATTCCTATTAAAGAAAGAAATCGTGGTCAGTATTTGCAATACAACGAATGATTAGAGAGTTAAGGTAGTAGTTAGATACAGAGAATGGGATAAAGAAAGGGACAGGTGATCGGGTACAACGGGAGAGAACCTTGAAAAATATACGTGATAGAAAGTCGGGGCTGTCAATTTTCAAGGAAAGTAGGTTAGATAAGAATAATAGCAGAAGCGGTGGACGGGACCCAAAGAACAGTGCCGTATTATAGAATGGGACAAACTAGGGTGCAAGAAAGAGTTTTTAACGGAGTAAACTGGTGAAAATTAGCTTGTTTTAAAAAAAACTCGATTAATAAAATAAAGAAGTATAAGAGCCTTAGAGCAGGTTAACTGAATATGTACATTAGTAAATTCTAATCATTATATTACAATAATTATTATAGGTAACATTGTAATTATTTTTAAAAGTTTAAAGTTTCATTATAGCTACTTTAAAAAAAATTACAATAAAAGTTATATTTTTTTTTTTAAAAACGGGTTAAAATATTATTATATACTTAGAAAACTTAAAGTCCACATTTGATTACTTAAACCATTGCATTTTTTCAAAGAGGCAGCTGACGAATTAACTGTACTTATCGAATGTTCCAAACATTTTTTCGATTCAACGTGTATCATAGTTAATCTCTGAAATTAAAAGCAATTAATAATAGTATTTGTGTACTTGAAATAGTAATTTGAATAATATATTATTTAAATAGTGAATTTTATTTTTTAAATTTTACCCTCGTGTCATAAATCCACTTCAGATAAGTTTTTTGTATGTTGCATTTAAATAGACTAACTAAATCACTGTTGTCTGAATTACCAATACATTTAATGTCCTCCGTTACGATTAGTGATTGTGGTGTATATCCAAAGTCCTATATTAAAATTATATCTGTACCTAAAGCTTAAAAAATTGATCAACACCAAATGAGTATTATAATATTATTACTTGTGTACCGCATAACGTTTTATGGCAATTTTGCATGATGACATTTTCACCAATTTTCCCGGATGCCGTGTCCAAACATTGTTGAGTTTCAACATTTTGTATCTAAAATAAATAAAATATAATGCTAAAAACGCATAAACATATCATATATTAAAATAGTTTAACTGATATTAAATACAAACTTGTCCCACATAATAGTCTCCATAGTACTTTATGAACTCGGGATAAATGTTTTTTAAGTACCATCGGAAAGATTTGCATTTTAATCTTGTCTTTAAATGCAAACGTTGGGAAACATTTCCCACGTCGACATCAAACGTATCTAATCAAACACAGACATTAAAATTAATATGAAAACAAAAAAAAACAAACTATAATATTTGTGTGGGTACTTAATTTACGGTTTTAGAAAGAATCATTTGTATATATTATGTATAAGTGATATTTACAATTTTGAAAAATCTGATTTTTGAAGTGATGATAAAATTTTTAAAAAAGTAATTTAATAAAAATGGGTTTTATTGCGTTCACCCAAATTAGTGATCTTTTAAGCCTATACTCTTAGGAATTTGAAGTTTTTTCCACGACTCACAAGTGCTCTATATACAGAGTGATTCACCCAACTGGAAACATTCATTATCTAAGAAAGTATTAATTTTTTTCAGATTTTTTTTAAAACTTAGAAATAAATAGTTCTAAAATGTCACATTATCATTTTTTTGTCTTCCTCATTTTCGGGGGTGAAATGACTACTTACTTTTGATTTTAAAATAGCAACCTATAATGAAAATTCTTTAAATACATGGAGTAGGTATTAGTTGAAATAAACTTTGGTATTGTTATTTTTGATTTCTGTCAACCCGTTAACAAGATATTCCACTTTTAAGTTCAGGTAAGAGGAAAGAAGAGTAGTATCATTTGTATAGTGTCGTGGCGTGCGCCGTTTGAATATAGTGCTCCACTACTCTCCGCTACTCTTACCTAAACTTAAAAGTGGTATATTTTACAAAAAAATGATAAAGTAACAGTTTAGAACTATTTTTTTCTTAAGTTTTCAAAAAAAAAAAATTCCGAAAAAAGTTAATACTTTCCGAGATGTGAGTGTTTCCGGTTGAGTCAATAAGCGATTCACGATTCCGCACAACACGTTTCCGTATATTATACCTTTTCATTCACACGATTCCGCACAAAACTAATTTGCGACGTTGCCGATTGTATTTTTAAAATAACTTCAGATATACAAATTGTATTAATATTACATATCAGACATATCTATTATAACATTATTTTGGATTGAAACCTAATTCTAGCTTATCTACAGTTAGTACTAGCACAGATTATAGTCTACACTCTAAAATGTACATTTTATCTGGACTCATCAGTTACCTGTTCGATCACGTACGATTACATTGATTACCTATGTTGCGATGCGTTTTTGTGTTTTACTATTTATAAATTTTGTTCCGTGCGAGTTTGTGAATTAAAATGAATAATTCAATAATTCGAATTATTGTGTCGGAGAGAAATAAGGAATTAGCTGTTGTTAATGGTTATAAACATAGATTTATCGGTGTTCGTAAATGCGATCAACTTTTAATGTGGCGCTGCTTCTCTGACAAAAATTACACTGCGTTTACTTTTTCAAATTCAGAAAAAAATAGTTGAGGACTCAAAAGGTTTACATAATCATCCGGTTGATATTTCTAACGAAATAGAAAAACAAGTACTCAAAGAAAATTGTACACGACGAGCAGAGGAATCAATTTCTAGTGAAATTACTCAGACAGAGTTACTACAAACTCCAGAATCATCGGTAACAAAACACCATGACATTAAATCCGTAAGTAAAGCAATGTATGATCAACGAAGAAAACAATTTCCTGTACTTCCAACGTCGTTAAACAATGCTTTACAACAATTGAGGATTTTAAAAACTGATAAATGTTTCGTGTTTAAAAAAAGAGCTGATACTGGGGATGGGAGCGACTACTGTTGTAGGTGAGAAGTTGAGAAGGTAGAATACACAAGGTTATTTCATTTATATCTGTAAGCAACGATAAACTATTGCTTGACGAAAGACAATTTCGAGCGCTGTTCGGTAATATATAATTTGAATTTTTTTTGCGATTTTCGTTTAAATTTGATTTCAAAACGCTCATTAAAAAAAAAAAATTCCACAAAAAAGGTCTCTTGTCGTTTTTCAAATGGAGCCACATTTGTGCTAGAAAACGTGGTAGGTACTTATTTAAAATAACGAAATCGTGAAAAAAACGTATTTTTTTTCCGGTTAATTTGTTTTGTTTTAAATACCGGTTCGAAAATCGAAAAATGACCTATGTATTTACCAAGTAGATAAAATTATCTTTCAATAAAAGGTGCTACATTTAAACATTGGAGCAAGTTTTATAGGATAAGAGTGATCTACAGTATACATATAAAAAATAAAAATAAAATACCATTGTAAAAAAATTAAAAAAAGAAAAAAAGTTGTCTGATTATTTTCGAAATTTTACGACGTCTAGGAAAATCCAATATAAATATTATTACCAAGTTTCAAATCTCCACGTGTATTTATAACCGAATTGCAGCAAAAAAACTCTCAAAAACTAAAAATTTAGAGAACTTGAGCTTTCATAAAAGTTGCTACATGTAAAAATCGGAGCAAGTTTATTAAGGAAAAAACGTGTCCACAGTCTAAAACAAAGAAAAAGAAACGAAGAAATAAACAGCATTGTAAAACCAATAACTCACTCGCTACGCTCGGAATCTAAAACCAACAATTTATATATGCTCCGGCGGATGCAAATTTTATTTCCCTTACAACTATTCAAATTATTAATTTCTTAACACAATTTTATACAGAATTATTTTGTAACGAAACATTTGACTACTCACCTAAGCACTTTTTACAGCTGTACACAATATACAGTTATGATTCATTTTAATTATTTATTATAGGAAAAAAATGAAATAAATTCTTTTTTTATTTTTATTTATTTATATTATTATACATATATTTTTACTATAAATAACAACGTCCCTACAATTTGTATGCGGATTGTATTACATTACGGCTAGATAAAAAAAAAAAAAATCTTTTGTATTATGAAAATGTGCGGAATCGTGTGCTACCCGAATCAATCACCCTGTATAATATAACTTTTCTTGAGTTAAGGTTAATTCTAACTTCTAACCTTGGTTGTACATGTAGTGAACAAACTTCCATTCGTCCATCCATACTTTGGCGACGCGCAGGATATTTCGGCTGACAGTAGCTTCCATTCCCCCGGGAAACGTAAAAGGTACGCGATCTCGAAATACGTGACCAATACAGGAGCACGGTACCATTTCCAAGGTGCCACCACACATCCAAACCTGTAGTAATCACTTTGGATTGATTTACCTCGTAGAAAACAATGTATCTAACAAGGTATAACAAGGTATAGCATTTTCCGCATTTTCTATAACTGTGTCTTGGAGGGAGAATGGAGGAAGATGAAATAATTTGCAGTCTCAGTTAGAATTTTAAAAGGAGATAAAAAGCCAGGAATATCAATATTGTCTTACCTTCGTTATTGTTCATTGTACCTATATTTATGGTAAAAATATAATAGTATGTGTACCTACTAAATGTATAATACTTAATATACATTGAAAACTACGAATTCGGCGGAATTTTGCGGTTTTGTTATTTAAATTCCAATAAAAAAATAAAATAATAATAATTATATACCTACGTAATATCATAGATTTTATCTACTCTAATCTATGGGAATAGTAACTACAATAAGGATAAATTATTGTTATTCTTTGAGTTCGAAAGAAGTTGCTTACCCGGAAGGATATATCAAAATTATCACCACCCCAAATATGCATATCTTCATCGTATGAACCTAATTCCAAAAAATACATTTTGTCTATCGAGAATATACCGCCAGGTATTGTAGGAGTTCTAAACGGTTCCGACTCATCATTGTGTAACCGATCGTATTCTTTTTCAGGAATCGGAACCCTAAAATAGTACAGTGTCTAAAAATTGTTTTATACTGAAAATCTATGGAAATTTAAAAACATATTTACCATTTGAAATTTAGATTCCAATTAAATCCACCCCTTTTGGAATTTTTCGATGAAGAATATTCAAACGTTGTATCTGATATTCTGTCGATTTTTGGAGAAACGACGAATCTTCTATAATAATTAAACAAAACTAATTTTCAAATAATTAAAATGGTAAAATATTATTTATATTGAACGTGATATTGTAATAATATTATTAAATCTAAAATAGTTTCCGAATTATCGTACGTTTTATGTTGACCTGTGTATACTTGATTGTTGTGTAAAATTGTAAAAAGATTTTTCAGTGAAACACACACTATTAAATCCATTGTCATTAATGAAATTTTACCAAATTAATAGTAGGTATTTAGTATTAAATAAAAAGATAAGCGTATTATACCGTTTTATAACATTGTTATTTTGCCTATTTTACGAACCTGTTAACCACGATTCTTGCTAAAAGTGGTTCTAGCCACCCGTGAGTGCATTCACAATGCGAGTCCAAAAACGTTAGAACTTGGCTTTTGGCATGTTTAGTTCCTAATAAACGAGCCGCTATTAATCCCGTTCGATTTTCTTTTCTTAAAATTTTAACTTTCACTGGAAGTGTAGCTACATATTCTTCTAATTTTTTCCCCAAAAATTCTGAAATTTGAATTCATATTTTAGCAAGACTTAGAAAAAAAAAAAAAATAGTCGAGAATAGACAGTACAATACGTTTGGCAATAGTTAATTACATTAAGTTCTTTTTGTTATTAAAAAAACTTTAATTATACAAATAAATAATAGAACCCCGTATGCGTCATTAATAACTATCAAAATATGAAAAATAATTCCCTACCTATAATAATAAACTTACACTTATCTTTGAATTATGAATGTATATATTATAAGCTTATAGAAAAAAAAGTTTCTCACGTCAGTTTACAAAAGTAATGTGGTTTTTGCGTGCACAAATTGGTACTTGGGCGTACTTACAATTTATTGTATTTTAGTGATTTTTTTTTAAAACATGTATATTTTTGTGTGTAGGTATTTGAATTGTAGTGTGCTAGTATTGTACGCCAAGTGTTAACAATAATGTAATGGTCCATTTCGACACGTAAAAACTTCCAGACAAATTAGCCGAATTAATTGATTAAAAATAATAATGATAATAATAAATGGGTTTTCTCATTTAAAAAATAAAAGTTTATGATACATAAATTATATAGATACAAGATATATGTTTATATATATATACATTATAATCTTGATTTTTTGAAGTGGTTTAAAATGATTCAAATTCATAATTAAAAATATATCCTTTACAGCATTGAGAAAGTTCCTTTTAATAAGAAATTAGTTTCCGTTTCTCGTTCCTATTGCAAAAAAAGAACTTTTTCAAATTATGTCGGAACGATTTTATTATTTTACATTTTTACGGCTGCACTTTTATTCCATAAATATTTTTTCAATAGAATAACAAGAGGTCTTTTTTGTTGAACTTTCAATTTAGCTGGTGACCAAAATTGTCGTTTATTGATTTTTTCAGTAGTTTTTTGAATAATTGAGCCAAACCGAAAAATACGTGAAATAACGGAAAAAATGTATGAAAATAATTTTGGTTTTTATATAATTTAGTTAAACATATTTGTAGACACTTGAAATTTCGACAGAAAACTTATATTTGTTTTTTCTAGACGTGATAAAATTTTTCAAAAAATTTGAACCATTTTTGAGCTATTTATAAACATTTTAATTTTTCAAGTTTTTAAGTAAAAAGCAATTTTTATTTAGTAGGTATTCTATGGCTAAAATCTTTAGAACTGCTTCCAAATTTGAGAGGAAGTTCATCATAGGTCGCACTTAGGGGCCAAAAAAAAAAAAAATTAACATAATGTAGTATTTTTTATTTTGTATAAGAATTTTAAAGTCAAATTTTGATGGTGATCGTAAATAATACGGCCTTTCAAAACATGTATAACCGAACTTCGCTCCGAATCGTTTTTCGTTAACGATGCTTAATCGTTGCGTAGAATATAGATATAGGTACGTTAAATTCCTCTTTATATCCTATTTCCTTGCAACTACTCACCTACAACAGTGGCCGCATACATCCCTAAGTTTCCCCGTTTCCCATTAGATATTCGTTTATATTTAACAAGGAATGTGTTCAAAAACTTCGTTTCAATAGAAAATTCAAAATTGTGCATATATCGGATAATTTTCTTTAATTTGTCCATGATTCCCTAATTTCCGTATTTTTTTATCGTATCTGGTAATTTTAAATTTTAAAATCTGTTTTAGGTAATTGACTTGATGTTTTCTTCCTCTTGACTTTAAATATAATATGAGTAATAGGGATTTGTATGTTTGGTCATCATCTCTTCCACTGTCACCGCTTCCGTTTTCTTCTCCACGTCCACTACCAAAGATACCTCTTTCGCCACCGCCACCGCTACCACCGCTACCTCCATCTTAATTTATAATCGTATTTCTTTTCTTTCTATAATATTATTTGTTTACGAGGTTTAAAGTCACTGCAAAACACATTTAATTAACGAACTATAATTAATGTACCTATACTAATTGATTTTTAATTCTGTGCAGCAACACCAAAATCATTAGATTTCAATTCGTACAAGAATATCGTTTTATGCACATTGCACATATTAATATTAATTTTGAAGTACAAGAGCTTTTATTATTTTTTGATTATAACGAGTGTTCCCAATTTCACACGCCGGCTGACATTAATTTGACATAATATATTCCACGTGATCAATGACGAAATCGTCGAAAACATAATATAACTCTGTATTCTACTCTCTGTTACCGCTCATTTCTTATAGTAATGATGCGATATCGTGTATTTATGCCAACTTTTGTTTTTACTCCGACTAGTTAAATTATAAAAAAAAGTAACTTATAATTCAACTTTAAAAGTATTTTGGTTTTAGACAGTCCATTTTTACTTACCCGAATCGCTACCGTCGTCAACCAACAAAATCTCGGCGATGAGTGATCGTGGCGACCGGTTGATGACGCTCCAGACCGTTCGCAAAAGAGTGGACCAGGCCTCGTTGTAAAATGCAATGATGACGGAAGTGGTGGGTAGCATTACGGGATACCGTTTAAATTTGCATTTCCACGACCGGTAGTCCGGTAACGTCCGGTTCAAGGATATCGCGTCACTGACGATCTCGTCGAACTCGTGTTGCCGGAATCTATTTTCCGTTTTAACGATACGTTTCTCGCCGAGTATAACAGGAACGCCTTGCTCGCCGGGACCGTGAGCGACGTCGGCGGATGTGGCGGCCTGCGTTTCAGCTGGGTGCCATGGCTTCAGGGTATGAGACCGATAAGTTTTCGTGACGCGACTCCGAAATTTAATTTCGTCTGGCGTGCCGATCGATTCGACGGGCAAGTCTTCCGGATAGCTAATGATGTCCGCAGCAGTGCGTGCAAGGTTCGGTTCGGCGACGAAAAACGGCGGCTCGTTTGTGGCCGGTAGGGTTTTCGACTTCGAGTTGGGCTCAACGTCGTTCAAGTAATACGTGATTATGACGATGTCGATGATTATCCAATAAAGCGAGACCAATATGATTAGTTTGCACGTGTCCGCGTTCGGCCTTAAGGGAAACATGAGTACCTATAGGTATGACCGCACCGTAAAAAACAGCCAAAAGAAAAAAAAAAACAATTAAATTTCAATATTTACCTAATCAGTTCACGCAATGATGTAAAATTGTACAATAAAGCTCTCGGAACTTTTTGCTACGATATTAATAATTTGCGCGCGCGCGGATATTTCGTTCCGTCGAAACACCGGACAGAACGCTATCGATAGTTCATTTCAAATAATCATTATGCGTGGGGCGGTATATTTCTATGTATTTAATTATATTCACAAATAATACGCACCGGCAATATCACAATTGAAATTATTATACCACGGGTATATCAGCTGGTTTGAATAACTATAGGCACCCATATAATACTAAATGTGTATATAAATATAGTGCACGGCGAAATATAATATATGTACTCTCACATGCCTATTTTTGTTTACTTAAAAGTTTTGAAGGCAAATAATTTTTTAATTTATAGATTCCGTTGTATCTAAACGGTTTTAATGATAATTATATTACAGTACCTATGCAAATAATATAATCATAGGCGTGCGCAGATATTGTTCGCGCGCATTCCTCTACTATTCCCCTATCCCTTATAAAAAGGTCCATCTATATATATATATATATATGTATACACTATGCAGTTGTGGGGGAGGGAGATTAAGGGTTATATCTCCCATATCGGCTTAAAAAAAAAATATAAGTAATCAAAATGCATATTATATCTCAGCCAAGTTACGAGGAAAATCTCGATAAATTGCGGATTAGAGATCGGCTCCTTTTTAGGATTCGACGTTTGAATTACCGATTCCCAAAGTCGAGTTGGGGTGGACAAGGCGAATCAACGATTTATTCGCGATTCTCATTCGCTACACCCCCTCCCGTTGAAAATTCCTGGGCACGCCGCTGAAACTAAATATAACTAGACGCCTGACTCTATATTATTCTACTGCGTATGGGTTTCGCGAGACAAGTAGCCAGTAAGTTGGACAACGCTTACAATCTGTAATCGATATTATTACGACAACGTGACGATAAATTCAAAATTCATTCACTTTTACACTTACATTGTTCAATTTAAAAACCATTAGTTAAATATCGTATTTATAATTGGTTAATTAACTATTTACTTAATTTACAGTACCAATTGTAAAATACAGATTATCATTACATTGATAGTTATCAATAATATTAATAGCGCCGGCTTGTAAACATGAGTTTTGAATCGTACATAGTTAGACACAGTATACATTAGTGGGTTCATCAAACAAATCCGACAAATTTACGTTATTTTGTACGATAAATTCGAATCCGCCCGTGCGCACGCCTACGAATATAACACTATGTGCATTTTAGTATATTATGTGGCATTAGCGTACGTGTAACGTACGAATATCTTCCGACGTTTTTACTATTGTGTTCGATATTGGTGTCGAAGTATTTTCTAATTATCTGTCTGTTTGCACATACATATTTCAAATACATCAATACATGCATAATGCGGTCTTGTTGAGTATTCGAACACCCGTACTTAAACATTTGTTTAGTATTTTAAATGCTTAAGAATTATTTTTTGGACAGATGCATTTTGAACACTTACAAAATACTTTTTTTTTTATCGTGTTTTTATTTCCGAACGCTATTGCGCATATTACCATTTTATTACAATATATTGCTATCTGAATTTATCGAAATAATCAAAACTGTCCTAAGAGCCATGGCTGTGTTTAAAAAAAAAAACATCTTCGAATGTTTCTGTTAAATAAAGCATCCACTTCAATAAAATCATAGGCCCAAATGTATTTTCCATAGAGCCGGCGGTATGTAGAACTGACTTCACCGGTATTCGGTATGTGTTTACATCCCGGTATGTCCGTACTTTTCCGTCTTTTCAATAGGTACACCATCTTTTAGGTGACAATTAATAGTTATGCCAATTTAAATTTGTTTTTCATCAAACGTGTTCTGTTAATTCACATAATAATTGACGAGACGGGTTTATTATAGGTACCTAAGTAACGCATTTGAATTGTTCGTATTTACCGACTATACAACATTTCCCGGTAGTAACAGCAACTACGAACTACGGTAGTTATCGGTTTGTCGGTATTTACCGAAACTACACGGTACGCCGGTCTACCGAAAATACCACCAGCTCTGATTTTTCATTTTCTGATACAATACCCCACCCTGAACGCCGCGTATTTCTGTACAGCACTGGTTATCTGTATCTGTATCTGTGTACCGGGAAAATAAGTACATAATTAAAAAAAAAAAATAATTATATAATGCGTGTGTAATTATTTTACCATAATATGATATATACAGGGCGGGTCACTAAGCGTGATCATCCCATTTTTTTTTTATTTTAATTTTGCGTTTATTCGAATTCTGATTTCTACTTTCCAGTTTAGGCAGGGGAAGAGTAGTGGAGTATCATTTGTGTGGCGGCATGGCACGCGGTGTTTTGTTAGTGCTCCACTACTCGCCCCCTACCTAAACTTTAAAGCGAAATATCTCGTTAACGGGCTGACGGAAATCAAAAATGGCGACCCCAAAATTTATTTAAAGTAATATTCCGTTTATTTATGAAATTTTTAAAATAGTTTCTCTTTTGGAAAACTAAAGTGATATCGCCTTATGATATTCCTTAAATGTTGTGTAGAATCTAATTATTCGAAAATATTGGCTTTAACTACGTTTAAAAATTCCAAAAATCAGAATTTGAGTATATTAAAAATGAGCACGTTTAGTGAATCACTCTGTATACTGTTGACAATGCATCACTATTAACCGAACTCGCCCAGAATCGTTTTTCGTTAGCAATGGTTAATTGTCGCGTACAGGGTGCGGATATAGATATATTAAATTTCTGCACTATCTTCCCAACTTCTCACCTATAATAGTGGTCCACACATGTGCGAAGTATGTCTGTATTAGTAATAGCAGGTATGCACGCAAAAAACAAGTGCCTAACTAACTTACTAACCTAACCCAACTAAGATGCTATTACATAGATGCTAAATACTATTTACATAGTGGGTGCCTATTATAATACACATAACATAATTAACAACAATAATTACGCAAAGGGATTTTAGATTCTGAGTGTAGCAAAGAATGTATGTTGGTTTTACAAATATGTTTATTTTATTTTTTTTTTATACTGTGATAAAAATTTCTACTAGAAATCTTGCTCCGATTTGTACGTGTGACAACATTTTTGAAAGGAAATATTGTCTAGATGATACTTTGATTTTTTAAAAATCGTTTTAGACTTTCCAAGTGGTTTTCATAATATCTGGGAAAAACCGGGATAAAATGTAAGAAAAAAGGGAAAATTATGAAAATAATGCTTTTATTATTTTCAATTTTGTTATAATTCAGTTAAAAATATTCGTAAACTTGAAATTTGGATAGAAAACTTATACTTGCGTTTTTTAGACATTGTAAAATTTTTAAAACATTTAAGCCATTTTTGAGCTTTTTATACACATTTTAAATTTTTGTTGAAAATATTTGTATAAGCTTTATGAACTTTAAATTTGGACACAAAACTTATATTTGCCTTTTCTAGACATTTTAATTTTTCAAGTTTTGTAAGTCATTTTTATTTGGTAAGTACTCTGTGCTAAAATTGTTAGATTAAACAGAAATGGTTGAAAATTTAATAGGAGGTTTATTGAAAGTCATCAATTTATAAACACCCCCTCTTAGGATACTATGTTTTTTTTTTATAATTGTATTAAATTCAAATTAAAATTTGAACATTTTACCTCCATCAATTAATAATTTTTCCTGATTTTTTTCTATGTACATCCTATTCATTAGTAGGTTGTTATTCTAATTACTAAACAATATTCATTATTAATTTAAGTAAAGCATTTGAACATAAAACAACTAAAAAGTGATTTTATTTCATGTTTTACATTGACCTGGGCGTCCCATAGGTTTAAAAGCTTTGTCATAAAATTTCCAAATTGTAGAATTAAAGGACATATCCAGTTCATCAAAACAAAATAACACAAAGGAAAAAATTATGGTTTGCAATTTTGACATGAAATCGAGTAATAATTGTTCAACTTTAAAGATTGTAAGTCTTTAATATCTAAAATCATTAAAATTCTTAATATAATGTATAAAATAAGGTGTCAAAGTAATAAATGGAATATTTTTCAAGACTTGCATTGATTGAGTTCAATAGACACATTGATGACAAATTGCTACTTCACAGGTATTACTTATTTATTGTAGTATAAGAATTTATACAAAATTGTTAAAAAAAGAAAATGTACAAAACTGGTCAACAATTAGTATTTTTATGTAATCCATCAATTTATCTGTGCTAAAAGGCCGACATAAAATATTATTAATAAATACCTAATTTTAAAGGCAGGTGGCAGGTATGTCAAGATAATCATAAATTGTTGATTGGCAGTTTGGCTGATTCAGTGAAAAAAAGAAAATATCTTTGGGCAGTCTTGTACATATCTAATATTATGTGTTTTATGTGATTATCTAGTAAACAGACATAAACAAATTTGATCTTTTTCTTGGATATTACATAAAGAACAAAATAAAACAATTTACATTATATTTTGTTTTAAATATAAAATTTAATTATAGCTGATCAAAACTGTATCACGTTTAACAAAAAAATATAATAATAAAATTAAAAATACTGAAGATTTATCTATCTAAAACTAATTGATAATAATAAAGATGCATCAATGGCTCTGATGCGATTTGATTTATTTCTTGTGTATAAAATAATAATATAGGCTAATACAAATAATAAACAACACATAATGATAATACTAGATATAATCAAAATTGAAAAAAAAAAAACTTATATAAAAATAATAAATACAAAACATAATAATTTGACTTGGGATCTGTATAATAATATTATCTGATTGCACATAATGTTAATGGTTGGTTAACTAAAAAAATAATCACATTCTGTGAACGTGAGGTATATATCATAGAAACAAAAACGTACATGGTAGATAAAAAAAAAAAAATATATAGATATTGCTTTAATCGACATCTTTCGGCTTTTAGTCATTATAATGATGCTCATTTGAAACAATGCTGTTGTTCATTTAAAAAATTTAAAAAAACCTGCCATCATTGTCATAACTGAAGTCTTAAAAGGTTATTCACGTCACATCCGAAAACATAATTTTTTTTTATAGGTATTATCATTTCCAAGTAACTGAGTTTAATTATAATAGTATTTATTATAATTGTAAATAGGCCAATTTAAATAGCATATATACTATTTATATCAGCACAGTACAAAAACCGAAAGATGTCAAGAAAATATACAAATAAAAAGACACTGAAATAATAATAATAAAAACAATTATAAAAAAAAAAAAAAAATAAAATAAAAATGACTGAGGTTTAACTAATTGTATATATTTGTATATACATTAATATATATATATATATATTATTATTATAAATCTATGAAAATTTTAAAACAAGGTATTTATAATATAATTTCCAATTATTTCTTTATATAATTTGTTTTGTTTTGTCCTTTTAATTTTAAGATGAAAAGGAATAATACATTTTCAAAATTTGTTACATTGACATTATAAAATAGTGCATTTGAAACAAACAAGTGATTTACACATTTTGTTCTTTTTTTGTTTCATAAATAGTTGTCATGGCATTTAGAAAATATTAAAATGACACAATTTCTAATTAGTACAAAAATAAGTATATTAAATCTATAATAAGTATAATAAATAGTATAACAGTTTTTTTTAAAAAGAAAATGATTAAAAATAAAGTGTTTTAGAAGAATTTGATTAAATAGGTTTTTATTTTTTTAATGAAAGAGTAAATTAAAATCATGAAAATATTATTTAAATTTAATTGAATAATAATCAACACACTAGTTGACTTTTAATATAAGATCTATTAACATAATCCTTTTAATGCTATATAAAATGTGAATTATTAATATTCTGTTATTAATTGGATATTAAAAAAAAGAGATTTTTGAAATCTATTGGATACAATATAAATTAATCAGATCAGTCAATTTCGAATTTAAAATTATAAAGCTCATATAAATTTATCCTATATGCAAGTATTTTATATATATGTATATTTATATGTACACACAGTTAGGGGGCCAAATTATGTGAAAGATAAATACATTTTTGTTTAGACAAAATTATATTTAGTGTTGTATTGTCTTTTTTTTATTAAGTTATAACACAAACACACAATCTGTACATTGTTAATTGTTAGAAAACTTCTAATATTTTGTTTATAATTCTATATGGGATATAATTTTTGAGCATTTATAACTAAAGTGAATATGATGGATGTTCTATCTATTATTATTATATAATTATTAAAGATGAATGGAACATTTATAACTGGTTTGTACATAACAGTTTTAAGTAGATATTATATTGAAATTTTTTTTTAGAAATGGAATAGAAATTATATTATATATATGTTATATTATTTTATTTTTATACAAAATATTATATAATAATTATAACCTAAATCATATGTAAATATCACAAGTGTTTCACCAAATGGTTTTTTTTTTTCATTAAAAAAAATTAGTTCCTTCTTTAAAGAGCATTAAGTAATAATATTAATATTTTACACAAATAAAATAAGTATTCTCCAAGTAGAGAAAAAAATTGTCATGGATTGTAATACATTCTTTAGTTTGGTGATATTTTAGATTTTTGTATCAATTTAAGTAGAATTATTTGTTCATAAGATGTAAATATTTTGATCCCCAAATATTTAAACACTTGATTATAAAAAACTAGATTACGTTATCTTGAGCTGGCTTGCCAGTGAAAATTACTCTTCATTGTCCATTGTTGGCTACGTGATCCATCACATTCACTTAATATGGCAACATATTGATCGGTAGACATTGAATGTTCCAGACATTGATCAGTAGTTTTATGTTTTATTGTCAATTCCTGAATATAAATGTATTATTTAGTTAAATAATAATACAATATTTATATTTAGAAATGTATATCATTGAAAAACAGTGATGTTATAAGCTAGGCCATTTAAGTATAGATTATTTGAATAATTAACCTTGAATAACTAAAAGATGTTTTTATTGAATTCAAAGTGGAATCAGGGGGTTATTCCATCATTAATGCAAATAAATATTCAGCTAAATTACCTTTGAATCATAGACCCATGCTTGATTACCCTCTAGACCATGACATCTTATCAGATTAACAGGTCCAATAATATTAGAGGCATCCAGACAATTATCATCAGACATGATTTGTGATCGTTTAGTATAAGCAAACACCTACCATGATCAAAATATTTAGCAATAAATAAATAGTATTACAGGCATAAAATTAAATCATCACTATACTTGATTGCCACCAAGACCATGGCAGTAACTCATGCCCACTTTTTCACCACTTTTGCGTGACATTGTATCAAGACACTGTTGAGTTTCAATATTTTTTATCTGCAAATTTAGTGACAAACATTATTAAATATCAATTGGTTGTTAAACAAATATGACATTTTAAAAAATCTCACTTCTCCAAGATAATAATAGTCAAGCGGCATTTGGGACTCGGGGTAAATGTTTTCCAAGTACCAACGGAAAGACTTGCACTTCAATTTATCCCTCAAGGCCAAACGATCAGAAACATCTCCAACTTCAACATTAGATGCACCTATAGTCATTTAAAAACATAATACATTTGAAATTTGTCATTTATCAGCATTGAACAATATTATCAATACTATGAAAATGCAAATAAAAACAATAATTAGTTTGATTAGAAGACAATAATGTGGTCAGTGAACATCATGCACAAATTTAACTTTAATAAACTATAATTCTGTTAGTTAAGTAATGATTATACAATTTAAAATGCAAGCAAAACTAATTTTATCTAATATTATTTATTATTATTATTAAAATTATATACATAATTTAATTACACAACTAATATATAGATACTATACAATATAAACAAGTGGAAGGACAACATTCCAAACTCTGGTTTTGATATATACATAAGATTTGTTTATATTTTTAAATTTATAAACATGTTATTTGTTATATATGCATAATTAAAAAAAAAATCTAAATAGAATATGGCAAAACAACGTTTTGACAAAATTATAAAATTGTGTGTTTCAAGGTCTGAAAAATAAATAAAACATTCATTCAAAACTACATACTGTGCTAAGGGCGTGGATAAGATGTATATATATATATATAAAAAAAAAAAAAAATTAGTAAAAATCACAAAATGTGAAGGTGGTAGTGGTTGTGCTTGAAACATTTTCAATCATGATGGGAGGAGAGAAGGGGTACCTGGATTTATGGCGTAGTAAAAATGTTTCCACTCATCCATCCAGACTTCGGCGAGGCGCGCATTGTTGTGGTTGACTATGTGTGATGTGCCACCAGGGAAGGTGTAAGGCGTGGACTTTCGAAAAACATGACCAACGTGCGAACACGGCGATATTTCCAACATGCCGCCGCACATCCAAATCTATGAGTGATCGTTTCAATAGAAATAATTTTGAAAGAAAATTCTTGAAGATTGATATATGAATAAAATAAATGTATGTATAAACATATTGTTAACACACTCACACACACACACCACACAGAACCATTATAATTATAATATTCTAACTTTATTTTATAAAATCATTGTGATACACAATCATAAAAATGGTATTAACAATTAGTAAGCCCTGTAAAAGTCACACATGGTAATATACAGAGAACTATATAAACCATATCATTTTTGTATACATATATATATATATATATTTTTTTTAAAAAATTATTAATATGTATATAATAGGTACATGAGAATATTCAATATTTTTGATCCGGCAAGCATTATATTGGGTTAGATAGTTGTTTCTTGTTAGTAAATTTAGAAAAGCACAACAAATTTTCACAGGAGACATTATATCATCCTATACCTGGATTCATCGCATAATAGAAATCTCGCCATTCGTCCATCCAAACCTCAGCAACGCGAGCAGCGTTATGCAATACAATTTTTGAAACGCCTCCCGGAAACGAGTATGGTGACTTGTCACGAAATACATGACCTACATGCGAACACGGTATTATTTCCAGTGTACCGCCGCATTGCCACACCTAGAAATATCCATATCAACTACTTTTTCCCCCAAACTAAATTTTTTGTTGTAAATAATATACATGTAATTTCCATATCAAACACTGTACTTCACAACTTCTCTGTACTTTAAATATCAGCATGGAAATTAATCATGTTTCAAATAACGTTGCTTACTAATTTAATTTTTTTTTAAATTGTATACTAATTTATAGTACATATAACTTACACGGAATGACATTTCAAGATTCTCACCACCCCAAATATCCATGCCTTCATCGTATGAACCCAATTCATAAAAGTAATCTTTATCAATGGAAAATAATCCTCCAGCCATAGTAGGTGTTCTTAATGGTGCTGTACGATCGTTGTTTCTTCGAGACATCTCTCTTTGTGGGACTCTGTACCTATAATTTAAATTTAACTAAGTAAAGCTAACATACACTTACTATTTATCACATACCATCTAAAATTCAGTTTCCAATTAAATCCACCCCAAGTCATATCAGATGCAGTAACATATTCAAAAGTGTCATCCGATATAACATCAATTACTGGACAAACAACAGTTTTCCTAAAAACGAAAATGTAAAAAAAGTAAAAAACAAAGGACATATAACAAATTAATTAAATATACCTACCTATTTAATACAATTCTAGCTAAAAGTGGTTCAAGCCAACCATCAGCACATTCACAATGTGCATCCAAAAAAGTTATTACTTCACCTTTTACATGTTTAGCACCAAGTAATCTAGCTCTAATCAACCCAGAACGTTTTTCCGTTCGTAATACTTTAGTTTCTACAGGAAGAGTGGCTACATAATCTTCCAATTTTTTCCCCAAAAAATCTAAAATGTTTGAAAACATGGTTTTTTATTCATGAGCATATAGTCATTACAAATTTAGTTACCTCTTTCACTGGCATCATCTACCAATAAAATTTCTCTCAGTAAGGATCGAGGTGATCGGTTAATGACACTCCAAACTGTTCTCAAAAGTGTGGACCAAGCTTCGTTGTGAAATACAATTACAATAGAAGTGGTTGGCATCAATGAAGGATACCGTTTTGTTTTGCAGTCCGCTTGTCGTATGTCTTGTAAAGACCGATTCAATGAGATCATATCACTAGCTAAAATGTTGAACTGGTTTTCCTTGAATTTTTGTTTCATAAGTGCTTCTTGTTCAGGTTTCATCATCACACCGCGGCCTCCTTCGCCATGTTTTCCATGTTTTTCACGTACAGGTGGCATTGGTTTCCAACGCTTGAGCAGATGATTGGGATATGTGACGTCATTTATGTTTTCGTCTTGATTTTGTTTGAAACGTTGCAACATGTTTTCCTGTACTGAGCCCCATCCCATTCTCTGAGCAGCGGTTACATCGAATTGTTCATCTGCACTGTCTGCAGTGTTTGTGGTTTTCGTTTTGCAATTGGGTCCAATGCAATCGGTGTAGTACATCAGGACTATGATATCGATAAATATCCATAGCAAAGATGTGGCAATGATAATTTTGCACGTATGAAGTCGGAATTTACTACGAAACATGATGATCGGTATGAGTATTGTGGATACTTAAAAAATTTACCTGTACTCAAATAATATCATAACAGTGTCTTCTGTCCAGTGTCTGGCGATGGTTGAATACGACGGTTGAGTACCGTCAATGTCATGTATACGTGTGCCGAACGATAATGCAAATTCAACTCGTCCGACTAATGGAAAACAACATTTAAATTGTTACGAGTATAATTACGTCGTGTGACTGCGATTATTTTTAATAACGTAGACACAGGACAACACATCACCAAAACCACTATCACTGATTTCAAAATTATGTGTAAATGTGTAAACAACGTAGATTTTAGGTTAGGTTCGTGTACCGATTTTTTTTTCTATATTTTTTAATACCGTTTGACCAGCAGCAAAGTCATTCATTTTCTTTTGGAATATTTTGATTCCAGCAAAATTCGTAATTAATGATTTTTATATACGGTTAGATTTTAAACGTTCGATTTTTAAAATTAAATATTAGTTATTACATAACTGGTTTGTCAGCAGGCTATCAAGTTTTTTTTTTTTGGTTTGTTTGGCGATATTTTGATTTATCAGGTTATTGACCAGATTGATAACAATATTATCTTTATTAATAAAAATTGAAAATAAAATAATGTAGATGGTGGTCGGTACTCGGCACAGCAGTTCATTTTGTGATACAATTATTTTAATTTTCGTCCTTTGGAAATATTTTTAAACATTAAATACAATTATGAACGTTTACGATAGTGTGATTAAAGGCACACAACCTAATCGGTTCATACTCATTAAAGGTTAGTCATACACCTTTTACTTATGTTTCTTATTTAACATTTGTAGTACCTAGATAATTTGTACAATAAGTGAAATTAAATTATAATGATTGTAATTTTATTTATCAGATGTATACCTACCCACCTGGCACCTACCTATTTTCTGTCTAAAATATTTATAATTGTTCTATGTTTATGTTCGGTGACTAAGGGTTTTGTGGTTTATATAATATAAAGTCAAACATTTGTAATTGTTAACAGTGGCCCCCACGTAGGCTATCTAGTTATGCAATTGCATTAGTAGTCAAATGGGTAGGTGGGTGATAACAATAATCTTGTGTATTTAAATTGAATAAGAGTTACTGAAAAAGTTAACTTTACAAGCTCGGTCCGTACTGTACCGTACCAATCATGCTACATTGTATAGTGTATACTATCTGATAGTTTTAATAATAGATAGGTAAACAAATTAGTTAAGTTGGTTTAGTTGATAATTTTGTTTTTATTTTTACATTCTGTATGTGTTTATTTCAAAATATATCTACAATAATAGGTACCATATAGATTAATAACCTAGGTATTTATCTATATTTAAATATTTTGTTACAATTTTTTCTACTGATCCTTCATTTGAACCTCTCATATAGATCTTTACTATTAAGCGTGATTAAGTGAAAAAAAAAAAGCCATTAACTAAAAATTCATAAAATTTGTACTCATTTGTTAACTGTAGGTGAGTATACTAAAAATTTACTGCATGTGCTCTCAAAATTGTGCTTCACTGGTTGTTATATTAAACTTATTTTAAACTACTTTTTTTTAAAAACTTTTTGATTACCACTAATTATTTAATTACGAATGTTAAACATCCAACTGGGTCTAACAGTTAAAAATGATTTTATAATATTACTCGTATTAGAATAAATTAGTCTGTAACAAACTAATAGGTGATTATATTTTTTTATGTCTGAAGTTGTTAATTTTTGTAAAATCTAATTTTTTATTTCTTTTCTTATTTTTTCTTGTGGAACAATTATAATTGTAATTATTGGAAGTTTATAATGTATATAATAATGTGAATAATAATATAGGTAAAAATGGTAGATGGGACAGGTACCAACATATATATGTTAGATATATTACTTAGAAATTATAATTAAATATTCAAAATACAATAATTAGGTACCTTGATTTTTACTATGCATTGTTTCTGCTATCTAAAGATTTAATGCTGTAGTCAAGTAATAAACTTGTTAAATATTAATGTTTAATTAATATTTTAAGATTTATCGAGTGAATTTATTGTAGTTATACAAACCAGTTAGAAAACAAAGAAATGCACAATTTGCAGCAATGTAAATTGAATTTGAAAATAAAAGTAGACTATAAAATATTTTAAAATTGTTTTTACTTTTGCAGATTCATTTTTCGCTAAAGGTCAGTTTCTATTGTATCTTATATCAGAAAATCGTAAATCTCATGACATACATGTACTCTGCTATGAACAGCTAGTATTCAAATACCGGAATTTACTTCCCTCCTTGCCCAACATTCATTACCATGATTGTATGACTAATACTGAACAAAGTATGTACGAAACTGTTACAAGTATCATTGAAAAATCAACCAAAAATATAGTCGTTTTAATTGATTCATTATCTATATATTTACTTAGAACGGATTTCAGGAAAGTGTATAAAGAAATATTGAATATTACATCATCAGATAAAGGTAAATATAATATATACAATTATTGTTGCTATAAATATACTTTTAACATAACAAAAAGTATTCACACAAATGTGTATTATACATGTGTATTTGATGTTGCTGTTAAATAAAATTTTATGTTTATTCGTATTATAATTTCAGTGCCTAATGTAGTACAATTTGTGGCAGTGTTACACGAAGATGTAACTGAAGTTTGTCAGATTGAACATTTGAAAAACTTATGTAAAACTCACATACATGTGCAAAGCATAAGCAACCCATTAGTTTTGAATTTAAGATTAGAACATAAAAGATCAAATGGTAAATGTGTTGTACAGGTGATACTTTAAATTATAAACTTTGTATAATATTTCAGCATTGTTTATATTCTTGTAATTTTTTTTAAATTTAGAAATTAAAAGGTGAACTTAAATCAGATTGTAAATTCAAATTAATAGCCGACTCACCACCACAAATGGTCGAAGAAGAAAAGGGAATTCCAACAAATTTAGCTAGTTTTAAACTAGATTTACAAGAAAACGAAAAGAAGGCAAAAGAAGAATTAATTTTACCCTATACTCTGTAAGTAAATTGTTCGTGTTATTTAAATGAAATAATAACAATAACAAAAAAAAAAAATTATTTTTCTAGTGTGCAGAATGCGGCCAATAGTGGTGGAATGATACATTATGTTCCAGATGAAGCAGACGACTGGGATGAAGAAGATCCAGATGATGATTTAGAAATATAGGATAGCATTAGATTATTTGTTAATAAAATAAAATAAAATGAGTTTTGTTTTAATATAAACATTTTTTATATCGTTGTTTTACACAAATATGAAGCAGTAAGTTAATTTAAATAATTTTTGATTTTGAGCGTTACGAGGAATGTATTGGTTTTACAATGATATTTATTTTTTTTTTCTGTGAACAACTTTTCTATCAGGAATTTTGCTTCGATTTTCAGGTGTATCACTTTTTCTGAAATTTGACTGGGGTGTTACTTTAAGGCTGTGATTTTATATTAATTCAATTAATATAACGTGTTCAATCATTATACATTTGTTACATTTATATATTAATAAATCAGCAGTTTGTAGGAATAAAGTAATTAAGATAAGTTATCTTAGGTAACTATTGAACAGTAAAATTTGTAAGCAATATCTATTATTAGTCCAGTTAGTATATTTGTTGCAGCGGACTTGAACGTATACACACTATTCATAGAATTGTTACTTGTTTGTCACATAGTTCTGTATATCTATTGATTCTATTAAACTGTATACAAGTTTTATTTCAAATACATTTGTGATATTCATTTACTTACCTATAATAATTATTTTAGCTATTGAAATGTCTAAAATTCAACCTCTAAAGGATAGCTGACACAAGGATTTTGTGTTAAAATTTTTGTTGATTGAGTTATCTTATCTGGTATCTATGGTCAAAACGTATTTTTGTTATCTATTGAATATTGTTTATTAATCTTCATTATAATTTTGAATTGTTATTGGTATTTTGCCATTTACCACCCATTCACTGATCGCTATTTCTTAAAAACTGCACAACGTACGAACTTGAAATTTGGAATAGTGGTTCCTCTACTACTCTAAATGTGCAATAAGAAAGGATTTTAAAAAAATTTTCGTTCAAGTAGATTAATTAACAATAATAATCCATCGCCAATACATATTAACAGTTGAGTTATTCATTTTTATAATAATCGGCGAATAGGTACGCCCATAGGTATTATTTATTTATTGTTATGGATAACCAGAGTAACACGAATGAAATAAAAACTAATTTAAAGGTTGGTAACATGGAAAAAAAAACCGAGTAAACATAACATAATATTAAATTATTTTACGTTACAAAACTGTCCACGGGCAATGCCGGGTATGCAGCTATAGTATTAAATAAAATGAAAAAAATATTAATTTATAATATGTCCATCAAGTTGGTACCAGCACATTATATTAACCCTATAAAACTAATACCAAAACAATTGGTAGGAATTTGGTAGATTTTGCTATTTTATTTTCAGAATTTGCTAATTTTCTGAAACGCTATAAATTAAATTTCAAATTTGCTGGTGTTAACTTGACGCAGAACCGGCAAATTGTCTGATTGGCTCAAAAGTAGTGGCAAAATAATGCTAGTAATTTTCTAGATTTTGATAAGTCATTTTTGGAATTTGCTACAATTTAGTTTTTCCAGAAAATCGGAAGCAAATTCCAAAAACGACCTAGCGAAATTTAGCAAATTCTTAACAATATTAAAAAGCACTGGCTGTGTTCGTTTTCCAGACGTTTCAGATCCTCCTCGACATTCGACAGTGGTATAAATAAGATTATATTATAATATCGCCAGTCATAAAATCTAATAATGCAATATTATGTATATTCTGATAATTTCAAGTTGGTAGGTATTCGATACAATACAAAAATAATCTGTGAAATGTGACCGTTTGACTGTTATAATCTGTTCTTCGGTCTCTCCGTGAATTTTGAGCGATCGTGTTCCGTTTTTTTTTTCGTAAACATGCCGAAAATTAATTATTTCCACTGTTGTAAAAAATTTGTTATTTTTAAGCGCAATTTTCGGTATTTTTTAGTGCAATACTGCAATCGATTGTTTTTTACTGCTACTATATCCGTGCTCTGTTATAATCGTTCAATTTTTAAATTCAATAGTGCATTAATCAAATTTGAATATTATCATATAATGGAAAGCATCTACAGGTGTAAGATCTTTTAATAGAGTATGGCCATTTAATTTCTGCGATGCTTTCATTTTCGATTAACCGATCAGGACTTGTAACCAAAAGTGGATGTGTTTTATTCAACTGATAAACCAGCTCTTTGGATTTTAAAAATTATAACTTTTTTGAAGGTAACGCCAGACTTCATCGTTATATAATAAATATTTGTGTAGTAACATCGGTTGATAAGACAATGTGCCGAAGCAAGATCTAACAAATTACTAGCAATTTTTTGACACCTTTTTCGAGCCGATCGGACAATGTGCCGGTGTTGCGTTTAGTTACCACCGGCAAATTTAATTTACAGCGTTTTGGAAGACTAGCAAATTCTAAAAATAAAATGACAAGATCTAGCAAATTCTTAGCAATGTTTTGGTATTAGTTTTACATGCCTAGCATAATGTGATGGTGCCGAGTTGATGTACGTATTTATAATAATTTTTTTTTACAATATTTAAACATAAGTACGATTATTAATATTTCTATTAATATTGGAAAAAAAAAATGTATGATGGAAATAATTGAAATTGTATTGCATATTTTTACAACCGACTGCACATATATTGTTACATTTTGATAAATGCAAACATTACAAATACCTACATACTTATATTATTTTAATAGTTCTGTATATTTATTAAGATAAGACTTATTTTAAGACAGGTAAGAAAATATAAACGGACATGTTTTTATATGATGCATGCCAGTTATATATTATATCTACCCATTGGCCGTTACCCAATTCTATAAAGTTACGGCCACCGGTATACAAAAGCGGTTAGCATTTTAAAATTGTTTATAAAAAAATTTAAATCATAAAACCGTAGTGATCATGTTCTAAAAACATATATTGGCAGCTAGTGTATACAAAAAACAAAGCATGCATTATGTATAACGTATGTTATACCGGGCTAGCAATGGTGAACATAGAGAAATAGACGAGAAAAATCTTCCAGAAAATTTTCGGTCCAACCGAGGACGAATGATGCAAATAATAGAGCGTGAAGAATTAAGACTGCAGAGCTAAAGGTTTTATTCCAAAGTACGAGCAGGTACAAGTAGACGTCATAAAAATGAGACGATTATAAATCAATACAATTGTAGGGGTCAGAATGAGCGAATAAAATGAAATTAATTAATGCGAAAAAAGACATTTAGGAACGCTGAACGACGAGATGCGGAGATTTAATGAGAAGGGTTGTGGAATTATTGAGTTTAGGTCCGAAATAGAAATAAATATTTATAGGTAAGTGTATGAGCGCTCTGTGGCACCCGGTTTCCGTATGACATATTCAAACGCATTTCGAAACGGTACGCAATTGTCTGTTTAGGGTATGGGGAACTCTGCACTGAACCCACACAACGATAGTCGCGCGCTAGCAATCGGAAATCGTGTGATAAAATCCTTTACGATACCGGCAGCGACCGGGTTACAGGCGCGACGGAATATAATTATTATTATTCCATAACGCGTGGATCGTTGTAGCGGAAGACGGTAATCGAAAAGGAAAAAAAATGAAAAAAAAAATAAACGATAAGACTACGAGACGGGCCGCGTGAAGTACCGGGAAAAACGTACGGAGCGTGGTCGGTAAAAGATTCCTCGGCTGACGGCCGCGCGACTGTGCAGATGGCGCTCTTGCGCGTTGCGTTCTAGACGGCCCGCCGGTGCCGGCCGGACACGCAGTCCGCGACCGTCACGGCCACTACCACCGCTTCAGTGCGACTGTAATACAATGTACGAAATAACGATACAATAGCGATACACGCAAGCACGCGGTACGGCGACGACCGCGACGACCGCGACGAAGTCGTTTCTCTTTCATTCGCGTCACGACCGTCGCGGTGCCCTGGGTACGTCCGCCGGATCAGTCTTCGTACTTGTTGCACGGGTTCAGCACGCGCGTCTCGCCGGAGGCCGGTCCACCGCCGCAGCCGTTCGCGCCGGAATTTTTCCCTTTACACTGTACTCAACCGCCTTCGTCGAGTCCAATCCCACCCGCCATATCACTGTTACAAATGATGATCGGCTGTTGGTCGTCGCTTGCGGCGTAACGCGGTCCGCGTCCTACATTGGCGCGTCGGGGATGCGACCCGCGCCACGGACGTCGCCATGGTCGTCGTGAGTTGCCGCCGGAGGATTCGCCGTGCATTGCCGTGGGCGCTCGCCGTCCTGTTCACATCGTGTCTGGTTTTGTGGTCGAAAAACGACGATCCCACCGCCACCGCCGTGGTCCTTGTCGACCAGGCTTCCGCCGGAGACGGCGACTGGGTGTCCGTCAGGTATATATACTCGATAGTCAATAGTGACAATCGGGGTTCGGGACTTATACGAGTTACAGCATTTAAAATCGACAAAAAAAAAAAAAAAAAAAACCACTCGAAAAATTTCATTATAGCCCCGAATAAATCGTGTAAAAATATTTAATAAACTGACGAGAAACCGTTTTTTCTTTTCTTTTTAAACTGTTGAAATTAGCAAAAAAAAAAAAAAACCAACTCAAATTTTATATTTTAACTCTTGAATCTTTTCAAAACTACACTGGCTGATTTGTATTGCCCAATGACGACCTGACAGGTTAGTAAAATAATGAAAACAAGACAACGGGAGTTGGAATAATATAATAAATATCAAAACAATTATTCAAAAATCCACGGGGGAAAAATCTGGGTTTTGTCAGTGGCTTATTAATTATTAGTGTCATTACGTAATCGCAATAGAGAAAATATGAAAAAAGTAGAAAAACTAATAAAAAGCATCTTTTGAAAACACTACCGAAATAAACAAAAATTAAAGTACTTTTATACATTTCTATGTAATTATACGGCTTCTAACGACAAGCTAAAAAAAATAAGTAAATGCTTTAAGTCTCAAACCCTGGTCATAATAAATATTATTACAATGTATTTTATTATACGAAGCGGTAGATTATTTTTACGATATTTAATGTGTAAATAAAAATTATACGAAAATGATTTATAGTAATTTATCTGTTTAAGAGATAGATGCAGAAAATTTATTCGCGTGTTACTTATAAGTAGTGGATAAACTGGAAAAAACTCCGAAGTGGGAGTATATTTATCAAATATTAAGCGGTGGCTCCCAAGCCATTAAAGGCTGGTAACTAAACTCAACCGAGCTTTCGGAAGTCGAGACTTCCAAAATGTTTTTCTTCCGCACACATTTGTTCATAAAAATGTCACGTTAATGTGGTTTAAAAATAAACCGCATCCCCAAAAAAATATTTATAGATAAGCCTGCTCAGTAAAAATTAAGTAAAATTGTCTTATTGTGTATAAGCGCAGTAGGCGTAAAGAATTTATTTTTAACACAATTAATTAGAGTTTTGTTAACTTTGAAGTATAAAAGGGACGGATCGTTTTACCATGAACAAGATAAAGGCTTCCCTTCCGATTCACCCCTCGTCTACTTTACCTACTGCTTATTAGTTTGGCCTTTTTGATACCTGCATAATTCTGAGAAAATAAATTCTGCGTTCATTCGTCTGCAGCTATATTTTTCGTGGATATATCGGCATAGGTCTTGGAGGTATCGTTGATACTGTAAGTGTACAGTAACGCGGAAAGCATATTTCAAACCTTGTTATGCAAGCAAATTATTAAAATATTGTTCCGAAATTACGTACCCACTTCCTCTACCCCCCCTAAATTCTAATGTCAAACAATTGTTGTATTGGGGAAACGTCGTTCACTACTTAAAATAAATTACGAATACTATGTCTGGGTGAGAATGCAATTCAAACGCTACAGAACTAGAATGTAACTTCGGATTCTAGTATATTTATAATAGTATACCCACGCGTTAAATTTTTTTTTCAAATACTGACGGTGTCATTTCTGATTGTTCTGAAATGGTTTTTTGATAATCTGTGAACAACATTTCTACCATAAATTTTGCTCCGATTTTCAATTATAGCACTATTTTTGAAAGGAAATTTGACTGGGGTTATACGTTAGAAAGGCTACTTGATTTTCCCAGCTGTTTTCATAATAAACGGGGAAAAAGTTTTTATTTTGGTTCGGTTGAAAATATTTGTAGAGAACTGAAATTTGGACAGAAAACTTATGTTTGTCTTTTCTAGACGTAGACAAATTCTCAATATATTTTATCTATTTTTAAATTATTTATAGACATTTTAATTTTGTGAGTTCTTTCTGTAATTTTATTCGGCAGGTACTCTGTGGATAAAATTATTGGACCAAACAGAAATGCTTGGAAATGTAGCAGGAAATTCATTATAAATCGTACTTTGCGGTAAAAAAAAATTGAGTGTAATGCGGTGTATAAATATATATATATATTTTTAATAAGAGTTTTAAAATCAAATTTTAACGAAATTCGTAAATATTATCCCATCTTCTCAAGGAAATTTGACTGGGGTGGTACTTTAAGGTGGTCATTTTTTGATTTTTCCAGAGATTTTCATAATAAATGGGGAAAAAAGGGAAAATTTACGAAATTTATCATCTTAAAATCGCAAAAATTACGGCCTTTCCAAACATGTATAACCGAACTCCGTTCAGAATGATTTTCCGTTAGTGAAGATTAATTGTTGCGCGCGGTTTTCCTTAAATCTTTTTCTATATCCTACTTTCCCAACTTCTCACCTATAACAGTGACCCACCATTGTGCGAAGTATGTCCGTATTTTTTTTAAAACGTGTTTGAAATGACTTCAATAACCCTTATTGTCCTAAAGTAAAATGTAAAAGGTAACGTTTTACACTGAGCCTAGGTGTGATATAGGATTGAATATAGAACCATTATGTGGAGTCCAAATTCGTTTTATACTTTTAAATCCGGTTGGTCTAATCAAAAATGTCGAACAGGTTGCTATAAATCTTGAACTAATGACAGTGGAAAATAGACGACTTCTATTCGACACTGTTTTCTTACACGGTGTTTTCGGTGGCAATGTTGATTGTCTAGAATTTTCTTTAAAATATTAACTTTAAATGTCCAAATTATGACTCCAGGAAAACTAATACACGATAACACAATTTAAAGAAGAGAAAATTTCCAGGTTGTGTCGTGGATTTTTTTTCCAAAAAACACTGACAAACAAAAAATGCACAGTCATGTCAGATTTTGTATTTTTTAAAATAGTGTCCGGAACGAGATAGTGACTATATCCTACGTAATTTTCAAGTTTAAAGTATATTACATATTATAAGGATGACAATACAATAATTTTATTGTATTATGATGTTTTGTCTTGTCCGCGTGTACGTAATGTGCGCGCACGCGGTAAAATTCAGTCAATCCTTCACGTTGAACGATTTCATCCGGCGGTCGTTGTCCCGGCGGAAAAAACCGGAGATCGATGCCTGCGGAATAATAATAATAGTAGTAATAATAATAGCGATATAAATAATATATATATATATATAAAAAAAAACAATGTAACTCTAGTTTTAATAACGGACCGACTTGAATGGGTACCTACCCATTATGCCGAGCTAAAAAAAAAAATCGTTTTGCTTATTCGCTTCACGGTCATCATTGTAAAACCGAATGCAAATATCGTTTTTGATAATACTCAACTAGGTATTTATATACTATAACGAGTCTACACTGTCTGCACATCGTTAATTAAATAGGTACGCACTGCACAGTTCGTCCGAGCAAGATATTGTTACGAAAAAAAAAAAAATAATAAAATAAATAAAAAATAAATACATTTATGTAATAATAATAGTAATAGTTAATAAGTAACGCCGTGATTTTATTAATTTTAAATACTAACAACGCGACTATTAGTTCCTTCGGAAAACTCATTTTTGGTCAGCGAATATACTTCGAATGTTTTAAAGATGCAAATTTATCGTTCGATGGCAATTTATTTGAACTTATTAATCTGTTGACGAACCTTTGGTTTTATTTTTTTTCGTTACTGCAGGATTATTATATTGGCCACAAATCGCAATAACAAGGGGGAAAAAAAACACGTCCGATACTATGATATTATGTAACCTTACGAGTTTATCATGCTTAGCTTAGCTCGGAATAGTCTAATTGATCGCAATGACTTATGGTCACCGTCGATTTATAAAGGAAATTGCCCTTTTTCACATACATTTTCCCAACTGTGTCTACAATATAATATTGGCCTACCCACTGTGCGAAGAATGTCCGATTTTTAAATTTTCAAACCGCGTTTTCATAATGATACCTGCTTAAAGGTATTGTAGGGAAAATGTATTAATTATTATTAGGTACCTAAATAGTTGTATATGCCCGTCGTACATAACGAGTTATAACCTCTAAAAGCAAGGACGTTCCCGGGGACCTCTTGTTACTCTAGTACTCGTTTAATAACTATTAGGGACTTCCTGTTGGGAATATTTAACTTCTCGGACATTGCCTGTTTTGTTCCCAATAAATGAAACCTTACCAATATTACCTATTCGGAAGCATTTTAATCTCTCCTAGAACCGACTGTTTTGGCCCAAAAAATTAGTGTCTACTGCGAGCTTTCCGTCGCGAAGAATTATTATTAACGTTTACACTATACGCGTATGGACTATCGACGTATAATTTTTATTGTTATTTTTCTTTTGCTGTAGCGATTTCGGCGTACAAACATTTTTATCGGGAATCGTTTTTTCCGCGGTCATTTTTAATTTGACTATTATAACCTTGCTTAACCGGTGACTATTTATTATTGGTTAGGCGTGACTCGGATACGGATTTCCGCAGTGGCGGCTTCAGGGGTGGGGTTGGGACCGTGGTTCCCCCGAAGCCCGTATTTTCGTTTGAAACAACTGTACAAAAAAAAAAAAAAAAAAATATAAATGTATAAAATATGTTTTAATACAGTTTTCTGAAAAATATGACTTGCCCTCATCCTACCAACCAAGTCTCCGTAGCCGCTCCTGACCGCGATGTAATAGCGACGTTCTTTTAACGTTTAGTCATAATATTATTGTATCTGTTATAAAATATTTACCTATACTGTAACGATTCAGTGGATAATAATAATGAATAATATTTGTATACGATAGGTAATTCGTTAAATCTTTTGTGTATTTTTTATAGACGTAAACGTAAACAATTGGTACTATTTTACTTTTCTTTAAAAGGATTTGTATGATATAAGATACCTACAATAAAAGAAAAACGGCAAATAAAAAAAAAAGTTTTTCTTAATCGTTAGTATATATATTTATAAATACGGGAGGTTTGGATACAAACGGTTTTTGGTTTTACGCGATGATGAAATAATAAGTAAACCACGCGATACCATACCTAGAGACTAGCTGCATTCATGAATAATTATGAATGGGTATGGATAACCGAAATTTATCGTTCGTCGGGATTTTGTATTTTGAAACTGAAGTTTTAGATTTATTTATGTATATTTTTATAATCATAAAACTTCAAGAAATAAAATCCGTATTATAATATTAGAAGTTATAAAATAGGAAAAATAAAATCGTCTTTTAGGTATAAAAAAAAAAAAAAAAAACCAATAAGTCGAATAGTAATATTGTTAGAACCATAATTTCGGATTTCGGTGACCGAAAGTCGAAACCTCGAGTCTTTAGTATTTCTTGAAAATTCGGATTTTTATCACACATTAATAACTAATTAATAAGACCTAAATACCTAATTATTACTCGTAATGTGTAGGTACGTATAATTAGAATCGTACATTCGCATGTGTTTTTATCGTAGATTAGTTTTTGATTCGATGTAATAATATTATTGTTTGATTGAATTAAATACATATTATTACTATACAAGTACCTATTATATAGTTGTGGTTTTAATTATGACTGTTTAAATATCTATAGGTGTAATAAGTGTCACGTCGAATGAGGACAATAGTAATTTAAATGAATAGTTATTTTGTTTGATGCGTAGATACTAAATATATATACCTACATATGAAACAAAAAAAAAAAAAAAAAACATTTAATTATAAATCGAATGAACTCATTATTTTAAATTCGGAGCGTAGCGAGGGATTTATCGGTTTTACTATGATGTATGTTTTTGATTTTTTGTATATGTAAACAAATTATTTATTGGAAATCTTGCTGCGGTGTATAGAGTGTAGCACTTTTACTGAAAGGTAATTTGGTTTATTTGGTGCATCAAAATAATTGGGAACCACCCGAAAGAAAATTATAGGTAAAACGGCAAATATTTAAAGCGCGCCGCGGCCTTACCGTTTCCATTGTTTTTAATTTTTGATTACGATGTTGTTTACCAGAAATATTGCTCCATACAAGAGATTTTTTATGTTGAATTTTCAATTTAGGTAATAAAGACAGGAGATAATGTAATTTTGCACCGCATACTATTTTCTAGACTTGATAAAGTTTCCAAAAATTTTACTGACTTTATTTGACTTTTTTTTTTGATTTATGTTTTAGACTTTATGACTCTGTAAACAAGTTTTAATAATTTATACATTCAATATAAGATTTATCATATATGTTATCTATTCTTACACGGGTAAAAAATACTGATATTAATGATGGGTGTACCAGGTGTTTTAGGAGAGATTTTTGAATGGGGGATTTATAGAGTGATCTAATTTATATCTTTATGCAACGATAAATCACTGCTAACGAAAAATGTGTCTGAGCAGAGCGATATTATATTAGTCGTATTTTGTCATTGTCGCCTAGGTAAATCAGATATCAACAAAGAGTATACAAAAATTGTCAGTTTTTATTATTTATTAAAAAAAAAAAAAAAAAAAATCAAAAAATTATCCTCATTGCATCAAATAGATAATAAATGCCACATGCAAGTTCCTGTAAACTTTTTGGTTGGAGCAATATTTTTAACAAAAGTTATTTACTGTAATAAACACAAAAGAAACGTATCATGGGAAATTAATACATTCCTCGCTTCGTTCAGAATCTAAAAGTTAATCGTGTAGTTACTACATTTTGACGAAACCCGTTGAGAATCAAGTACAACTGTTATAAATTATTGTTTCGTTTAATTCAAAATTAGTATAACTACTTTGAATTTAGTAAAACAAAAAAAAAAAAAAAAAAAAAAAAATCGAAAATCCGAAGATTTTTCAACCGTTATAATATAAGAAAATGCGTATATATTTTGTCTCGCACGTAAATCTTATTAATATCTCAACTAGAAACCCGTTAAAAAAAATTATCTACCGTAAGCAAATCGTGATGATGATGGGTGCGGCGGCGGCGATGGGCATATAGGTATTGCCGATGAGACTCTAATATAATAATTCATATTATACTTATATACTGGACATACCTATACCTACCTAAAGTGTATACACGTAAATAAAATATGACTTTAATATTATTATATATACCTATTATAGGAATTTTATTATTTTTATTATTATACTATATAGGAGTTGCGTATGAAAACATCGTTCGTGGTGAGGCCATGTGATAGTCAGAAGACGTAATTTTGCACGCGTACGCAGTCATTATTGAATTTCGATCTCGTATAGGTAGAGGTACGTGCATAATAACATAGCTAGTGGGTACTCTACCTACGAACATGCCGGCTATTGCGGTTTGTAAAGTATGCGATAAATAATCGACTAGCCTAAAAAAAGCAAAAAATAATAATAATAACAGACGACGTGGTCGCGTGTATTGTGTTATTATTATTATTACTATTATCATCATCATGCAAAATTATGCGCCGGTACGCCGTGATTGGAAACGGTATACATACCAGATACCTACTCGCGTATAGAGAAAAATATTGTCGTCAGCAGCTGCTGTTATATTGTAATGTAAGTGTAAGAGACCTATCGACTGCGAAAATGATTATACACGCGGCATAACAATGCTCGGTTTGGGTTTCAATTACCGATCGTATAGCGCATCGACTGCAGGTCGTTCGCATTCTCTTCTGCTGCTGTGTGCAGATGACGGTCCTTGAAAAATCGGTTTAATTTTTTATTTCCACCCGTCCGTCTACGCAATAATAATAATAATAATAATAAGTTGGTTTCGTCGTGAAATCTTTCGAAACGTGTGAGTATAATAAAGTACTCTTGCCGACGACGGTTCCGCCACCATTGTGACGAGGTGGGTACACAAATAGGGGATTTATCGATTCCGCCGTTTTAACATCGATTCCGCCGGCTATCGACTCGGCTGGACATATGTAAATACTGATTTCGCCGGCTATCGATTCCGATTATACAATTAATATATTATTTGGAATAAACAGGTTTAGAAACAATGAACATTGAGTTTTATTGGCTAAATCGGAGAAGAAACTGAAAAGTTTTTGAAAATTCCACGCATAAGAATGGTAAAATAGGAGGGTAAAAAACAAAATGTTTGGGGACGGGAGGTACTAAATTGGGTACCAAAATATACAATGTATACACACACTAAACTATACAGACGCATACAAATGGACAAAGTTACGAGTAATACAGATACCATTACGTATATAAGTATAAATATACATATTTATTCCATTGGAGATCGCGTATTTCCACTTCGGTTTCATATCGTAATCCGTAAAAGTTTAATCGAAAAACCGGAAATCAGAAATCCAACTACAAGTCAACATTTTCCAATATGGTCTCGTGTTCAAGTAACAGACATTTGGTAACGGTTGTAATCATTTGCGCCATGTTATACCGTGTAAAAATTAATTTTGAAATAATTGTTAGTGAAAGATTTGTACCTACTATCCATTGAAAAAAAAAAAGAATTTGAATCAACTAGTAATACAGTTCGGCAGAGTCGATATCCAGTGCAATCGATACATTTTTTACATATAAAAAAAGATATTTCGGCGGAATCGATGTATGTTCCGAAAATATAGAGCCAGTTTTTTGTATTTTAAAACGCAAACTGCATCTATATGTATATGTAATAGGTACCCATTAAGGTTTTGATTTTTTTTTTTTACAGACTATATCCTTTTCTTTCGCCGTATTTAAACAACTATCGAGAGGGTTTCAGTCTTTCGGTCTCAGATTTTTTATAGATTCTTTTCAAAACCGTTCGCCGATCCACTTGCCTCACGTCGAACGTCACTAGAACGTCGTCCCACCTGACCTTAACCCGGGTCGTTTCAGGTTCAGCGATCTTTTGCCTGTTAGATAATTACATTTTACCGGGTGCATAGACGTTTTTTCCAGGGTACCGTTCGAGTTTCTAAATCTCTTCATTGTTTCGGATCCAAGCAAGGATCGAACATTTTGCTCTAGATTCTTCTTTCGAATATTAGTAGATTAAGTTCTTGTATTTTGTGCACCGTCAATCGTTTATGATATCTTATTTACAACATTATCAAAATGTTATCCTTATTCCCGTAAATATACCTACTGCATTAACACATGGTGATTTTCAAATTTTCAAAGAGTGACCCGTTTTCTTGTTCAAAAAGATAATAATAAGTTTATAAGTAAAATATATTTTAATATAACAGTTCAATGTCTGGTCGGAGGAGTCAGTAGAGGATATGAATGCATGCGAATTTCTCATGTTGTTTAAATTTTGTATAGGAAAATAGTTACATTTTGAAAATAACATGAATATTATCAATGCGTATTAATCAATCAAACTGATTAACAATATTGTCCGAAAATACCAAAATCAAATATACAAGAAATCTTTGTCGGTACACGATGTTAAAACAAACACCCCGTATAATTTGTTCCGTAGTCATAATAGGAGTAGGTACTTGCGCACGGTGCTGCACGCACGACGTAGTTTTCGTTGTTTCCGTTTCGTTTAGTCTTCGCGTTATAATATGTGTATAGGTAATTGTATACGTAGTTATGTAGTATATATTTGCACGAGCGCGCGCTGTAGAGTATTTAAATTGACCGATTCGACGCGCGTTGTATTAAACGGAATCGGTGGGAAGTCTTTTATTATTATTATTACGTTTTTACGTGTTCGCTTAGCGGCGGCATCGATCAAAATCTAAAAATCACCGCTTACACGGTTTTCGCGATTTCGTCGGTCACGTGATATAAAACCGACGGGTTATCCCGATAGGGACGATTTCTTAGCTACGTATAATTCAATACAATGTATTCTGTCATCGTCGTCGGGAAATAATATAATCATTTAATCACGACGACCGGAAACAATCAATGTCGATCGTGTAACATTATCAGCACTCGAGTTTCAAAATGCAAAGCGTACAGTCTGGCGAAGAACCTATTATATAGTTTTAAGAATATGTGCTGTTTTTTTTTTCAGAAAACACATTTTCGGGTAGCAGAAAAATATCGTGTTTTTTTCCCTTCTTTTTTTTTTTACAGTTTTACCATAAAAGATCATGAATTTTCGCCTGGTGGTATTTAATTTGAAACTACTACCGAAATTGTCTGTAAGTTCACCCTGTAGGTTTCGAGTTGACTCGGGTACGAGAGAAATACGCTCAAGTTATATCTAATCTTACTGTTTAACTATTTCGCTAAGGAATCTTTTTTTTTTTTTTTCTGAGGGTTCCGAATCAAAGTATTTCTATGACGGATACTGAAGACTGTGAAAGCTTGTAGTTTAATTGAAAATAATTATTATCCGTATTTTCTTGACACCCGACAATGAATAACGACAACCTGGAAAAGAAATTTTAATTTTGATTTTTTTTCAAACCATATTTATGTTTGAAACTTAGTGATCTGAAAGCTTAATAACAAACACTTACTCTACAAATATATTATAATTGATACACGCACACAAGTAGAAGCTAACCACGGAGTTTTTTTTCATTATTTTTATTGTGTTCAACCTTCCAAAAAAGGGTAATCGGTTAAAAAATGTAATACCTACGTAATGTTTTTGTGGGTGTTTGCGCGCGTGATCGGAATCTGTACCTACGTCATTGCCGACTAAGAAATACGATATTATGGAGTATCTACCGTATACTATTATGTATTACAGTCGTTAGTCATTCATTCCCTTTCACCCAAAGTGTTTACCGACATCATATTCTACGGCCATTTACAGGTTACCGTACGTACTAAGACTTAAGAGAACGTCACACATTCAAGACAACAACACAATTTTGTTTTAGCCATCTTAAAAACGCACAGCATAGTGAATTTGTGTCCACAGAACCGATTTTGTTAATTTTAATATTGAAATGAATTGATTTATCAATTTTGAAACATCAAAATTCACCTGTTGACTGTCATCAGTACATATTTTCTAAGTATTAGTAAAGGTCATCATACGTGAGGCCATGACGATTATTATGGGTTTTATCTAGAACGGTTTGTTAGTACCTATACCGTAAATTATATTGATATGTTATAAGTAATTTTATATTTTTTTTTTGCTAACTGAAAAAATCATAGTATTATTAATACTTTGATATTCATAATTAATATCCCTATTTTATATAACGCGTATGTGTATGAATTTATATGCACAGAATAAAAAAAAGACACTCTGTATGGGTACAATTTTGTGTAATCATAAACGAAATATCAATGGTGTAAGTGCGTTCTATTTTTTGTATTCATATCGTTAAAGTAAATGCATTAAAAATCTCATTTCAGCCGACAGGTTACAATTGAAAGTATCACTTTTGCGTTTGTACATTGGTTTTTTACAAAATTGTCATTCTTATGAGAGATACAATAGTATGCGAAACATCACAATTGTAAACGCTTGTATTTTTCTTGGAAATTAGAACATAGAAAAAACCAACTTGTATGTAATCGTTTTTAAAATTTAAGATTTTGATTGTAAGTCAATTCACAACTTGATTGGCACAACATCGATTTTGCTGTACCTACGAAAATTTGCTAATTCGTGACGATGCGTTCTTATAACGAAGATGACAAACGAATGCATGTGCGTAAACGAAAAAAAAACCAGAGAGATTGTAACTCGTTTATATCTTTAGGCACGAATAATTTTCGGTATTTTATCAGATAGTTTTTCTCGTAATTCGTTGGTTTTTACAGGATTAACGGCGAAACAAAATTGATATAATTTCTAAACCTGATGTACTGCTATAATAATAGTAGGTCTATAAATATTAAATTTACAGTTTTATAGTTTTGTCCTTCCACTTTTTTTGATGTTCGTATTTCACTACGAACGAAAATACTATAAGTACCTACTTAAAACAGTAAAACCTGATATTTCTTCTCGATTGTGGTTCAAAATTACTAAACGAATTATTTTCAACTTAATTTTTTACATTATTTTTTTTTAAAATGTAGGTGCTTTTAGAAAATAATTCGTACTTTACGTGATTCATAGATATAATAAATAAGCGAATAGGTAGTCAAAACAGTTACTTTATATATTTGTTTAGTGTTTATAATGATAGCTTTTTATTAAATATATGTAATATATTTATACAAGTTCTAGTTTTATTGTTAGCCGTTTATTGAAAAAAAATAAATGTTTTAAAGTTTTAGATCTTGAGTTTAGCAAAGAAGCTGTTTAGTTTTACAAAAATGGTTTTATTTCTGGGAAAACTTTTTTTCGCTTAGTAAAAATATTTCGATATTTTCATACCATACCTTAAAAGATAAAGAGTTTTGTTAGTTGGTACTTATTATTTTAACTAGGTATATGCATTTATTTCTAGTTTCTAAGAGTTTCTGACATGGGATGAGGCTATGACTGAAACTATAACTTTACCAGTTTATCGAGTTCCGTTCAGAATGGTTGTTTTGATTACAATGATTTATTGTTGTTTTGTATAATTAAATTAGGTATCCGATAATATCTTCCTAGTTTACTACTTATATTACAGTGGCTTACCCAGAAAATTATTTTAGAATTTGAATATAACATCATAAATATATGATATTATTCCATTCTGAATCGTTTTCCGTTTGTAATGGTTTATATAGAAACTAAATTACCTTTTTTTTTTTAAATTTATATTTGATTTAGATGATCTAATTAATGTATCAGATGAATGTTTTTATGTATAGAATACAGACATTATTATTTTGTAATTATCTCACATTCTGCAAATGTAATTATACAGCTCGATAAAATTTTATTCTTGAACTATTAAAACTGTTGTATTATTTATTTTGACATTATTTCTTCACGCAGGTATCTATATAATTAGGTACCTGCTACACACATCATTTCTATTGGAACATTGAAACGCATACTGTACATAATATAATAATTGTAATTATTTTAATATTATATTCCGTATTGATAAAACCTATGCATCGTGTTTCTAAATATTTAGCCATCAATGTAGTACTGTTTTTCAGTGTCTATCTATTTTTGCTGACATTTCGTAGTTTTTAAGAAAACCGCCGTTGTTTGCAGGATCATTATACAATTTGAGATATATCTTTGCACGAAGAGTAGTATAAATTCGGCAATGGTGGAAGTTAATGTATAATAAAGACGAGTAATAGCCTAGTTTTCCCCTCTTAAAACAAAATCATCGTGATGATATACTCTCAAGAAGGCAACAAGTGAGTTTGAAACGTATTTATTGGAGCGAAAATAATTACAATGATACCTGCAATGGCGTAATAATATTTTCTTCATTGTATAAAAAAATAACATAGCAGTAGGTATAATAATATTATTTCGTGTATCATCAATTTATTCTTATTTTTCTATTGTCGGTTTGTCTATCATCTATATAATAATATCATAGTAACCTTAATACGTTAATATATTGAACATCTCGGTCAAATTGACGCTATTTGTATTAAAAACTAGAATTATGTATAAAACTGTCCGATTTTTCAGTGAAAAATTTCGAAAACAAATTGAAAATTGCTGTATCGTGAAACTAAAAGAAATTATTCTTGGTATAAGCTAGTACATTTCGAATTTATATTGTAAACGTATCATACGTAACATATTTTAAGACGATTGTCTTGTATAATAACCGAACAAAAATGATAATTAATGGTTTAAAGAGAAACTATCAAGATGGAGATATCGAAAACCTTTGTAACTTTAAATTACACTTAGAAAGATCCTTGTATATTTACAATATTAGACAATATTATTATTAAAATATTATATTTAAGTAAAAAAAAAAAAAAATTGAAATAGAGAGACAGTTCAAGAGAGAGACTGCTGGTGATGAAGTGTAGTTATAGCGGCAAAAACTCTTAAAGAGTAATTTCCAGAAGTAGAAGAACTTGTAATTATTTGCAACTATTTTTTAATGGTAACTATGATGGAGAACGAAATCCTTGAAAAGAGATTTTAAGTGTATAAAATTTACGAATTTCGTACACTTTTTATCGAATAAAATCGATTAGGTAAAATATTTATTTTTTTTTTAAGCAATGCATAATACATTTAATATTATTATATTTTTACTTGAGTTTTTTTTTTTGACATGTAGTTCAACAAAATCTATTTAATATGTGATAAAGGTAAAAAAAAAAAAAAAAAAATAATATAATAAACCACCATATCAGATCGATCGGCCGTAAAAACGTCAAAGAAATTCGGATGCGTCAATACACAATATCAATCACGAAAATATATTTTTTTATTAACGGTTGTCATATATAATGGTCAAATTGTTAAAAAAAATCGATATTATGCTAAATTACGAGTTCGCAGAGTAATTTTATGCAGAAAACTCGTCTAGATTTTGTAAAAAAAAAAAATTAAAATTAAAATCTGTAGTATCTATTGCATTAGTTCAGCATCTGACATCGTATCGTATATTTATAGGTTACGAGCGTACATTATTACGATGTTCGTATTTTTCTCCTGTCTTTTACGACAGTACGATATACTCTTAAGGAGGTCTTTTTTTGATCTTTCTTGCAGTGTAATATTTGGGAAAAAAACGAAAGAAAAACGTGAAAATTTACAAAGTTACCGTAAGATTTCCGTTTTTTTTTTTATTTTATTATTTTGTTGTAATTCAAATAAAAATAGTCTTAAAACTAAAGTTTTCACATAATATTTATATTAGCATAGTCAAATTTCCAAAATATCTTGGCAATTTTTGAGCTATTTAATGTTATTTGAAATAATTTTCGAATTTTAATTTTATATGTTTTCGTCTAGTCAAAATGTTTGAACATTTATCACGAGGTTTGTCGTAAGTTCTATTTAGTAATAAAAAAAGTTGAGCGTAATGTAGTAGTTTTTTTAAAAAAATAAATAAACTGTACAAATTAACGCAAGAAAAATGATTACTTTTTCGTAAAATGATGTTTTGGATGCGCATAATGTCATAATACTCGTGTTGTATTCGTCATAATAATGGATACCATGATCCGTATGATCGCATTATGTTGTGACTTCATGGACTTCACGGTAGAAAATGTGTGATTATGTTTACGAATCTAATCGGCACTTGGTTTTTGACAATGCAGGTCCGGTGTAACAGGTTATTCAAAAAAGTGACAGACTAATAGTTTTTTTTTTGTAGAAATGTAATTTACGTTGGATTTTCGTCTTTAAATTAAATATAGTTATCTTATATTTTGTGTGGGTTATCGTCTAAATATGGAATTTATAATATCTCAGGAATTAAAAACTCTGAAAGAGTTTTCCGCCAGATTTACATAGAGTGTATTATTTTGTCTAGATGATTATTTTTGTTGATTTTCAGAAACCTAACTCATTATGCTAAACTCATCTCGGAGTAGACTTTTTTTTTAAACAATTTTTTACATATATTTTCTAAGTTTTCATACAAATCTTTGTCGGTTTGTTTAATTTCAGTTACGACTTAAAGGTCCACATGCTGTTGTATGCCGTCTATGCCAAATACGCGTCAGTCATTAAAAGTCGCTCGTTCAGTTTCAAATAATACAGTTAAGGTGTAACTTGTTTGTAAACCTAGCGTTTTTATTGTCAGATAATACTCTGCATGTCTTTAAACATTCGGTTCACTCACGGTTTCTGGTTTTCTAGATTTTTGTCTGGACGTCATTGTAAAATCGATTTTCTGTAAGTTTGTTTTTACGTCATTTAGCAATGTGACTCTCAGTATAATAATCTTCGGACACATTGCGTAGTGTATTTTGTATTTTTTGCTCTTGCATAGAGCTACGTTGATTATACATTGAATTTAATAATATTTCGACATTCAAACGTGAACATACAATCATATAATCATATTCAACTACATTAAAATATATTTCATAACGGTATGCCGGCATAGACTAATAATATTCCGCATAATAAATACGCAGCGCGGAAAATGTATTCCGAGATGCGGACCGTTAAACCGCAAAACAATTCGAATGGACTTCGCATCGTTGACGGATAAAGTACGTAGGTTTTATTTGATTGTGTTGTGCCTACTCGTGTATTTCCATAATATAACTCTTGAAGTTGTTCGAACGCTGGTTCCTAAAACCACTGGGCTTAGGAAGCGGTTTAATGATGATGATTTATCGTCACCTATACGAGGTTTTTTTTTTTTTTTATTTATTATTTTATTTCTCACGTTTGGAAAATAGTTTCGCAGCGTTAGAGTTTTATTGTAGTGTGGATTTTCTTGTCGGTGAACCATTTTCGGGATAGTATTACTGTAAATGTTTTCCTTGACGCGATATATACATATACAAAAATCATATCGATATTCTTTAACATGTAATCCGTACAGAAATCCAGAGAACCAAGAATTAAAATATTTATTTATCTACAAAAATTTGTAAATTAAGAATCTTTGTTACGAATGATCTCTGAAACTACTTATCTAATCGATATATGGTTTTTTATATGATAGAGTACATCATGGAGCAGATTTTAAGACTAATTCCGATTTAGTAAGTTAATAAACAATTGTGTTATTAGATTCCGAGCGTAGCGAGAGAGCTATTGGTTTTACAATGCTGTTTATTTATTATTTTTTCTTTCTTTGTTCTAGTCTGTGGACACATTTTTTTCTAGTAAATTTGCTTCGATTTTTACGTGTAGCAGCTTTTATAAATGCTCAAGTTTTCTAGAAAATAATTTAAAGATGTCAATTTCGACGCCCATTTTTAAGAAAAAGCACTGGAATGGGAAAAAACGAACGTAGGAAAACGTACAATTTCACGATTTCATTATTTTATAAAAACACTGATGACGTTTACTATCAGAAAAAATGATTTAATCAAAAAATCATTAGATATCCTTTTTGTTGTCTTTTTGATTTACTTTCTTGCAGTATTCATCGCCAAAATTTTTGAGCTTTAAGGAATTTTAATTTTTGGGAGTAATTTTGCTGTAATTCGGTTATAAATACACGTAGAGACTTGAAACTGAGTAATAATTTTTACATTTGATTTACTTAGACGTGGTAAAATTTACAAAATGATCGGATGTTCATTCCCAAGTCGCCGACAAAAATTTTTTTTAATAGTTGCTTGTGATGTAGGTTGCTAGAGGTACACTTACTCTTGACTCCATTCCACTATAGCTTATGTTAAAACAACTCGTTTTCGCTGTCATTTTTACGGGGATTGCACTAGTTTTCTTAAATTGTCACTACTAAACTTAAATTATGAAAAAAATAAAAAAAAAATATTTTTAACATCTAATATAATCGTTGATTGCCTATTGTTATTGTCAATAACTCCGATTTCCGATAGTATTAAATTCAAATATTTACTTTAGCTCATGCCGCGAACGCGACGCTGGAATTTCTTTAGTAATAATAATTTTATTGCGACAACAATATTTCAATTTAAAATGAAAATATATAACCGATTTATTTGTCTACGAAATGGGAAGATTTTTAATACCTTATAAAACTGGTTTATTTGTCGGCAAAATGGGAGTTGGCGACGTGGGAAGACACTATCTCTCCATTACCGCCGAAGAACCACTCGTTATCCGCATCGTAACAAAAATACCTATATTATTGGAAACGTTTAGTATAATGCGATTTACATGGAATATTATGTTCACTACGTATAGTTATACGCAGCATTTGTCATCGGGGCGAAATATTAACTCCGTCTTGTTCAATTAGTTACATATTTATTTTGGTCATCGAGTGCGTTTTTACGGTGCAACAATAATATGTTTAATAATAACTCACTAATAAACGTTCACAAAAACAGTCACTATACGAGTTTATGCACAAAACGATTTGCATAATATGCTTGACTTGCATATCATGGGCAAGTTATTGTAGTAGGTAATCATTTAAACGCATTGAAATTTCTAGAAAGTGTAATTCTATTAATATATATGTATTTATTGTCTTATATCGTAAAAATGTTCGATGTTAAAAATTAAACTTTATTTCTTAGTCCGGATTTCGGATTTCAGACAACAAAATCTGAATTTCAAACGCCCAAATGTCTATTTATAATTCGTATTTTCTGTTCTTTTATATATTTTTTTGTATTTATATTAAATACAAATTACGAGAAAAATTAATTTATTATTTATAAAATCTATTATGATTTTATAGCATAATTTTATAATTATTATATAAATAATAATACATAAAAGATAAAAAAAAAAAATGATCTAAAATCTAAGTTTTAGAAACTGAAATGCGTAGATTTACAAAAAGTTTCGGAATTCGAAAATTCGGATTCATATAGTTTGATAAATCGGATTTTTTCTTTATAACTAATGTACATATTCCAATCTGAACTACTCTCTAGGAAAACTTAAATAAGACTAAACTTGATATTTATGGTTGTGAAGTATGAATACAAATTCGCTTGATGGAAAGGATATTATATAGATAATTGGTTCGCAACCTTTCTTAAAACTGCCACCCCTGAGAAGCAAACTATTTTTTAACGCCCCTCTCTAAAAAAAAGTAAAAAAAAAAAAAAGAATAAGTGAATTGTAAGGTGGAATAATAAGTATAAAAAAGTGTTGAATTGAAATTTTTTAAACAATTGTAATAATCAGTGGGATATATTATACATATCCGACATTGTCTAATATATTATTTAGACGTTCGAGAACAATAAATGAAGAAAGATAATTTATGAAGAAGATATCGAAGGGAGCTGTATGTTATAGAAGACTTGGTAGACTTAACGTTCTCGAAGATGATGTAAGAGTGGAAGACTGGAAAAACGTGGTTCAAGACAGGGATAGATAGCGCGATGTTGTATTGGTAGTGATAGCTCTTAGATAGTCAAAAGACGAAGAAAAGGTACGTACTTATGGATAACCCGCTATCGCGATCAACGAAAGACTTCGGCAAAGACCATACTCGACGATACTCGATCCTAATTACTCGCATACACGTATCCGTTTGATAATTATTATTCGTAATAACAGTGGACTTTAAAAAGCGGTTGCATGTATTGGCAGTATAAATTTAATAACGTTTGAACTTTTTTCTACTTTTCTACTTTTCTATTTTTTTCTCCTTTGGTTTTGTGTGATAAACGAGTTCTGTGTTGGCGACTCGGTATTCGAAATGTCAACCGCTGTAGTGTACATACCTATATAAAATATAATAAAATAAATGCAAGTACACTTGTTATAATAATAATAATAGTATGTGCTGGATGACCTCGGTTACTCGTCGTTGACTCATTGCTTTGCAGCAGACATCGCGTACCGCTATTCGACGAGAGGGGAAAAAAACAGTGGAATACTAATAGCGGGTAATAATTTATCTTCGATTATTATTATTATCGGTACTTCCTATAAAAAAAAGAAAAAGAAAACCCAAAAACTAATCGATCGAACGAAAAAATTGATGTGAGCGACGTCACGTTGTCGGTGACGTTAGGGAACAACAATAAAATTGCAACTACAACAATACAATATAAAATGTTGTAACCAGACACATGAAACCACAATTCCATTGTTCTATTATATTATATCACCGCAATAAATACCACGCCGCAGTTTTTCTTTTTCGCTCCCCCCGAATGGATTTTCCATGACCGCGGAAACCGTTTGTGACTGGCAGTGTTTAATGTATAGGTATATAATTCCGTTTCGGATTGATGCGCCAAGTCGACGAGAAAAAATAATAGAAAAACGGAAAAAATTACAATGTAGAAAAAAAAAAAAACCACCGGGTGTACGATTGTATCTCGCGATATCGGAATTCACGTATTTATTATACGGGCGTATATAACTGGACATAACTGCAACAGCAGAAGCCACGTTACAATTATTTTCATCGACGACCTGACTCGGAATTTGTATACCTATTTTATAAAAGCGTTTTTTTTTCTCCTTTCGTGTTTCATCATTATTTTATTTCGCGAATTTCACATATACTAGCAATGGCGAAATCGTGTTTATCTTCACGGCCCCTTGTTCATCGTACACATATATTATAATAATGTATGATATTGCGACCGATAGTTTGGTCGCATATGGACTTGAATAGTTTCCTAGACATAAAACTACGTTATCCGTTTTCGTCTCGAACTACTAGAACGGCCGGCGAAGAAGACCCGCGAGTGTATCTACACAGAGTATTATTATCTTGCAACAGACTTGTATAAAAATACTCTTTAAACGTATGTTGAGTACAAAAACAGATATTTTTTCTAATTTATTTGGAATACGTAATCTCAGAGTAGCTCCCTAAAAATTATATGTTTTGAGTAAGTACAAATACATATTTTCGAAAAGTATTTATAAACACAATCCAATATATTTTTTTAAACATCATATTAAACTATAAACCGATATTATAATAATGTTATACAATTGTGTAGAAAAGATCACTGGTTAATGTTTATTAAATTTATGATATTTAATCAAGTCATTTTTTTAAATTTCTTAACACTGTATATATTTAAATAGAGGTAGAATTTATTGCAGGTCGATTTGTAAAATATTTAGATGATTGTATATACAGTCATTTTTGAGATAGAAATAAGTCTTATTACGTATAAAGTTGCTTAAAGTTGTTGCTTGGTGAAAAAATCTGAATTTTTAGTATCTAACTATCTTATTGTCTCCGAAATCCCTATTTCAACTGAATCCCAAATGTTTAGAGGTATGCACTAACTTATTAAAATTAATGAAGGTTTTGAAATGTATTCGATTAAAATGGTACGCCAAAAGTCTTCGTGAGTGCCTACTGCCCTTATCTAGTTAAAATTTTTAAAATTTTTAAATAAAAATCCTAGAAATCTTTTATTCCATCATATAAAAAAACCGAGGATTTACTGCCCGATATTTGATATAATAGCTAATTTAAATATTGATTCCTGCAGAACTAAGGTAGCTGTAATTATTAATTTTTCAATAATAGATTCCGAATATAGCAAGGGAGCTATTGGTTTTACAATGATGTTTATTATTTTTCCTTTTTTGTTCTAGTCTGTGGACACGTATTTTCCTAGTAAACTTGCTCCGATTTTTACGTGTAGTAAAAGCTCAAGTTTTCTAGATGGTAGAGATCATACTTTCATATTTGACACCATTTTTTGAATAAAAGCACTTCAGTGGGAAAAAAACGTAGGAAAACGTACAATTTCACGATTTCGTTTTTAGATTAAAACACGGACGACGTTTTCTATCAGAAAAAATGATGTAATTAAAAACTTTTGAGCTTTTAAGGAATTTTAATTTTTGGGAGTCTTTTTTTTGTAATTCGATTATAATACACATAGAGACTTGAAACTTGGTAATAATACTTATATTGGACTTCCTAGACATGGTAAAATTTTCAAAATTATCGGACGACTTTTTTTTTTATTAATAAACGTTTTAAAATTAAATTTAAATGAAAAACGAAAAAAAAAAATACGGCCCTTCAAATTATGTATTATCGAACTGCGCTCGGAATCGTCTTTCGTCAAGCAATGGTTGCTTATATCGTTGCTTATCGTTGCTTATACATATAAATGAAATAACCTTGAAATATCCTACCTTTCCAACTTCTCACCTATTACACTGGCCGTTCCCATACCCAGTATCAGCTCTTTTTTTTTTGTGTTTTGAATTTAAACCGGTTGAATAATTAATCATGTATCTATACGGTCTATAACTGAGTTATATTATGTTTATTGACAATAGAATTAGGTATCTATTTTCGTGATTAATTAATGTATACAGTATTAATTCAGTGTAATTTTAAAATTTGAACAATAAAATATTATTCGTGTTTGTAAACGTGATAAAGGTCAAAAAAACGATTACATGAAATACGTTACATATAATTAAAGCTGATATATAATTATGTACATTATTCACGTAGGTAGAATTCAATTTATATATATATAGAAAAAATCAAAACAATTATCAACATTACGAGTATTCTTTATAATATTTTCTTTTTTTTTAAAATTTAATTCTATTAAAACGTACATTTGCACGATGCTCATTAATTGTATATTATGCAGTTAATAGTCAGATTTAGTGATTATTTTTGTATAGCATTGCAGGCTATTATAATATACATATATATATATATATATACCTATCTGCAGCATATTGTTTATGGTTCGTTAATTGTTGCAATTATCAGTGTATGCAATGGAGCTGTGTTATAATAATATATTTTTCCATGTATCCACCCCCAATCCAGTGTGACCTTTTTTTTTTTCGTTTTGCTTGTCTACCCTTTTACTAAGGCTTTGATTTTAAATAGTTATTTTTTACCCATATTCAACATATTTAACAGGGAGCGCTCTTGCATACCCGGATTCACTGACCCAATCGCATAACAATAACAAGTTTGTTCTTTTGATCAAACAGCTAAGGAGTATAACATAATCGCAATTACATTTAATTGATTAAAAGTATTTTCATAAGTAACATTCATTGTTTTATTTTCAATATTAGTCAATATTAGCCGTCGTTCAGTCGTGTTATCTAAAAGTAAATTATCGTTAGATGTCTAGATAATTATATGCATTAAGTATCTTGTTCATTTGTTGTATCTATATTCTATATTACTATTTATGTTAATTAATACTGTATGAATATGTATAAATATTATAAATTATTAAACTGATTAGTGTTTAAAATGACACCTACTTCAAAAATAAGCGTGGCATAAGGCACATTTGGTATAACGTGTGTGCGCCACTGTGTGCATGTGTTTATCACTTTATTAACAATATTATAATAGTATATTAATTGATTAACGTTTGTTTTATAGATTAAAAAGAGACCAACAGGAGTTTATCGACCACAGAGGACTGCATGTAGTAGTGGGACACTACATGGGAGACGTTAACAACGTCGGGACGAATGTGAATCTCACCGATGGTAAATAATTATAAATGTTATTAACTAATTTCCTAATAATAATAATTTGGAGTCCAGATATTTTAAGTATTCTTCTCCCCTTTCCCATATTTTAAAGATACTTCAGTCTTACGTTGATATATGAGTTACGCGTCCCCCGTGTCCTGTCCTAGGTCGTTGAAATACGTTTGAGAATAGTTTTTATCGTCAATCAATAGCTTTTTGACTATTTTGTTCCGAATTAGAATAATTATCGTGATGTACAGACTTGTCTTCGTAAAAATATTCAATCGTTTTGCGTCTAGTTTTCCGTTATTGTCTGTTATTAGTATATATTCAAACAATAGTTTTTTTTTTTTTTTGAATTCTTCAGTGTTTTTTTGCTTTATTTTAAGCGAATTAAAAGAAAAAGAAATATATATTTTATAGACATTCGAACTGTAACTGTCGGTATAATAATACGCGTTTCCTTCAAGAGCCCCGTGCAGTTCTTTTTGATCTAAAATAACGACCACCATTAAAAATATTTAACTATATACAACTAATGGCCATATCCTTATTTTTCTTTTATATATATTTACAAGTTAACGATATTGTATAAATGGTTCTGACGACGATGGTAATTTCCTTGTGAAATGAACCGATGGCCGTGACAATTTTTTACTTCTGTAATCCTTCAAAATAAAAGGGGTTATTAATGTATATTATTATGATTCCTATTTTTGTAATAATGATATAATGTATTTTTAATATTCTCACCCGGTTTCCTGCTCCGTTTAACTATTATATAGGTACCGTTTCTTACAAGTACGTGAAGAAGATATTATATTTTTTTTGTTACCGCAGAGTTGCTCAATCGAAACATGTTCGACCCGAAACCGAAGGAAGGTCGTGACGGGATTCCTGTCGTCATACCGCCTCACATGTCTTCCCAGATGCAAAAACTCTATAGAATCAACAGGTTCAACTTGATGGCCAGCGATCGTATACCGTTAAACAGGTCACTGCCGGACGTCCGCAAAAAACTGTAACTATATTCAGCAATAATAATATACTACCGAACGCAGTTAAAATTATTAAGGGCAGATCCAGAATTTGTTTACGGAGGGGGCATCTAATTTTGAGAAATGTCTACTATAATTGTATTTTTAATTATTAATGAAGCATTACAAATGCATTACAAAATTATAAGGAAGTCGTATTATAGAAAGTATGGACATTATTAGTTATTACAAATAAAATATTTTTGTTTTGTACGTCATGATAAAGTGATATGTAATACCATTGTTATAATTTATAATCAATGGTAATATGTATAGAAAATAAACACAAATAAAATTGTTTTTCCTTTTTTTTTTATTTTTGCTTCCACCCTTGAACATTATTTGACATTCAACTAATAATCATTTTCTATAGGTGTAAACTGAAAAAGATTAATATTGATAAACTTCCGTCCAGTTCCGTGATAATCGTTTTTCACGACGAGGCTTGGTCGACGTTAATGCGAACCGTGCAAAGTGTTATCGATCGTTCGCCAAAGTCTTTGCTGAACGAGATAATTTTAGTGGACGATGCTAGCAGTCGAAGTACGTATATATAATTGTTGAATGTAGTTTTTTTATAAAAATTCATGAACGTTTTACGTCTTATGATATATTTTATGATAAAATCGTCGATAATTATTACAATTTGGCTTATAGTGTTTACACAGTTAAATATTTGTTGAAACATTGTTTACATGTGTAAGTCTTAAAATATTTCAGAAATGTTCCTAAAATATTTTATGAATTTGTCAAATATTATGCGATAACTCGTTTAATACAAATTTCTTTGCCAATTTCGTTATCAGTTTTATAAATTTATTCAGTAATAGTAAGAGAATGTTTTTATTTTTGTATAAAGTAGTATAAATATGTGCCGTAAAAAGAAACGTTAAATCCCACCATCAATTTTTAAATTATTTAGATATAATACGTATTTACCTAAGGACAAAGTCTGATGGTCGTTTTTTAAACAGGTATTTAAAGTTTAACACAATTCAAATATTCAACTTCGCGTAGTTTATTAGACAGGAAAAACGTTTTTTACCTAAGCCTTTAAGTAAAACTATAATAGTCCTATTGTAGTTACCAAACCGAGTAGTTTATCACACAAACTGCTATATAGGTGAGATTTTTGTTTGGAAATATTGCAGTATATTGTTGAAATATCAATGCTGAGCTCATGTAGTCCAGAAGAAAAAAAAATATATATAATGTATAAAAAATTCAATAAAAAAACAAAAACTAACAAGGTTATTAACAGTTTAGTATGGTCATTTTTTTAGCCAAAGCTAGGTTGAAAACATTCTTCTTTTTATGTTTTTTTTAGATTCGTGTTTAAACATTAATTTCAACCTGAATGAAAATGCCACAATTTATGTTTTAAGTAACGACGTATTTTTGTTGTGTTGACCGTTAGTTAAACCGATATAGAAAATGTGGGTACAGAGCACCTTGTAAATACATATGATAACTTTAATAATAGAATATATTATTATACATATAAAGAGGCACACGCGCGTTTCCCGGTGATGGCGAGTTCACAAAATGCCCTATGGTGTTTTGGTTCTGTCATAATATTATGTAAATTGAGTATAATACTCCTCACTCGTATATTATATCGCTTCGGGTTGTAAACAAAAGCGATACCAATAATACTGATTAAACTGCAGCTTCATATCATGTGTTTAATCTGTTGCGTACTGTACTGTAACTATGAAAATACAATGTTCACGATGCCTTTAAAAATCTTGTGTTTAAAATATAGTCTCTATATATAGTGTTCAGACAGCATGTGTTAATTAATTTACACATTTTAACATTGGATTTGATAGGTACGACGGAATTGTTCACATAATACATTATATTTTTTTGTTTACGTTTTAAACTATAAATAACACATATTTATTTGTATTTTTCGTTTACAGATACAGTAACGCAATCTCGGTAAAAAAAAATCTGGGAGTGCTGATACCCCCTAGGTAAAATAAACTAGTTCACAAACATACGGGGTCTATACCTCTTATCCCCTCCTATTCTACGACATTAATTAACTTTTGGTTGTACAAATAAATTTAAAAACAAGTTATAGATTTACAATACAATAATTTCCATTTTGATGGTTAGGAAGGTTAGATAATTACTAATTACATATGCCATGTAATATTTATTATAAGAAACCATGTATAATCGTAGAACTAGGTAATTAGGTACCTAGATGAAGCAATATTGGAATACTTGAGGTTATGTTCAATGATTTGTTTTCCTTAAGCACGCCTAAGCCCCCTCAATTTCACCCATGCCTAAATATTGTTTTTTTTTTTTTTTGGATCATAAAGTCTACCCTAGAATTGACTGGGTCCATTGTAGATATTAACATTTTTAATAATTATACCTTTCTACCTATTATTATTATTGTCTTTTTTTATGATTATATAACCTGTTATAGAATTTTTGGGTAGTGAACTAGACGATTACGTTGCCAAATTACCCGTGTCAACGCGGATTTTACGTTCATCGAAAAGGATCGGTCTGATAAAAGCCCGACTCATGGGAGCGCGGCAAGCAAAAGGGAAAATATTAGTTTTTCTCGACGCGCACTGTGAATGCACACAAGGTAAATAACAACGAGTGCTGTGAATTTAACGCACTAAAATACATTATTTTAAAAACCATTTTCCAAAAATAGGTCAAAATGCAACAGCGATAGTGCATTTAAAATTTCAAAAACCGCACTGAGTTGTAATAAAATACAATAACATATTTTATTAGATAAATAAATCATACATTTTTAATGTACATAATCGTTTCGTATTAAAAGTTAACAACAATTGCTAAATCTCCTTCAACAATTTATTGGAATAATAAAAATTAGAATAAATTATCTAAAAAGGATGAAAAGCCAATTGAAAGTTTCAAAACTGAGCTTACAATGTAGTTATATAATTCAAACTTAGCGTTAAATATGTTCTACGTTTTACGATATGCTTAAAAAAAGGAATTTGATACAGAATCACAGTTCTGTTTAGTAATAATATTGTTCGAATGGTATTTTTGATTAAATTTCACATAAAGATACTAAATCACGTTGTTTATTACATGTAGGTTGGTTGGAAGGTCTTGTCAGTCGGGTGGCCGAGGACCGAAAACGGGTCGTGTGTCCCGTGATCGACATAATAAGTGACGAGACGTTTGCGTACGTCAAAAGTTTCGAACTGCACTGGGGCGCTTTCAATTGGGATCTGCATTTTCGGTGGTACACGCGGACCACAGCTGACACAATGAAAAGGCAGCGGGACATCACACAGGCGTTCAGGACCCCGGCGATGGCAGGCGGATTGTTCGCTATGGACAAGTCATACTTTTTCGAATTAGGCGGCTACGACGAAAAAATGGAAATCTGGGGTGGAGAGAATCTGGAACTCTCGTTCAGGGTACATTTGGAAATAGTGCAATAATTACTATAATAATATAATATAGGTCTCGGATTTCGACACGAAGTCAAATTTTAATTATTTTTATTAATCATAATAAAATTATATTGAAAAATAAATAAATTTACAATAATTATTTTGAGTAATGTTGGATAAGAGTTCTGAGTATATACACTTATTTTCTTATGTGTCAAATATACTTATTAATATTTAAAAGTGAAATTTTTATTTTGAGTTTTTCGTCGTTTTTTACTTACGACTGACTTATTTTTAGGTCTGGCAGTGTGGCGGTAGCATCGAAATCGCACCGTGTTCTCACGTCGGGCACGTGTTTCGAAAATCGTCACCTTACACGTTTCCTGGAGGTGTTTCTCATGTACTGTACACAAACTTAGCTCGCGTGGCTTTGGTCTGGATGGATGAATGGCAGGAGTTTTATTTCAAATTCAACCCGGGTATTTGTGATTTCGTTGGTATAAACCATGATAATATTATAACCGCGTTGTATCGATTATTTTTTAGAAGCCGAAAAAGTCCGTGATGAACAACAGATCCGAACAAGACTGGAGCTTAGAGACCGGTTGAAATGCAAAGGATTTAAATGGTATCTGGACAACGTATGGCCGGAACACTTTATGCCAACCGATGAAAGGTTTTTCGGCAAGGTAAACACATTTTGTTGAAAACCTTCTATGTATTTTTTTTAATTTTTTTTTCTGGTAGAAAACATAAAGCGTTAAATATACATTAATGAAATCGTAACTCCATAAATTTGTCAGTTTTTCATTTTCGTCTTTTTTCGGTTTTTCCAGTTATTATGAAAACTTGTTGGAAAATCAATAACGACTTAATTTATGAACACCTATATCCAAAAATACAATAAAAAAGGTCACTCGGCATTTTTCGATTAATACAATATTTCTGGTTGAAAACATTATTCATCAAAATTAAATCGGCAACGTTACAATGCGCGACGTATCGTTAATATTTACTATATTTCCGATAATTTTTTTCCGGTTTTTCCTAATTATTATGAAAGCCTTTGGAAAATCAAAAAATGACCGTCTCAATACACCAACTAGATAAAATTTCCCTTCAGAAAGGGTGTTGCATTTGATACATCGCGCATCGGAGCAATATTTCTGGTAGAAAAAAAAAAAAATCACGCGTCATAGTAAAAACCAATCGCTACGCTCCGAATCTATAAACCATATTAATTATAAAAGTATTTATACGTTTTGTTATTGTTATAATGAGCTAAACGTTTCATTTCCGTTTTTAAACTCAGTTTTATATTATCTATGAAATGTTCCTATGTATTTAAATTGCGTTGGATGAGCGGCACTACACGTACCACGTAAACTATCATTTCCGTCCATTGCGGACATGGCGTTTATTAGGATAATGGCTATAACCGTGTACAGTATACAGTTTGACAACGACACACCCTTTCCATTTCAGATAAAGCACGTGCTGTCGAACAAGTGTCTGGAAAAACCCTCAGGACGTGGTTCGCTCAACCAGCCGATGGGCCCGGTCATGATTGGCGGGTGTGACGTGCAGGGCCGGCCGTCGTTGTCACTCATGTTCGTCATGGCCCCGGAAGAAGGGCTTGGCTCGGGCGTGTGGACCGGGTCGCTCATGACGGACGAGTCTGTGTGTTTGGACACGCCCGAACTGGAAGCAGCGGACGAAATTGCGCTCAAAGTCAGAATCGTGGCTTGTACGGGCCAAAAGAGGCAGAGGTGGAGGTACGACGCTGAGGTCAGTACCCCCTCGGATTTTCGTACTCGTGTCATATGCGGCGTATTTTGGGGACAGAGAATTATCCTTGAATTGACAGCACACCCCACAAATGAAATAACAAAATTAAACTGTACGCCGCCGTATAGAGATTTCATAACCCGAACACTCGTCGTACATCACCTATCTATGTACATATTATTATTTAAGAAAGACAAAAATACTGTTTATGGAAAATTTAATACACCTAAGTAGCGGACCTAGAATGTTCTTATGGAAAGGAGGGGAAGACATAAATTGTGTAAATTCTTCACAAAAGTTATGTTACAGCTACAACAATATTATTAATAAATACGGCAATCGTATATAGTATAACTATTTGTTTATGAAATAAGCAATTTTTAGCAATGCCTACGTACGAGACCATGGGATGATGCCTTTATCGCCCGTCCCTCTCAGATACGCTACTGCCCCAACCAGAATAACCTAACAAATACGCTGCATGATAATAATAAAATTCATTTTATGGGATATTGATTTTAAAGTAAAATAATTTAGAGAAAATAAATTAAAAACGTACAGCCTGCTGCGGAGTATTATGCGTTTTGTTTAAAATGGAACAGAACTCAATACACGGCAGGCTAAAGATGCGCATTTTTCCCTTAAACGTTATTTCCATTCTGACGTATTTTAATAATCGATTTACTTTTGCATTATAGACGATGAGTTTGGTTCACGTGGACACCGACTTGTGCCTGGACATGCCGGACGGCGAATTGAGTATCGTGCTCAGAGGATGCGCGGATCATGCTAGTCAAAAGTGGATTTTTGAACAAATCCCCTGGAAGTAGTATACTCCATAATTTTGTCGCGAGTGCAGCTGAGTATACCTATATGTTACACTCCGAGAGTGTACGTCCATTGATATCGTTATCGAAATATTATTATTTTCATCGAATTGTGCGATGTCTTAATGTTCCTGTAGAAAAAAAAAAAAAAGACCATTTATTTTAGTAAAACGGTATACGGTGTACTTATACTTAGGTGCAGTACACTTTACGTATGCATTTTTAACCCCGTGTTATTACTCTAAATTATTTTTTCTATTGTTTGTATACTTACTTTGTGTATGTTGTTAACAAAAAAAAAAAAAAATGTATCCATCCAAGGCTTATGTGTGTTGATTTCTTAACACCAATATTCTCAAACGAATTTTCTATTTTGCCACGAATTTATTATTAATATAACACTTACCTATATACAGAGTATGCAGTATTTAGAGTAATAGTATTATTTAAATCTAACGTTTAAAATTCATAAAAAAAATAATTAAAAACTTGTGAATAAATATTATTCAATTTAAAAATTAAAATAATGTATACCTGCGATGTAATATGCTATGTGTTTCATTCAATTGAAGGCAACTACTCCAGATGCCCTAAAATATTTTTACTATTTATACAATGAAATATATTAAAATAATGTAAAAATATTTTGTTTTCTATACTATTACTATTAGTTACTTTTAAATTCTGAGTTTAGGGAAGAAGCCAATAATATTTATTATTAAAAATATTTATGCCAAGTTTCAGTTAGTAAAAATAAATCGTTATTTTTTTTATTTGGATAATTTTCTAAAAAGAGTTAGTTCATCAGTCACAATGCTTTGGTATTTTTATTATTTTTTTTTTTCATAAATATTTTTGAATGTTTAAATCAAACAGATTTGAATCAAAAGCAAAAGCTTTATAGGTTTAAAAAATTGATTTTTGTTAAATTGAGTTAAATATTCGTTAATATAATATATACATATTACCATTATTCCAATTATAATTTACAACTTAATCAGTTAGTTTTGATTTTTTAACACTCCGTATTACTCTTTTTTTAAATCGACAGCAACTCTGCCACTACTTTATCTAGTATTTTTGAGAAGCTTACGTTTTAAGGCATGGGTCGTTTATTAATTTGTATTTACTGCAACATCAGTTATGGACATTATTCTAAAAGTAAACTCCTTCAAAGCGGCACATCCGAAATGTAGTATTGTGTTGCTTTTGGTGCAATTTAAGTTATCGCCATCAAAAATCTCATCATTACAGAGCTTACGCTCAATTGTTGCAACTAGAGAAATGAAAATATTAAATATAATACACATAAACCACTTAATTATTAGGAACGGAAAATAAATTTAAGTAACAAGTTGAAAACCGAAACAGACAAGCGAGAAAATATACGAACAATACGTCCGTATTGTTTAAGCATCTAGTTATAAATTATTAGAATTTATTATTATTTGGTTATATTTAAAAAATATATACATACACATTTGTATGTATTTTTGTGTTTTTTTCTTTATCTTGCCGACGAGCCAAACAAATTTTATCATCTGTGTAAGTAATATAATTAATTTTTAAAATACAGCAACACCACACTAACCCAGGTTTTATGTATTTGCCAATTATTATTACCATAGTAAGCGGAAAGCGTCGTTAAAGTTAGAGTTTTACTATTTTTAAACACGAATACTATTTCTTTGTAGCTGATTATCATAATTATATTGTATAACGACGTATTAAATTTAAGATATTATAATATATTGCTTGAAATTGTTGAGTGGACGTTGACGTGGATATCATTTGAATTTAAGGAGTTGTGTATAGGCAATTTCCTCGAGTTTTTTTTTTAAATAAATGACAATTTATTTACTCAAAAATATTTCAATTCACTATCGTATAAAATAATGTGCAAGTATATTTTTTCTCGGTAGATACGCATTTGTATATTATTTTCTTATCAAGATAATTGCGAAATAAGTTATCGGAGCTGTTACTAATCTAAGATAAATAATTAAATCATCTAGGCAAATTTGTTTAAAAAGTAATTTATATAATATTTTTATATTAAAAACAGATCAAATATTTAATTTATATTAATTTGATTTAATAAATTAGTTATTGAGTTACATCATTCAACCGAAAGTTAGATGTGTGCAAAATTGTGTACACTCTGTAATACTACTTTTAGTACTTAGTTTTATGATAGGTTAAGAAAAAAATGACTTTATTTTTATTCAGACAAATGATTATTATTTATCTTTATCTGTATTGTTAAATTGTCATGTATATTTTATTTTCACCTAAAGTTTAGATTCTAGACAATTATTTAAGCAATTAACTCATATACTAATCATCTTAATATTTATAAATTTATATTTAAACAATACTGTTATCGGGTATCACGAGTATTTTTGTATTACCTAACGTGATATAAACTAAAATGTCCATAGACTTGGCCCATCCATATAATATTTTCTAGACTAAATTAGTGTCAAAATAGCAAGTAATTATCAAACAATAGCAAATTCATTCCATTGAAATTAGAAAATCATTTTTCTATTTTTGTCGAATTTTTTGCGAATTTTCGCTAAACCACCTACTTTACACTATAGACCTCTAAGCAAGGTGTATTATCAGGTTACATTTTTTCATATAAATCATTTGTCAATACAAAAGATTATCAAGTTCTAATTACTCAGATGGTGAGTGATATGATACTCTTACTAAATTTTACTGGTTAGCTCAGTGGATTAGAGACAGAGTTCCCGTTCAACAAGAAACTGCCTGCGATTATTCAAAAGCACTATTGGGCGCCATTTCTAGAGCATTTTGCTATGGTTTTACTCTAAAGGATTACGTAGAAAAATATTTTATACACCATGGTCGAGCATAATGTGCACATCTTTTAAATCACCATAGAGAAATCCAATATCTGCAGCAGTAGAAGGATATTCTGCTTTACGTAAACCAATATACTCATCATTGGCTGTATGCATCATTCTGGTGAGAAGCTTGTTTTTCAAATACTTGGTTGGGTAATGTAGAGTAAAAAAAAATGTATAATTACGGGTGGTTCGAGTTGATACCTTAAAATTTAGAAATTCAAACAGGGGAGGAGATTTAAAACTGAGATAGAGAGAAGTTTTTGGAGAAAAGATTTATTAAGATGATGATGACGATCGGTTAAGGTAGTGAGATTCAGAAAATGGAGGACGGGGTTGTAGTTGTTCTATGAAAATTTTTTTTTTTGCTTTCCGTCTACTCTTTGTTAGAATTATTTTTGCCGGTCGAATATCATTTCTCAACGACTGATAAAGAATATAACTTCAAAAAAAAAAAAAAAATCACCAACTATTAAAATTTGAATTAAGTATCAGTATAAATTTAATGCCAATAATTGACGACGCTCGATTACTCGTATAATAGAAAAATTCATCGACTCTTCTACTTAAAAATATGACCTACCCGACGTGGATTTTATCTTTTACTCCTACTTAAATGTACGCTCTATGTGATTCAATCATTACAGGTTTTACTTGAAAGTTTTAGGACATTAATTTATTTGGATCAGGTTTGGACTTTTGGAGTAGGGATGAGTTTGACCATTTTATTTTGCTTTCTTATCACGCGGGTAGACGAGTATCAGTATCATGTGTAAAAAATTGGCACCTGGTGTCAGGAAAATGTACCAATAAGCAAAAAAAAATAAGTTATCTTTTAGATAGTCACGTTCTCTCATAAGATAGACAGCCGATTGTCGTCCGCGGGTTTGTGTTCGAATACAGTTTTACATGGACGTCCGACAAACTGTTGCCAAACCCAGTGACGTAAATTGGGTTGTGCAAATGTAGCAGTAGCACCACTATATTTGAAATCTGGTGATGTAAGTTTATAATTTCGTGCCACCAGAAAATCATAAAAACGTGTACATCTATAGTTTCTATAGTTTCTATTTTCATTAATTCTATATTTTTAATTAAACAAGTATCTAGCTATAGTTTTTCTTTAAATGTTATAACAATAAAGTTTTTACTAGTAAAATAATTAAATACTTATAATAGATTAATTTCATAAAACCAAATTTGACACCTATAGAAAAAAAAAAAAAATTGTTTATTATGTGGTAATTTACAAAGGAAATTGGACTATTGGTGAGTTAAAAATTAAAAGATTTCTGTGCACCACCAGAAATTCAAGCCAATTCACGCCACTGGCCAAACCGATTAATATTCGTTGTACACACCTTACGATTGTTCCCCGTCAAACGCACGGCGGTCCACATGGTTCATTTTAATATTATTATTTAATTGCTCGACCTCGTAATTAATAATAATAATTAGCCCACGTATAAAATAGTATTGTATGATGGAATTATCGGAAATCTTCTGCCATATTATGAAGGTACCGTCGGCGGCACAACACTGCACGCACCTATGTGCAACGAAAATTGTTCACAATTATCATAATAATAATTAGTATCCGTAGCTCAATTCTGAATGGAATGAAGAATGTAGTTTTACAATATTTTGGTGTTTTTTTTTTTTTTTTTTTATGCCTGTGCTCACAAACGTTCACACCGTACCTAAAAATATACAGATATTTTTTCAGATGGAAGGTCTAAATTAAAAAAAAACACATCTAGTTTTCTAACGTTTAAAAACTAACGATACATGATGACGATACGTCGGCTTTTAAAAAAAATCACGGCAGCTCGTAAATATTTGATGCTTGAGGTACCAACAACAACTTATAAACGGATTTTTAAATTTAAATTTTTGTACGCGTGTCTTACAGGGTTGAAAAAAATAGTTTTTTTTTTTTAATGTTTTAAATATATTTATTTTTAAAAACTCTATTTTCTTATTTATTGGTATATATTATTTTATAATAATAATAAATTATAAATGTATCATAATAAAATTAAAATTAAAAAAAAATATCGCTTCATTGTAGAAAAGTTAGAAGAATTGCTTATTTTCAATTATATTTTCAGAATTAATAGAAACCATATAAATATCTTCTCACTTTAACACATTAGTTATTTTAATTTAATTTTTGAAAGTTTTAAACATGATTTCATTTTTTTTTTTTTTTTATTTAATTCAAGTCACAAAAACATTTCAAGTACAAAATATTTTAGTGAAAATGAATATCTACCTTCTTTAAGGATTAATGATTTAATTAAACGTTTTAAACAAAGTGCTCAAAACACTTCGCAACGTTGCGTAGTCACACTTGAATATTGGCCTTCTTGTTTGATGTAGAGCGTAGTGTACTAGCGTATGATGTGTAATCTTTTGTTATATTTTTTTTTTTTATCTGTAAACAACTTTTATTAAATTAATCTTACGCCAAAGTATAGAGTGTAGGGTGCAGCACCTTTTTCTGAAATTACATTTTCTCTAGTTGGTGCATTAATTAGACAGGTAGTTTTTTGATTATCAAAAGAGTTTTTAAACTTATTGAGAATAACCAAAAAGAAAATTATAGCTAAAACACTAAAACGGAATATATTTACAACGCACCGCGGCAATACCGATTTCATTATTTTTAATTTTTACGGACTATGTTTTTTACCAGAAATCTTGCTTCAATTGAAAAACAACAAAAGATCGATTTTAT